ACCACAAGTTACGACTTCCCCACGCCACCGGCCCAACCCACTCCAAAGAACACCATGAACCAAGGCACGTAATTGGTCTCATATTTCTGATCACAGAGTCTGATATTCAACAAACTCGCAAGAGATCCTACCCCCTGAAGTGGTAAATACGGCCCCGTTCTGGCCATTACCAGCCAATCGAGGGTGCCAGCGCTGACCGTAATCATTACAGCAAATGAGTGGCCGCCTTTCCATCACACCAGCTTTTGCACAACTCGCTATAGCGCATGGTTCACGAATTTGCAACAAAGCCAGGATTCGGTGACCACTTCTTGCGGTACTCCGTACTCCGTACACACATGAGTCTTGCGCACGTGACTGCACTCGGAGGCGGCATTCATGGTGCGTTACTCCGTACACGGCCTCTGAACCAAACGAGCTGCTTGGGGATTTTTTTGTGAATCAACCTCAGGCCTAGGACTGCTTTCCACACAGGTCGGCTCGGCACGCATGGGCTATTCTAATTTCTGTCTCTCGCTCCCGCCTGTCTGTGGGGAATAAACAGTCCATCATGGTGCCTCATCCACCTGAAAATATCCGCAATTATCGACGCGCAGACACACAAAAGCGGGAACTAACACCATGGGGGACCCTCACGGCAGGACGACGGCTAGTAATAACGTGCTGGGCACGGAGAGTCAAGCGTGGCCACAGGCTCTCCTCTCTTTATGTCTTGACCCATGGCCACTATGTTTTCCACATGTCTGGGCGCACACATCACGGAGCGTCCAAGTGGAACGTACCACGGCGCCTTGAAAATGGAGGCGGAGAAGGGAAGCAGAAAAAAAAAACAAGGCAAGTTGCTGCAACGGTGACTCAAACGCAAGTCCTGATAAACTCCTACCAGGCCACGCATCTGCCACGAAAAGGCGGTCCTTTACTCCGTACAGAGATTGATAAACAGCATCCGAAACAGTACACGGCGCTTCGTGTGCAAGGGACATCAAATGCACAGAGGTGTCTCTATTGTAGCCGCTCAAGCCAGGCGCCTTCGATCCGTGGCTTGCTGTCAAACATGGAGTCCAATGAAAGTGAAGAGAAAGTCAACATGGCGCCGCTCACAGGTCACCGTCTCCGACGGCATGGCGCACTCGGTAGTCCGTACAAAAAGAAATTGCAACTATTCGCACGCTTTCAACATTTACTTGTCCGGCACCCCCGAAAGCAAGAAGAAAACCGTTGGGCCGCGGATGCTCTCTCTCTCTCTTCCCCCCTTGCATGCCCACTCAGGACTTCCCGAGGCAGGTACTCATGTAAGCGTGGTAACTCATCGTCGGCCGATATGCACCGTGTCTGATCCCACACCCTTTTGTCCACCTGGCAGCACGGGGCTGGTCAGATCTCTAGAGCTTAGGTACGGCCGTTTTTCATCGACATACGTGCCGTCCGGCTGATCTTTCCCCAACCTGTGTAACATCACCTCTGTACCGCCGCAGCGTCTCTCACGCATTGGGTTGTGGTTGGTTCGTTGACCCGGTCCTTGGTCGTCTAGTCGTGCAAGTGATACAGAAGGGGGCTGACGACAAGGCAGACAGACAGACATTACCGTGACCGGCACGACCCCCGTGACAGGACGGAGCAGTCAAGGGGCTTTTTCGCATTCATCATGGACCGACGTAAGACGGCCAACGGCTCACAAATGATCGCGCCCCATTGTTGTTGAACTGGTTGACTGGGTGGATCTGACGAAAAAGTTATACATATGGCTGGACCACGGTGAGTGCATTAGCTCTCCCGTCGGCGAGCATAAACTCAACATGGACTAGGATTCCCATCGACCCGCTCGCTGGTGCTGACCGTCCTGTGTGATATGGGCGTGGGGAAAGGTCGTGGTACCGCCATGGGTTTCTGCAAGACTGCTACGTACTCTACTTCCTCCGTACGTGGAGCCGTGTGCAGTGAGAGACAATGCAAGGCTTCATGTACAAATGTACGGAGTATTTGGGGTGCCTGTCTCCTGCACTCCAGACCCCAAACGGCTGTACAGCGTATTGCTTTTGCGTGCTATTACACGGACATCAAGGATGCGTGCAAGGAAAGCCCCGCTGGTTTCCGCCGAGGCCAGGGTACGGCCGGGAGGAACAGGCCATGTGAATGTGCTCAAACGCTAATTATGGCGAAGCGAGGCGATGGCTTTGCTTATTACCCAGTCCTCGGCTTCAGGTTGCTTCCACCTGGGAAGAGCCACTCGGCGTGTGGTGGGTGAGGATGGACGATGAACGGCAACGGCAACGGCAACGGCAACGGGGTCAGACTTCGGCCAGGTTCTGGGCCGGGGCTGAATTGAGCGGGCGATATCAGGCCCATAGCTTGGCTGGAGCTGGCGTGCCCTCTGCCGTCCTCTCGACGAGGGCTAGCTTCTGTCGACGCGTGAACGGACATGACGGGCATTGCTCGGCAGTCATCTCAAGATCAATTGCAAACGATATGCGGCCAGGCCATGAGGGTGGCGGATAGCGGCACGTCAACGAGCAGCTAGTACTGCAACGACGACTGACTGACTTGTTGAACCGAGTACCTATGGCTCATATGAATTGACTGCGAGTATGATGCGCATATTATATCCTCGGTACAGTACTCCGTACATACGTGTATGTGTGTGATATAATACTACACCACCGGTCAGGGGGGCTAGCGACTGGACTCAGCCGGGTCACCGAAATGGAGTGGGTGGATGGATGCAAGGTATTTGCAGCAAGCAGCAAACGAGATGAACCAGATCGGGCGAATCACGCTGCTTATTCAAAGTATGGCACAGAGAAGACTACTCGACGTCTCGTAATACTAGCCGATGTCAAAACGCTAGTGCTGGACCGTGACCGTCATCGTTCGCGTGGCGCGCAAAAAGACCCTACGCAGCAGCATATCCTCTTCGTTCTTCTCAGTCTCAGGTGGCCCTTTGAAGCCGGCACGAGACATTTCGCAGAATAATAAAACGCGCAGTCGACGGCTTAAACGCAGCAACAACCTGATGGTGTGTCCCTGAGGAAGACATGGTGGCTGGATCCAGGCCGCCAGGCTTCCAAAAAAGATGGCGGAGCAGAACAAGGGTTGGTCTGCCAAGTTTGGGGTCCGTGAAGGGCGTTTGGAAGGGCGTTTGGTTCGAGGTAAACATGTAGGTGATGGCTAGCTAACGTGTCACCATGCCACGACGAGCAGTAGTACTGACTTGTTGCCAGGAAAAAGCAGACTAGACAGACACATCAGGGCCCTGACAAGGTACGGTCGGACCTGGCCGACTCTTGTTCAATGGCGTTTTCTTGTCTCGCTGACAAACTCGAGAGGCCGGATGGAGTCCGATCAGGAACAGCCAACGCCGCTCACCTCACGTCTCGTTCAGACTTCAGAGGGCAGACAGAGAGAGAGAGTGTGTGTGCCCGAAACGAGGCGGCCAGTCCAAATGACATCCCGGAGTAGTTATAATGCAGGCTGGGCTGTCAACATGCGAGGCCGCCACGGATACATACGTCAAAGTGCTCCTGGAGAGGGGGGGCAGAAGAGCAAACAGCACAAGCAGGGTCAGGCATGTTCCGGCGTGCGTGCGGACAATGTGCGTTGAGATCATGCACGAGATTGCCTGGCAAGTGGTTTCCCAGCCGCAGCCATGTCAGTTCATGTACGAGCAGATACGGAGCATACAGCACCATGTTCCATGGTCCCTAGCCGACAGACGGGGGAATGGGAATGCCGGGCACAAGACCCCAGTAACGATCTGAGTGTGAGTGTCCTGCGTACATATGATTTATGTGCGGAGTGTATGTTTGGCATGCTTGGGCGGACTGCGGATCACGTTTGCAGACCGCTGCATTGCATCTTCTGTCTGTCTTTTCTCTCGCCCTTATTGCTCTCTCCCTCTCTCGCTCTCTCTACTTCCCAGCCACTAATAAGAAAGTGCTAGTTGGTAGTGAGACCGAGGCGCGATTTTGGGGTGGGAAGAGTCCAGAAATTTCTTATTGACCAGGAATCTTGAAGGGGGAGGGGCTCGGCAACAACACACAGGTGGAGGAGCAGAAAAGGCTGGGCAGCGTCCTCCCCCCCCGGGGTGCGATCGAAGGCAAATGGAGATGAATGGACTTTGACCTTGGGTTCCCCCTCCCCCCCCCCGGGCCGGGGTCCCTTGACGAACGGGACGCTTGCTGCTGGCTGGTGGGTATCAGGTCGTTGGGGGCCCTGGGCAGCTGGCGTGTCGGATGTGGTTCTTGTCCGTGAGGAGGAAGGGGGGGGAAGGATTGTTTCTGCTACGAGGTGACGGCTGAAGATTGTTGGTGGTTGGTCCAGAGTCCGGTGTGGATGGGCCATGGAACTGATGGAGCACAAGTCGAAGTGGAAGCCGGTCTGCGGTCTGAGGAACAGAGAGGCGACGGAGACGGAGAGGAGAGGGCTGGGGCCTACGCCAGAACCCCAAACTCGACGACATGGGGCGACACCGTACGAGCAGGCCGTGGCGAGCGAGGCGCGTGGTGCATGCGGAAGCGGAAGCGGAAGCGGAAGCGGAAGCGGAAGCGGATGCCACGTCAAGGGAAGCTGGAACCACGCGCAAGAGAAGGACATGATCAGGATGATCCGTCGATATTTGCATCACGAGGACCTGCCGAGGCACATTTGCGAGCCAGACCACGGCCGCTCAATTGCGCTTTTTCTGTCCGAGCTAACGTCGATTGGGACTGAAGCCTTGACATGAGATTGCTTACAAAGGGCCAGTTGCGCCAGAACAAATGCAACGGTGGGACGGATATCTTGTTTCAAGGGAAAATAGAAATAGACCTGGTTTGTCGGTGGGTTATTAGCGTGGCGGGTGTAAATGTACCCGTCCACCTAGGCTACGCGGGTATGTACATGAAACCCTGGGCCCCGCCGCAGCAAAGGAGCGCACGTCGCCGGCGCTCTAGGGTAGTCTGCGCTCGAGACCAAAACAACAACCCCAACGACAACAGGCATGACGACGCACCACCGCGACAATCATGCCCAAACCACCAGCCGCGCCGCTCCCCAGGCCCGCGGTCCCTCGCAACACGGCCTCGGACCCCTGGAACTCGTCGTCAACAGGCCACCAGCGCGCCGACCATCACCAGCGCGGTACTGGGTGGCGCGACTCGCGCAACCGCAAGCTCAACTCGCAATTCCGGTCCGCGCCTCAAGGCCACGATGTCGAGGCCAACGAGCCCAGGGCGGGCGCAACCGTCGTCGACATGCTCAGGACGCCCAGACTGATGGCGACGACTGCCACCACCACCACCACCACCACCATCACGGCAAAGCGCGACGTCCCCGCGGGCGAGGACCCCCCCCGCGGCCCTGGCATATTCGCCGGGTGCGTCGTCTACGTCAACGGTAGCACGTACCCCCTCGTGTCGGACCACAAGCTGAAGCGTGTGCTCGTCGAGAACGGAGCCCAGACGAGTCTGCACCTGGGGAGGAAAAAGGTCACGCACGTCATACTGGGCAGGCCCGCCGGCGGGCTGGTCAAGGGCGCCGGCGGCGGCTTGGCCGGCGGCAAGATGGAGAGGGAGATACGGCGGATTGGCGGCGCGGGGGTGCGCTTCGTAGGCGCCGAGTGGTGAGTCCAGACACGGAGGCCGCCGTCTCCCCGGGCAGGGCCTGCGCGCGCACGCTCCCTCCCGATGGGCCGTGGTGGTGTTTTGCGTCTCTGGGTCCGGAGGGGAGGGCGCCGGGGAGACTTGTGCTGACGAACCGCGTCCACAGGGTCCTGGAGAGCCTCAAGACAGGCAGGCGGTTGCCCGAGGCGCGCTTCTCCAACGTCAAGGTTGCGGCCGCGGCGCAGGGGAGCGTGTACGGATTGTGCTCGGGCAACGGTGCCGCGGGGGGCAGTTTGTCGTGATTGATCCGGTTCGGGCGGAGGCGAGGCGAGGCGAGGCGCACGCGTCGTGCGGGAGGCACCGTGGCAAAGGGCGGGCTCGGCTTTCTCTCGTCTTCTTCCCATTGTGAGTGAGGCACGCGAGAGTGGTGCGTGTTGGTGGCGTCGGCGTTGGCGTTGGCGTGTTGCGGCGAGAGGGAGGCGGTTGGGATGGCGGGCACGAAACACCAGGCTTCTTGTTTTGCTCGTCTTGCTTGTTTCACTTTTTTTTTTTGGGTTTGCTTGTGGTTGGTTTTTTTCCCCCATCCTACCGGGTTACTACTTGCTGTGTCTTTGGGCTGCTGCGGAAATGGCATAGCATCGTCAGCTTCACGTCCAGCCTCACGTGGTTCCTTTCTTCACCGTGAGGCCCCCCTCTGTTGCGGGCACACGCCCGTCTCGTCTCGACGTTCTTGGCACACGGAGCACGTGCACCCCTTTGAAGCTTGAAGCGGAGGCCTTGCCAAATAGAACCGCCACGCACCGCAGTTGACGGCACAGGATGAGCATCTTCCCCCTCCCCTTCCTTTACTTGGCACAACAACCAACGAAACGAGCCTTGGTCCAAGACTCCGAAGTCGTGGCACCTCCTCACCGCCAACCTGCAAATCTACCAAACACCGTACGGTTCACCAGCAGATACGAAGCCGGAGGAAAAGGGTCGCCCTCCCCGCCTCATCGCCTCCATCCAGACCGCTATACGTCGCCGTCCCCGGGGACCGCGCGAACCAAAATCTAACAAAACGTCACCGTCTTCACATCCATGTTGCCGTCGTGGCCCCCTCATCTGGACGGTGTGACGTCCCGCGTCCAAAGCACGTGCAGCGAGTGCGTGAGGGGGGTCGTCTCACAAAGGCGCCGGCCGTGTCCGTTGGACCTCGTGGAGGGCGTCGTACCGCGCTGCTGTTGTGCGAGCACGTCGGGGCCGTGGAACGCAACGTGCATGGCGGTGCGATGGGACGAGACCAAGGATATGATTGTGAACATTTTCAGTGGCGACTTTCAACGCTTCACCTAGGTAGGTACCTGGTCTCGTGGCCAGCGGGCGGAAAACAAAGGACATGTATTGCCAGGGGACGAGAGGGCGCATGCTCAGTCGTATCCAGGGAGAAAGGACGAGGATACTCCAGCATGCGTGAGGGGCCCTCAAGAACTCCCCAACAATTTCGGCTCGTCTACAGCTTCGACTTCGGCTTTGGCCCTTAGACGGCCGCATGTTTCCCACGACTCTTCTCAAAGTACTCGCGTACTTTTGCCCTCGCGACCTCGACGACCGACGAGTCCTCAACAGTACTCGGCACCGTCACCTTCTTGTCAAACTCGCCGTGCACGCCATTTTCTACCAACTCGCGCAGGACTCGTCGCAGCGTCTTGCCTGAGCGGGTCCTGGGGATCATGCCTTTGCCCTGGACGATGCCTCCCAGCGACGCAATGGCTCCCACCTGTTCTCGCACCAAGGCTTGGATCTCGGAAGCAAGCTTTTCGTCGGGCACTGGTGACTCGGGATGGTCGGCCGTTGCAAGAGTGATGAAGGCAAAGGGGAGCTGGCCCTTGATGGCGTCTGGAATTCCCACAACGCTGGCCTCGGCGACGAGAGGGTGGGACGTAATTGCTTGCTCGATGCCGCCTGCACATGTTAGCATGTCAGGTGTCTCGAAGGGTCCGTAACTGTTTGCACAAGTCTCGTGCGGGAACTTACCGCTCGACAGTCGATGTGCACTGACGTTCAACACGTCGTCGTTGCGGCTCATGACGTGTACATAGCCATCCTTGTCAATCATACCAGCGTCTCCCGTATCCAGCCATTTGCCGTCAAATCTCTTCAGGTAGCTCTTGTAAAACCTCTCCTCGTCCTCCCACAACGTTCTAAATGCCGTAGGTGCCAGCGGCATACCCAAGACAATGTTGCCCATGGTGCCGGCTGTGACTGGGCGGCCCTCATCATCCACAACACGGACGTCAAACCCAGGCATCGCCTTGCCGGCGCTTCCGGGCTTGATCGTGGCAGGTGGGTGGTTTCGGACCGACGAGGCTCTGTCCATGCCAATGTGAGGAACCAAAGCACGGCCAGTGATGGGCGAGCCAGATTCGCTGGACCACCAGTTGTCGACCACGTGGGCATCCTGGGCAGCGTGCTCGTTCAAAAGGTCTTGGTACATGGAAATGAGGGAAGGTTCTGAGCGTTCTCCCGCTAGGAACAACGATTTCAGGCTGCGGAGGCCTCCGCGAGCACCGACTGCGGACAAGCATCTGTTTTCCGGGTCATCCCTCTTGATGGCTCGGAGAGCGGTTGGTGCCGTGAACATGGTGTTGACCCGGTACTCCTCTATCATCCTCCAAAACGCCGAGGCATCCGGTGTGCCGACGGGCTTCCCCTCGTAGAGAACGGTTGACGCACCAGCTAGCAGTGGCGCATACACGATGTAGGAGTGACCAACGACCCATCCGATGTCCGACGCTGTGAAGACGACGTCCCCGGGCCCATGGATGTCAAACAGGTAGCGTATAGAGAAGTTGAGCCCCACGGCGTGACCAGCAGCGTCTCTCATCACACCCTTCGGAGCACCAGTCGTGCCGGACGTGTGGATGACATACACAGGGTCAGTGCTCGCAACAGGCACGCAGTCTGCCCTGACGTTCCTGGCGCGGGCACTTCTCACTACCTTTTGCCATGTAGCCTGTCCACTGTTGCGATCAGGATTCCACCTAACCTGCGGCCGTTGCCAAATAAGGGTCCTCGTAGGCTTGTGCGGGGAAATCCTTATGGCCTCTTCGACGAGCGGCTGATATGCAATGGGCGGCTTGTTTCCATCGATTCCGCATGATGCCGTAAGTATAGCAACAGGTTTGCAGGCCTCGATGCGTTGCGCGAGGGCCTTGGGGGCGAATCCACCAAAAACGACGGCATGGACGGCACCCAGACGGTTGACTGCGAACATGCCGATCACGGCGGACGGGATCATGGGCACTGGGCGGTTCAAGCGTCAACACTTTGCTCTGCCATGTCGCGGGCCCAACTTACTGTACAGCAGGACAACATGTCCCTTCCCGACGCCCTCGGCCCGCAGCACGCCCGCAAGAAGCTCAACCTCGTCCAGCAACTGGCGGTACGAGTATGTCGCCTTGGTCTCGGTAACGGGGCTGTCGTAGTAGACGGCGGCAGCATCGCCTCGACCGGCCTCCACATGCCTGTCAATACAATTGTAGCATGTGGATATCTTGCCGCCGGGAAACCATTCCCAAGAGTCGTGGCTTACGCTGCCATCCTGGAGCGTTCGTCGTGTGCGACGCAGGGTCTCGGTCGGCTTTTCGTGCCAGTGAAGCTGTTCGGCTTGGTGAGCCCAGAATTCCTCCGGCTTGTCTAGGCTGTGCCGCAGCACGTCATCTTGCAAATGCGAGCCTGCTTCCCTCGAGGCCATGGTACGGCTGTGCGCGGGGTTGGGAAGGGAGGAAATGTTGAAATGAGGTTTCGGCAGGTTCCGCTTGTCCCGGCTCCTCGGCTAAGCAAGACGGATGGCCACGTCGAGCAGTCTCGCATGGCAGGAGCCCGGGAGCTGTCAATACAGCTCCTTCTTGATCGCCAGGCCAGAAACAAGCACGCTCCACTCTGGCGCCTCTGGAATTCCGCCTCCCCGGCGGACAAAGGAGCCACCCGGGGGCCAAACGTTCCCGCCCCGTCCGCTGCCGCAATCCATCCATTCACTGCCTAGCGTCTGGCGTCTGGCGACTGATGATCCGCTTCTCCGTACCATTTTATCGCCGAGGGGTCCATCACGATGACCAGGAGAACCATCGTTCTCAAACCGACTGCGCTACCGCTTTCAGAGGAGAACGACAGGACTGCCCTGCCCTCACGAACCCCAGAGGAACACCCCTACCCCCAGACGCCCTTTATTTCCGACAAAAGTGCAGGAAATAGCCACAGGGGAGCCCGTCGTCACAATGACGCAATGTCGCCACTCGTCAGTACTACGTACTTCTCCTTCGTATTAACCAATTGCTAAACACACGGCATAAATAGACTCAGCCATGCCTCGCAGTGTCAAAATAATTAATAAATACGGATCGAACCAAATGCCTACATCGGCCTCGCGAGACAGGTCGATGGGTGCATCACCACTACCCAACCCATCTTCCACCACTGCAGCTCTACCAACCCCCGTCCGGTGTCCCCCCGTCCCAACAATACAAACTGTTTGTTGTACTCCGTATCCCAGGCACGGCTGACAAGTCACAGTTTTTGCAACTCCATGGACGTAAATCCCTTGGCTACAGGCCCGGAGCTGCACATGTCTCACACGTCAGCTGCCGAGTTGGACGCACGAGGCATCAAGCACCACTCATGTCCGTGAACAGGAACGCCGACGTCGAGTCACTCGGGGTGGACAGACGCCAAACGTGTAGTTACTATGTACTCCGTAAACCACCTCGCCTGTTCTAACAAGCCACAGTTCGCACGGGGAGCAGTACGACAAGCGACTCGGCCTGCCACGCCCTTCTCCCCTCGGCTGGATTGTTTCACCTCAGACTTGTCTTCCGTAGCACTTGGCTCGTTTGTGCCACGCCGAAAACGTGCTCGCCACGAGCAACCATCGCCGGGGAGCATATTGTCACGTAGTTGTGGTGGTGATGGTGGTGGTGGTGGTGGTAGTAGTACCACATCGTGCGAATCAAACACCTGGGGCGTCCGCACGCGGCATGTACCAAGAAGCAGAGCAACGCTTTAATTTCCATAGACGCGCAAGAAGAAACTTAAACATGCCCCTGGATATGAACCAAGGCGGCACGTCGAGGCGTGGAGTTCTCGCCCAACTACTGGAGATATACGGTGGCGGTGAAACATTAACACTACGAGGCGAGACATAGATATCACCGAACAATAACAAGACACCGTGCCAGAAGAGATACCTTTGCTTGCAAGCCTGAGTTTGAGTATTAGGAGCAAGGATTACTTGACAAAGCTTCAAACGTACTCCAAGAGGGCTCTGTGCCGCGCGAGATACTAGCTTGAATAGCTTGTATACGATTGAGCACAGGGAACGAAAAGAAAAGCCAACAGATTGACCATATGGCATCGAGTAGTCTGTCGACTGAAAAGTCGAGCATCTTCATCGACGGAATGGAAAGGAGTCTTTATGAAGTTGTCAAATGGGTCGACCGTGAGGGCGAGGTCGTATTAGATCCAAAAATTCCAAAAGTGCTCGTCAAGCACATTATGTTCCAAGCGCCGAAAAATAGAAGAATCAAGACCGCACAAGCCTTGGTCAAGAGATTATCCCCCATGGGCTCGAACCGCCAGGTTCTCGGGGAGTGAATATGTTCGTAATCCAAAAAGTCTATACACATGCGAAGCTGTAAAGTCCCATTTAACATTCACTGCTCCTCCGCGTTTTCCAGTCAAAGGTCGAGTCCCCAGTTGATCCCACGAACCTGACATGCTCCATTCGTACAAGACATTGTAGGTTTGGATGTGGGGGCCGCGAGGTGTGACGGCTCAGTTGATTTACAGGATGAAAGCAGCAAGACCGACAACACCGGCCAGACCAGCGCCGGAGAGGGCGGCAGCCTTGCCGGCACCAGCGGTAGGGACGACGTCGCCAGACTTGGTCGGAACGACACCGCCAGTGGGGGACGCAACCGTCGTGTTGGGGAAGTTGACGGGGGCGGAGGCGGTGCTAGGAATCGTTAGCGGTTTTATTTCTTCGAGGTCCAGAGGTGCTTACCAGGTGGTGCAGACTACGGCAGGTGTGGTAGTCACGGGCTTGACGACGGTGCAGGGGCAGTTGGTGATGGTCAGGGTGGTGGGCTGAAGATCGTCAGTAATTTCCTCGTAGTACTCCGTCATTGGGGCAAGAATCTAGGCTACCGAGTGACCATGCGTTTTGTGCGACGTAAGGTACGAGATGCCTGATTCTGCTCCCTCTGAGGAGGCTCTGGGATGCTTGGGTATCCTTACAGCAGTGACCGTGTACGTCTGGGTGCCGTGAGTGATCTCAGTAGGCGCAGGGCAGTAGGTTGTGTACGCGCTCACGACCTCGGTGACGTAGGTGACGTTGGAGAAGGCGTTGGCGCCGACGGCGGCAGCGACGAGAGCAGCAGTGTACTTCATTTTGTCGGTTGGGATAACTCGAAGAGTCGGCTTGATTACTAACGAATGTAATTGACTAAATAGTCAGGGAGTATGGATGTGCGGGAGAGCAAGTGAGTGTGGGTGAGGAGAAAGGGAAGGACCCGGAAGGAGAAGGCGGCGTGGAGAAGCATCTTATAAGGCTGGCCAGTGGACACGGTGAGAGGTGAGAGACACGTGAGGCGAACCGTCGAGACTGGGGGTGCAACGACCAAATAAATTCGTTACGGAGTAGCCTGCTGCAAAAATAGAAGGGGGCCAGACAGGAGAGGGAGAGGGACAAGACAAGGCGCGATTCTGTCTTGGTCGGTCAGTCAGTCTAGTCTAGTCAAGTTCTAGTCTTGGTCCGACGACTGGCGGGCGTGGGGAGAAAGGTGGGTGGGGGGAGTGTGTGGATGCAAATGGATGAGAGCCGGGGTCGGGCATCATTAAACGGTTCCCAAGCTGGGCACAATACGGAGGACTTCTGGCAAGATGCAAGGTACCCGCCCCGGCGTCTTACCATGTCGATAAGCCCAGGTGGTACCTGGGTACTCCGTACTTGACTTAACTGAGCCAGTCAACCGTCAACCGTGTGGACGCCGTTTTTGGCCGCCAACTGCCTGCCTGCAAATATGCGCTAGTAGCGCCTCTTCTACCCAAGGAATTAGCGCCACCTTTGCTTTGTTATTCATATCAGTCAGTCAAACGTGGCTATGATTGTTCGCCGTGACTGTGACGTGACTTGTGTGCCAGCCCGAGTGGACACGGTTGATGCTCCCAGCCAAGTGGATGCGTGCACAATGCAATCGTCGAAGAAAAATCTTCCGGTACGGAGTACGGAGTACGTACTTACTTCATATCGCGCCGAGATTGGAAGATTGTTATTGGCCAGTCGCTGACGTGTGAACGGAGTGCTGCCGTACCGAGTAGGGTACACTGCGAACATAGGTACAACACAGCACAGCGGGCTCTCCGCAAATCTGACTTTTTGTTTTTGGCAAGTGGTCATCATACAAAGTCTCAGAGTCACCGTATCACACTGTTCCACATGTGCCAGATCAATGGGCAACGCATGGAGTACTCACACACCAACTCAGTACGGAGCACTCAAGCACTATCCTCTGTGAATGCCGGCAAAGGGGCCACGGCCAAACGTCACTGAGATGGCGGCATTATACTGGGAATTTGAAAGCGAGACTTGGAAACAATGATGATTACCAAGAGCCCTGTAGATCTGGGCTATCTTGAAGTATTCCACACAGGCAGCCGGGAGGGAGGTAGTGGGCAATACCAAGAGGCCTTTGCAATCAATTTTGACAGGGACACGCAGCGTTACAGCGCCGCCTTGCATGTCCCCTTCGCAAGTCATGTCAGGGCGCTCGAAACCTGCAGAAAAAGCAAAAAGAAAAACGAGGCATCGAGCATGGCACGGCTTACGAAGCACGCGAAGAAATGCAAGACTCGTTCTCTGTCAGTGGTCCTGGGCGTCAGAACCCGTCTCCCGACTCGATAACCATAACAGGGCGGGAGGCGTGCGAGACTTGCAAAAAAAACGCACAGCCAACAGACCAACAACACACACAGTACATGCGTGCCCGAGCGATACGTGACGTGACCTACAGTACCGGGTGCGGAGTAGACCGAGTATAACTGGTTGGACAGGGTGCTGCGGTGCGGACAATATTAGCAGTTTCCGCCCAAGCAACAGGCATTTCGGAGTAGCAGAGTGCCAACAGCGCATGTACGGAGTTGCGCCCCAGAAGCCTCGGCCAGTTCATTGATTCGTACGGAGTACAGAGCACTCCGTCTGTATTTCGCAGTCGCATGAATCCGTGGTGGCACCTCTGGTGTACGGAGCAGCACACAGCTCATGCAGGGCGCAACAGTCGTGGACGCAAAGCCCCTGAAGCCTTGCCACGCTAATGCAGGAACCAAAATTGTTGAGTGGCGCCCGTTGGCCTTTTCGACGCTTGCTGTTATCCGTCAGTTACTCCGTAGTTACCTCGTACAAGGCCGGCTGCGGAGTCTGTTGCTGTGACAGCCCAGGACTGCACATCAGGATGGACGGCATGTGCTCCGTACATCGACGCGCCTAATAACAACAACACTCCGTACACATGGGACGACTGGTATGTCATAGCCTGTCGTGTCACCACGCTGAATTGTCAGTCTGCGCAGACGGCTGTTGAACCTCTCGTCGCCTTTTCTTGCTCAGTGTCGATGGACGTACAGCGAGAACATTGGAAAAAAAAAAGAAAAAAAAAAGGCCGCAGTCATCCAAGACCAAGCCAGACACAACTACGTAGGCTGCTCCTCGACGTGGACCAGACGTTTCCCGTCCCTTCACCTCCTTTTCGAAAACAGAGACATGGACCTGACCTCTTTGCTGCATCGACACCCTCCCCCCTCTCCTGTTCCACGGGTCGCGGCAGCATTGACTGATTTTTCTCCCCCCTTACACGACGCTGATTGGCCTTTTGCCCCGGACAATGCTGCCCGAGACCCTCAGCAATTTCCAAAGTCCACCTGCCACGGCCAAGAGAAGAAAGGCCATGCCGGTGCTGGCCGCCCAATCTCTCCTGCCGCCCACTCACGAGGCTGACTGCCATGCTTTTTGTCAAAGTCGCTTGTGCAACTGCCAACAACGGCCCTTCAGTGTGCCACGGCGCACACAGCGGAAAAACAAATGCAAGCTGCGGTGACATGGGCGACCGACCGGGACCGCCAATTCACACCGATTGCTTGTTGTCATCGTCACGCGACGTTGCAGGGAGGAAACCCTTGGCTTCGGCGCAATTATCTTGGTTCTCTTTGTTTATCTTGACCGATCGATGGGAAACCAACCAACCCATGTTGAACCATCGCCCGACCCGACGGCCCGTTGAGTCTGCGAGGGAGGGTCCATTTTTTTTGGGACGAGCCCACTCTTCTGCGATACTTGGCAGGCACGGACTACGGAGTATGTACCACCTTTTTGGCAGTACTAGCAATGCAATTCAAGTGCGTATGACAGGCCCAAATAGTGACATCACAAGCATCTCAGCAGCTGATGGCGCATTGTTCGTCTGCCTTGAACCACTGGCAAATCGAGCAGCCCATTGATAACGGCTCAATGAGGCCCAAAGGAAGCCGATTATAGAGGCCTCTAGGAAAGCGTCCAAAAGGCTCCAAAGTTTTAGGGCTGCGACAGGTGTGAATCGTGATGTAGCTCTTTGTCAATCTAGAAATTTCTAGTACGTACCTCCTCATCATACTATCTCGTGGTAGAGTCATGTGCCTTTTAATGCAATAATTTTTATTCGCCTACATCCTGGTCGGTTACGTTCAAAACTTTAAAAGGCCGACAGCTTGGTTGCTTGATAAGAGTTTAGACTCTGAGTACGAACTTGTCTGCCCAATGATGTCTCCCATTCTTTTTTCTGCCGCAAAGATGAAGCAAAATTCGTATCGGGCCTTTCAACGACGATCATTCCAATAAATCGACCTCCGGGATGGCCTTGAAAGGCAAAAAAAAAAAAAAAAAAAAAAAAAAAAAAAAAAAAAAAAAAAAAAAAAAAAAAAAAAAAAAAAAAAAAAAAAAAAAAAAAAAAAAAAAAAAAAAAAAAAAAAAAAAAAAAAAAAAAAAAAAAAAAAAAAAAAAAAAAAAAAAAAAAAAAAAAAAAAAAAAAAAAAAAAAAAAAAAAAAAAAAAAAAAAAAAAAAAAAAAAAAAAAAAAAAAAAAAAAAAAAAAAAAAAAAAAAAAAAAAAAAAAAAAAAAAAAAAAAAAAAAAAAAAAAAAAAAAAAAAAAAAAAAAAAAAAAAAAAAAAAAAAAAAAAAAAAAAAAAAAAAAAAAAAAAAAAAAAAAAAAAAAAAAAAAAAAAAAAAAAAAAAAAAAAAAAAAAAAAAAAAAAAAAAAAAAAAAAAAAAAAAAAAAAAAAAAAAAAAAAAAAAAAAAAAAAAAAAAAAAAAAAAAAAAAAAAAAAAAAAAAAAAAAAAAAAAAAAAAAAAAAAAAAAAAAAAAAAAAAAAAAGGCCCCAATCAACCAAGTCTAGCCGAGTGTCCTGTCAACTGTCGGTTTGCTGATCGACTGGCAACGCGCCCCGTTCGTTTCCGCGTTTCATAAACTATTCAGCTGTTGGCCTTGCAAGGCATTCAAATTCGCTCAAAGCGCCATCAGCCCCTGTAGAATCTGGACGACACAATGTGCACGTCAGGGGATACACAATACCCAGCTACTCTGTTCTAGAACATGTCCCGTCAGCACCTTACCACGACCAGCCCGGAAAAAAAGCATGAGCTGTGTGGCTCGTCGCTTCGTGTTCCCTTTATCAGGTCGCAAAACACTCCAAGCATTTACCCCAACGACTCCGTGTGCAGCAAAAAGGGTCACTGTGCTCGATACCGACGCCCATACTTCACACGTACAGTGAGTTCCGGATTGGTCGCAGTCAAAGTAGCTCATTTTGACCCTTTTACTATTTGGTGCATACGAGGATGAGGTACTTTGTTCGTGCGGGAGTATGTACCCGGAAAATAGTGGTTGAAAAGTCGTTCATGGATCCCCGTGGAGGCCTTTATTCAGCCAGCTGTTCCGAGCCAGGTACCGAGTCCGGAATAATATGACTAACATACTGGACCTGGTATAAATAACAGGCCAGTAAAACAACAGCGTCAAGCCTTAATTATCGGCGGACGGCCGGGGCCGGAGACACGCGTCCTTGAATAACGCAATCATGGCTTAATGATAGTGAGAGCCACAGGCCCACAGCCGGGCCTGGCATTCCCTTCCGCAGGCATTGCCGAATGCCACCTGTGATGTTGGACAAGCCGAGACAGCTCAAGCTTGGTCAGTTGCCTTTCTTTAGTGGATGACGCTGGCGGTCAAACACGCCGGACCCTGAGTCGTGGTTTACGTGTCTTGCGCGTGTGTTTGGAAACGCAGGGGACATGCGGAGTAGTTGTGATGCTCATGAGCTGAGGGAGAAGACGCCGTGCTCGGGACTCGCGTAAACTGGGGATTTCTGGAATTCCTCTCAGCTACATGCGTAGACATCTCTGCCGTCGAGACATGTAGTACAGAGTACTTCAGACGATCTCTCCGGTGAAGGGTCCAGGCGACGCAATGACTGACCAGTCCGCAGCTACCAGGAACTGGATGCTCTATGCTCTTCGAGCAAACAATTGATTGGGACCTTGAAGTATCTCACAGCAAAGAACGCTGAACTCGACACCCGAATGGTTTCTCGGTTCAGGTCGTTCCTGGTTGACCATGCACTCGGTCTACCCGCCCGCAATGGGCAATGACTTGAGGAATCGACCGACGTGTTGTTTGCAGCACCTCTGGCGGCCAAGGCCACGGCATCACATGCATTGGGTCGCGAATGGATGGATTGCTGGACCATGTGCGGATTGGTCGCGACAGGTTGCCGAAGCTCTTTTTTGTTCCGGGCACGTGGCCTTGAAGCGGTCGAGTCGTTGCGAAAGCTTTTGATCCGCTCCGGTTCGGTCTCCCGGCCAGCCGCAGCCGCAGCCGCAGCCGCCGCGGCACGAGGCGCGCGACCCTCCAAGAACGCGGGTAGCTGGGTACCCATATCTAGGTGCGCACTCCGTATCCCGACAAGCAAGAATAGAATGTAACCAAGTGCTCAAGGCTGTTACTGTTGCTGACGAATGCTCCATTTTGCGGGGCGTCCAGTGGCTCGACTTCCGGGGAATAGACAACCAAGTGCCAAGCAGTCAAAGAGTCTATGCGAGAGCTCTGCTATTAACTATTAGCAAGATGAGCTCCCCTCGGGGCACAACAGGACACTCACTTCTCCACTGTACTCTGAGGCTTACGAGCACTACTCTGGACTACGTGCCGTCACTTGCAGCTCGGCTGAGGACGACGTTTGCCTTCCAGATGACCTGATATCATGGCGCGAGGAGGGGTATCCTGGCGGCAGTCCTTTTTCTACCAGCACAAAACGATTTTTATCTTTCTACAATGTGTTCTTGCTTGACTCGTGATAGCGCTTCTGTCGTGAGACATGAGAGCCGCGTGCGTAGCATTGAGATTGAGCCCATTGTATGCTGGTAGAAAATTATACGTAGCAAGTAAGCTGCTTGTCGTTGAAGTACTGGGTAAGTACTTATAGCTGATGAAGCCCAGGACAAGTCGCCAGGATACCCCTCCGCGAGCCACGGTAGGTGCCCGGTACGCAGAGTCCCCACGGTATTCCCCGCCAACGCAAGGTCCCTAGACACCCCGAGTACACGCTACCACTGAGCCGGTCTGCCTCAGGCTCAACCAAACCTACCTCAGCCACACCTCCATGGTCCTGGTCAAACTCCAACCTCCAAAGCGCAAACTCGCTTCGCATTATGGCAATGCCGACCGATCCTGCGCTGATGCCCTCGCCGCCCGCCGACCTCACACAACCCGAACAACAGGCGGTCAAGGAAAGACACTCCCTGACTCTAGACCAGCGACGCGCCCTGCGGAGGTGGGCCAACTCCCAAACCCTCCGGCCATCACACAAAGCCTGCATCGAATGGTTCTACGCGCAATATGGCCACCAGATAAGCCAGTCCACCGTCTCTCACTCCCTGTCGCCGAAATACTCGCGCCTGGACGGCGACAACCCCCAACTTTCCGGCTCGCGCCTACGCTTCGGCAACTGGCCCGACGTCGAAAAGCTCGTGCTGCTCTGGTACCAGCAGGTCCAGGCGGCGGGGCGGCAGCCTACAAACGACGAGCTGGGCGAGAAGGCAAAGTCCATATTCATGCAGCTCCCGCGGTACCGGGACGAAAACGCGCCCGAGTTCTCCCCCGGCTGGATCCATCGCTTCAAGAAACGCTACGGACTCCTGATCCGCCGACAGCGCCGCCCGGGGGACGGCTGCGCCAACCCCGCCGAGGACATCGACTACCTGGCCGACTGCGTTCCTAGGGTGATGGCAGTGGCTCCCGACACGAGTCCCGCCGCCATCAAGGAGCAGGTTCTGCGCGTCGTCGGCGTCGAGGCCAGCCTCAGCACGTGCGCCCTGGTACGAGACGAGATCGTGAGGAGGGTCAACGCCGCGAACCAGTCGCCGCTGCCGCAGCACAACGTCCACCATGCCGACCCTCTCCCTCCGCCCCCGCCCCCGCCCGAGCAGCCAATGTACGCCGACGATGACCCCGAGGTCGTTCTCCAAAACGCCCTGCGCCAGCTCCAGCAGGAGGAGCAGGCCGCCGAGGAGCAGGCCGCCGCGGCGCGGGAGGAGCGCGAGCGCGCCGAGCGCGCCGGGCTACATGCGGCCGGCATGGTGGCTACCCCGGGCGGCGCGCGGGACTCTTCCTCCGACCCGCGGTATACCACGCCTGCACAGGAAATGGGAGGCCACGATCTGACTCTCACTCCGATCCACTCAGACGGTCCGATTTCTTCCAGTGAACGGCCCATACGCTGCCCGTTCTGCGTTAATCAGCGCATGTTACGGACCATTAAAGAAGCTGTCGAGCACATGTCTACACATGTCGTCGTGTGAGCAGTACAGTACAGACGGCATTCTGTCGGAGTCCTGTGCCATCATTTGATTGGTCTTGTTCTGTTTAGCGTGTTTTCTCTCTCCCTTTTTTTTTTTTTTTTCCCTTTCCTCCCAAACGGTGACGAAATCAATTATGAATACCTGGGTCACGGGGCCGGGGACAAAGAAAGAGGCACAGGAGTTCAGGATCGTAATGAGCATGGTTTAGGGTCATGACAATAGTTTTGTTAAGCCGACGAGCTTTAGCCTAGCCAGGGCACAGGGATTTGTGAAAACAAGTTGCGCCGCGCAACGAAATAATAAATGCGCCGAAAGGCACAAACTCACCAACTACGACATTGACTGAAACGCTCGCCACATGAACTCGAAGCTCCCGTGTCATGTCAATCCGTGTCTTGTATGATTTCTAAGCGCGGGGATAGCATTCTATATGAATCCACTATCCCTCAATGCCTTCAAGACGGCCTCTTCTTCGAGCTTGGCCTTGCCCTTTGGAGGAGGAATGTCACCGGTGTCTATGTAATTCTTCCAGAACTTCAACCCCTCCAGTCCTTCCTCTCTGCATAAAGCGCCGTGCTCCTCTGCCATGAGCAACTCGTCCTCGGCAACACCAATGCTCCAACCGAATCGTTCCGCAGCTTCCAAGGCCGTGACCCCACGCCCGAATTCCCTCCAATCCCAAGTGACTTCCCGTTCCGGGGGGAACTCGTGTAAATCTTGCAGCCAGGAGAGCAGGGACTTGATGGTCGTGTCATCGGTTCGATCGTGGCTCTGAACGACCATGACGCCGCTGCGAAAGGTTCGCAGCCGAACCGGGAGCCTTAGACTCTCCCACAAACGCGCGGCCTTCTCAAAGTCCATGGGGCTGACGAGCTCGACACCGCCTCTTGCCCTGTTGAACATGGCCCACAGATCGACGAGCGTGATAATCCCTCCGGCTCGTTTCAAGACACCCCTCGAGTCATCGGCCAGGAACTCGGCAATATTTCGAGACAGTTCGGATATATACAGAGACTCGGAACTTCCGCCGGCGACAATGTCCTTGGTCGTAACTAGGCCTAGCTGGCTCGCGGACTCTGCCAGGATTGCATTCTCTTCGGCCGAGGCACCGCCAGCGGCACCATTCGTTTGGCGAGCATACCGTTCCGCGAGAGCGATGACTTCCTTTGCTGACGACATTAACGCTTCAAGATCTTCAAATGCACTGCCAATCAACATTTCATTGTTCTTATGCATGTTGAGACCCAACTGCTCTAGACCGGCGATGCCTGCGGTCTTGGTTCGATTCCCATTAGTTGCATCGGATGAAGCGGCCGCTGCAGTTGAGTCTGTGCTTCTTCCACTTTTAGGAACCGGGGGAGCATTTTGCAGCAACCATTTTCTCTGCGTTATAGCACCTTTCAGCCTCTCGTGGAATATCTGCACGCCTCCGCCCCGAAAAGATAACTTGACGCACTCAGCCACGTCGATCCCTGAAGGTGCGTTGTTGAGGGCTTCATGAACAGGCCCTGGGGACTCTGTACGCACTGCGAGCGCTTCGGCATTCATGTGCGGGGGATTTTGTGACAGAAGCGGTGCACCGCAAATCTCGCAGGCAAGCAATGACGGATGGTTCGAAAATGTGCAGCGCGGACATGCAAAGGATGCCCCCGTATCAGTCGAGGATCCTGGCCTATTCTGCCCGAGGGTTTGGCTAGGGTCTTGATGAGAAGAATCCAGAGGGCTTGCTGGGAACAGCGTACCGGATCCACCCTGCCGATTCGAAAGCAAACTAGGGCTCGAATAAACGTTGATTGCAGGCGTTGGACGTTGGCTAGCGTTGTTGATGGCTGCCTTTAAAACATGCGCCAATGTTGGTTTTATTCCACAGGCAAGGCATGCTGGTAGCGGCGTGTGCGCATTTGCTGCTGCAGGATCGAAGTTTACCGGTACCGGGTTAGAGAAGCTGCATATAGTGCAGACCCAGGTGGCCGTCGTCACCTGGGGAGGCTCTGATGGAGGTCTATGTGCACCGTCTCTTTGCCCAGGAGATGCGGAGTCGTTTCTCAAAGGGGACACTGCATTGGAAAGCGCTCGATTATGAAGTGAAGGGCGCTTTAGGGGCTTGGGAAAGATGGTGATTTTGGGTGACGACTTTAGAAACCCGGCGTAGAATTCATGTCGGTCGATATCCTTGAGATCCAATGCCACGGAATTTGTTCTCGGCTCAGCTTTATCAACATAACATATCCGATGAGAGGTCAAGTAGACTTGGCCATTTTGGTGACTGGGAAGCTTGAACTTCCTGTGACGCTCTGTCAGCATATTCCTACCTTCCACACGTCAATGAAGAACCGAAGGGCAAGCTCACCCTTCATAAAGCCCAACGTTATCCTGCACGAACAACAGAATCTCATCCGGTAAGTACGACGGTCGTAATGCAGTTGTAAGATCTATACGTTTCAGAAACATCCGTCATATCGTAGTGGCTGATTAGCCGGGGCTCAAAAGTCCAAATGGGAAGCGTTCTGATCGTGGTCCCTTGGTGGCGATGATGAAGCGATGCTCGGCTATGGTCAGTATATACGGATAAAAACCACGTGAAAGCTAGATCAATACTGATCAGATAGTGTTGAAAGTCGACCTTGTTTTGAAGCTCGAAGGTTGCATATGGTGGAATGCTTAAGCTGGAAGAGGTAAGCATTTCTTGTCGTCAATGCCGTCAGTTGCGTTGACGAATTTAGGCTGTTCATTTGTCGTTCATCACTACTCCGTAGAGGGGGCAGTCGCGACGCCACAAGAGACCCCCACACGTATTATCTATTAGCCGACGATTAGCCGACCGGTCACATATCCATTTAGGCTCCCCTCCGCCCACCAGGAAGCACATTTCCTTCCTTACCAACTTCACACCGTCTGTTCGGCAGCACACACCAACATTGTCGACTACCCTCACGCCTCCCAACTTCAAAAGCTACGGACACAGGCATTTGAAATTGGCGAAAAGCTATCATCCAGCACACGACGATTGATCACCATGTTGCCGGGGTGGTCAGACACACAGCAAGCGTCTGGCGTCTCCCAACAGACCCAGCCGGTCGCGTATAGTTGCACTGCCATTGAGAAACCTCAACCAACTCGTCTCTGTGAACACAAAATCGATCGACTCACCATCCCAAAAGATCCTGCCTTTGTTCCAGTCCAAGTCCGCCAGGGCTTCAGTCAGTACGCGCCTCCGACACCTCCTCCGTACCAAGGTAATGCGCCGCCTTCCGTTGGTGCCCAATCCCCTGCCCAGGCAGAGCAGTCCAAGCCAAAGACGGAGTGGCCCGAATCTGTCCGGAGATATGTTCAACGATCCTTTCTTCCCGAAAATGACGACCCATCCGTGTCCCGCGCAGAAGTCGAAACCAAACTCAAGGAGACGATTGGCACTGCCAAAGAAAACGGCACTTTGTACACAATAGACTGGGACGCTGTTCCTATGCCGCAAGCCCTTGTGAAAGCCGACCGTGATGCATTGTATAATCGCGGCAATCACGCCCCCTCATCGTCAGAATCTCTCGCCTCCAGGAAAAGAAAGTCTTCCGATCTTGCCGACAGTGTATCAGACCAACCACCGTGGCACAATGCTAACTCTCGATCATCTCTCGAGAACCGTATTTCATATCCATCACCAGACAAAATTTCCGCTTTCGAAAACAAGTCGGTGAAGTCACGTAAGTTTCAAAAAGAGGCCGCCAAAAAACGCAAACGTCGCTTCGAGAGCGAATACAAGGCTGTATACAGATCACCCAGTCCAAATGTACCTTCATCTGGTCCGATTATCGGAACTAGTGAGGTATTGGAAAAGAGGTATCTCCGCCTCACTGCTCCTCCTATTCCTTCCAATGTTCGACCTGTGCATATCCTGCGCCAAACTTTGGACTTGCTTAAGAAGAAGTGGAGAAAAGAGGGAAATTATTCGTATATTTGCGACCAATTCAAATCGATGCGACAGGATCTTACTGTTCAACGCATCAAGAACGATTTTACTGTTTCCGTCTATGAGATCCATGCCCGCATCGCCTTGGAAAAGGGGGACATCGGTGAGTATAATCAGTGTCAGACCCAGCTTCGTTCTCTCTATTCTCTGGGTTTAAAAGGCAATCCTATCGAGTTCAAAGCGTATCGTATTCTTTACTTCATTCACACTGCCAATCGTACTGGTCTGAACGACACGATGGCAGTCCTAACCGCAGCAGAAAAGGAGGAGAAGCCGATCAAGCATGCGTTGCAGGTTCGATCGGCACTAGCCTTGGGGAACTATCATAAGTTCTTCCAGCTCTATCTCGACACGCCCAATATGGGCGCATATCTTTTGGATATGTTCGTCGCCAGAGAACGTCTTGCGGCGTTGTGTTATATTAGCAAATGGTATGTTCTATGCCTTTACCTGTGAAGCTGATAAAGCCAGGCAAACGCTAATGATTTCATAGTTATAAACCTGATGTTAAGCTTCGTTTCGTCACTGAAGAATTGGCTTTCGAGTCGGATACCGACGCTGCCCAGTTCATTATCGATCACAGTGGACAGCACCTGCTGGAGGACCGCTCAGATGACATTGTTTTTCTGAGCGGGAAGGCTGGCCCGCTGTTTGAATCATCCAGATCCGAGGCGTTCCGAAAAGTTGACATCAAAGGACAGATCTAACCTTGGACGAGCCGTTTTATCACCTTTTCGCAAATGTTTCAATCCCTTGGCAGCAGTAGCCGCCAATACGTCTGTCCTTAGACCACGACGCTTCACGTGATAATGACGCTTTTGTACTGAGGGATCGCGGTCCTCGCTGTCGAGTCCTCGAGCGGTTGTGGCGAGTTGGCCTCTGCCAGACGGCTCGGAGAGATGAAATGGCATTCCGTTTGGACTTGACGCAGCATGGGCCGGGAGGCTATTGCGAAAAGCCGGATTGTTAAGTCAATTTCAGTCACAAGGTACCCCAGATCTTGTGATGGGCAACCAGGCAGCCTGGCAAGGGTGCATTGGTATTCCGACAACGATTCCCATGATGGTTTTCTTTTGTTTTCACACTGTCCCATTTTCTGCAATGTAGCGGTGGTGTTGCTACATGTTTTTTTGCGTCAATGATTCGAACCCGATACCCATGCCATGCGTCCATGACACTGGTGTTCCGTGCTACGAGCGACGAAACTCAGCTTGCCCATTCTCAACACGTAAATTCATCGACCATACCTCAGCAATTGACACTACAGCCTACAGATACGGAGAAGATTCTGGATAAGATCAATAGCATGGGGACATAGACATTTCATACTTTAGCCTAGCATATATAAATCACATGCAAATTTTTCGCACTCGACCAGGCTCACAATGCCAGTCGCCCGCCAATTTCGCATTCAAGGAGAGATGCCCCTGCTCGGTTTGGTAGTCATTTTTGCTTATGACTTGATGAGTTCTGTAGAAGACCTAATAGCAACACTAGGGGATCTGTGGTGTGACTGCGGCCCTACCTGGATCGACAGAGTCGGCCAACAATGACGTGCGTAGCTGCTGGGCTAGTCGGGGATCGTGGATCGTGTTTCCTCCCCGGGAGTTGCTGCTGCCATGGTCGACGGTCAATTAACAACTCTGCCGAGTTCTCGACCGCCGAAGCTCCAAGCTCCGACTCGCACATTCCAGAGGCGCCAGATCTCCAAGGGCTACTGGGCTGGCTGGCAAAAGTATATAGATGCTCGACCTTGGACCCGAGTACACTACGTCTTGGCGGGTTTGGCCCACAGCGCCCCCGCGACAAGAAACCTCTCGAGTCTCGACGCTGTTCAGTGTTCACGTTCTCTGGCCCGATGCAGATGGATGGGGTGCGTCCTGGCACGCCTCGCCGGCTCTCGTGACCGCCAGCGTAGATGTGCTCGGTGACGGAAGCAAAGCAAAACAACCGTACCTTTCTTTACCTTGGTGTCCTGCCTGTGATGTACGGCAGCGAGGGTGGAGGACGCTCGATGTATAACGTTTGGCACAAATAAGTACCAACTAGTGTCTAGCAGGATGTGCGTTGCGTACGTCGTGCCGAGGCAGGTGAAGCATCAGCAACTACCCATCGTAACGTACCTGACTGTAGAAGCAGAAGCAGAAGCAGGTGATGGATCTGCGGATGTGATAGGCCACAGGGGTTTGAGTATTGGGCCACGAATTCGCGATAGGCTCATACGCATGGACGACAAGCGTGGCGGAGGGGCCCAAGGGGCTGGGCGGCCATGTGCCAAAGTTGGCTGTCAAAGCCACGGTTGGGAGTTGAGAGAGGGAGGAGTGGAGCATGGAGGGCGACTCCTGCGTGTTGTGTTGCGATTGACGGCGCAAGTATATTGTTGAACGTTGCACTTCAGCCTCTGCTTCGTCTTGGGCCTTGGCCGCAGCGCCAGGCCAGGCGTGTCTGACGGGACGACGGGAGGACGTACGGTTGGTGTCGTGTCGTGGCATGAGCACAGGCAATGGCTTATGCTAGCTTCAGTAGAGCCGGGTGCCATGGCCGAGTTTATCGGCGAGACCGGTACAGCTTCCTCGTCTCTCTCGCCTCTCGCCTCTCGTCTCTCGTCTCTCGTCTCTCGTCTCTCGTCGCTCGTCGCTCGTCGCTCGTCTCTCGCCTTTCGCCTCTCGTCTCTCGTCGCTCGTCGCTCGTCTCTCGTCTCTGCCCGCTCGAGTCAAGATCCATGTCATGCAGGTATGACAGATGCAAGCAGCCTCGTCGACAGGTGGGCTCCTTCTGCGCCACCAGTACTCCGTAGGTAGGTCAACTCTTGGCCATTCGAGAACGGAAATGGACTGCGTCCTCGAGCGCCGGCTGGGCATTTCGGTAATGGTTTAGCCCCGAGACGATGAAACATATAAACTGGATCGCATAAGTGTGGGGTACATGGAGAATTTGCCATTGGACTCTGGGTGAACAGCGTTGTGTCGTAGCTTGATTGCTTAATTGCTTGATGGCGAGGGGTCGCATCGCGGGCTGAGAGCTGAGGAATGGGACAGATGCCACCGAGTCGCAACAGGCGCTGCAGGCAAACTCGTTGCGAGAAACAACCTTGACGGCGTACGGAGCACGTACTCTCGAACAAACGTCGCGCGTACATGGCATCACGGCGTTTTTGAGGCGACGGCAACAGGGCACCTTTGTTGTACGACGCTTCAGCTGTTCCTGCACCTGCACCCCAACCATGGGCCAACGTGTCGTGTCGTACATCAGCTAGACGCAAACGGTAACCGTCACGGGTGAGACAAGACCGAGCGGGAAATGGTCAAGACTAAGCAACGGTTGAGCGACACCACGTTGTCCTGTAGTCGGCATCAACGGCCGCGCGAGGGGTCTATGACAGTGATGGACAGGCCAGCTGGATGTTACAGCCCAGGCCCTCAGGGGCGAGGCAGGTGGCTTGGCTGGATGTTGGATGGATGGGTGGATTGATGGCGTCAGGGATGGCGGGCTGCCACAGTTCCGGCCCCTCCAAACGTCGGATCACGGAGTCAGTCGCAGGCCAAGGCACGCAACACAATACGCGGTACCCTGTACCCCGTACCCCGTACTCCGTACCCCGTAGAGTACTCCGTATATAAAGTGCAAGTGCTGATGCTGGCCATTGTCTCTGGGAGGGCGTGCGTGTCGTGCATGCGTGCATGCGTGCATGCGCACATCAAGATGTGGACGCGTGGTTGCTTTGCTTCGGCCCTTGCCAACCTGCGGATGCTTCTGCACGCTCTGAGCCTCGTATCAAGCTGCCGTCGGGAGATCAGGGTCGGACAAGCAAAAGCTGCACAATATTGTACCGAGTTCTGCACGAAAACGTGGTTGAGACGCCGCTTTGCGATTGATTGGCTTCAACGTTGGTGCCCACGGTCCACGGACGGCAGAGGACGGCAGCCTGGAGCGGGCCAAGAATCAAGATGTCGGGGCCCGAGGTGCTAATTGGTAATACTGACTGAAGGTCGAGCCCCTCGCTCCGTGGACGCCGTGGACGCCGTGGATGCCGTGGACTGCATCCAAGCCGAGTCGCTGCTTGCCGTCGAACAGCAAACGAGTCACCATCACCATGTTATTGAGAGTTTTCCCTGTTCCAAACCAGTGCATCCATTCCAAGCCCGGCGCAGTTCTTCGGCATGCGTGCAAGTGCGCAGTTGCAGTTGCGGGACATGTTGGAGTAGAGAGGACGGCAATATGTATTTACTCCAACTTGCTGCGCAGTAACTACTCCGTAATGCCATCATGTTTACTTGTGGTCGAGTCGTCATTGGTGTCAGTTGAGCAGTGGGCAGTGGGCAGTGGGCAGCGGGCAGCGGAAATGGAACCCGCAATGCCCATATCAATCAATCCATAACCCATCATGCCTTGTAGAGCGCCTGATCAGTTTTGAGGTTCGGCAACGCCCTAGCCGTGACTCTCCCTTTGCCTGTCGCCTCCTCTCGGAGTAGTCCTTTCGCCTTCTTCTTCTTCGTCTTCTTCTTCCTTTTTTTTTTGGCGGCATATTGCCGGCCCAACCGTCGTCATCACTTGCTGCGAGCCAGCGCCGTTGATCTTAACCCGCTGCCAATCCTTGTTGTTGGCGTCTCGCCCGGGTCCTCACCCGCGGGAACCACCGCTGCTACATCAACAAAAACAACAGACAGATAGACGTCGACAATGACTTACGCACCCGGAAGCCCCGAGAAGATGCTCAAAAATACGAGTTCCCGCTGAAAAGCTTTGTCGGCGTCGGCCTTGTTTATTTTATCACGGGTACGACGAGGAAATTCAAGTGCCAACTGTTGTTTGCGCCGCGTTGCCTCGACCCATCGAGTCGTTCAACATTGAGACCTCATGCTCACGCTCATGCTCACGCTCACGCTCACGCTCATTTCTAATCCCCGGGTAAAAACAGGAGGCGTATCGACAAACCGTTTTCTTCACCCGCACCGACGGCATCCACCCGAGTGCATTTTCTTGTGCCCTGAAAAGGTTCCAAGTCCATCGTCTACATACGGACTAGGAGCAGCCTGCAGTCCACCCGAGCTTCTGATTTGGCGAATTTGACTTTGCGCCAACCTCCAGCAACGATCAACGTTGCCCATCCGAGCCTCGCCAGACCTGCTGATTGAAAACTCGCTGCCTTCGCCAACGTCTCCACCATTGAATCCACCAACAACACTTGAACCCACACGGGGCCTGAGCTAAGCTACTGGCACCGGCCATTTCGACCTCTAGGGAACATTGGGCCACAGACCACGGAGGACCCAGAGACCGACCGGGTTGACCAGGTTGACCTAGCTGGCTGGCCTAGCTGGTCGTGGGTTGATCGAATAGTAGGACGAGGGACCGGCAGAGGGAGATAACAACTAACTGTGAACCCCCCCCTCCGTCTCTCGCCTTTCGGTGCGACAACTTGTCTTCGTTTTTTGCTGCCAACCCTCGACCCTCGCCGCAAACCCGCAGTGTGAGTGTGAGTCGTACAGTATGAAGGTACGTTGCCGTCCATTGCTCAAGAGCGTCGTCATGCGCGTCTCGCCTTTTCATCTGCGCATGCGTGGCCAACGCTGCGTTTTGGCCCTCGTCACTGCGCACCCTCCCGTGCCAACGGTCTGCTCCTTCTTTGCCTCGAGAACCTTGGCATGGGCAAGCCATCGTGTGCTTCCTTGCGCCTTCTTGTTCTCACACAGGTGCACCTGCCTGCTTGCTTGCCTACGCGGCGACACCGCTTTGGCGCCGCTTTCCTGCACTTGACAGTTGCTCCTTCCTTTGCTTTGTCTCGCTTTCATTTTCACCCCGCACTGAGCAACCAACTGTTTTGCTACGCCGCCATGATCCCGCAACTGGGACATACCCAAACCACTCCATATATTTAACAACAGTTCTCGACTTGCTAATATTCATGGCCCTCATACAGGCTCTCCGTCGGTCCATCAAGGGCGATAAGGAAAAGCAGAACCACGTCTCAATAGGAAATAAGTCTGCCGTCGCCATTATCCCACCCAAAAAGGTCGGTTCCTGAACCTTCCACCTGGCCGCACATCCTACCCACGATCAGCCCGTTCATTCCCTCCCGAGGCCACGCGGCACATGTCGAATATCGAGAGATGCGCTTGCAGTTGGGTCCGGGATGCTGGCCCTTGTTCCTTCTCCCTTTTCCTGCTTAGCCTTTTTTTTTTTTTTTTTTTGGCCCCCCACCTATCCTGTCTGTTTGCCCTCGCCTCGGAAGGGTGTTGTGTGCTAACAATTTGGTCTCCCTGCAGGTGATTCGAGCGTTGTACGACTATGAAGCCCAGTCATCGCAAGAGTTGAGCTTTTCCAAAGGCGATTTTTTCCACGTTATTGGGCGCGAGAACGACCAAGACTGGTATGAGGCATGCAATCCTGCCCTGCCTGATGCCCGAGGCCTTGTCCCGGTCGCCTTCTTCCAAGCCTTGGGCCGTACCGAGCGAGACAGCGCCCAGTCAGACAATGGCAGGCCGCCTACCGCAAAGAGTCCCGACCATGACTCTGGTTACAGCGAGAATGCCCCGCATCCCATCACTGCTGCCGCACCAATCACCCACCGTAGTACCAAGTCTACCGATATTGACAACAAAATCTTCGCCACTGTCATGTATGATTTCGAGGCCCAGCGGCCAGACGAGTTGGGCGCTACCAAGAATGAGCAAATCATCATCATTGCCCAGTCCACCCCGGAGTGGTTTGTTGCCAAACCCATTGCAAGATTGGGCGGTCCTGGCTTGATACCCGTCTCATTTGTCGAGATCCGCTATGTCAGGACAAAAGAGGTCGTCCCAAACGCAGTGGAAGCCGTCAAGAGGGCTGGAGTTCCGAGCGTGGAGGAGTGGAAGCGGATGGCCGCAAATTATAAGAACAGCAGCATCACTCTGGGTAAGTTTGAGGCTGGCGCAGGCGCAGGCGTTCAGCAGGCTGTTGAGCAGGGTATGGAGCGCTTGAGCCTCCAAGCAGGGAGACCGAGTACGCAAAACGGATCACAGGTATGAGCGCATTTATTCGTCCACCACACGACTGTCGCCCCAGCCTCATTGCTCATGTTCTTCCTACTAATGATTGCCCTACATAGCACCATGCTGCGCAACAGAGTGCCTCTCAGCCCCAACAATACGCTCCCGACCATGAACAATTTGAACTTCCCGCGCCGACCAAAGCCTGGATCCCTCGATACTGCTTTGCCGAAGACAAATATTGGTTTGTTATCGTGGCTGTTCTTCAAGATGGCAGGTACTGGGAGCTCTCGCGATACTACGAAGATTTTTACGACTTCCAGATTGCCCTTCTCACACAATTTCCCGCAGAGGCTGGTAATGGCGGTTCAAAGAGAACCCTGCCATATATGCCAGGCCCTGTCAGTTATGTCACCGATGCAATCACTGAGGGACGACTACACAATCTCGATGCCTACGTCAAAAATCTTCTCGGGCAGCCGCAATACATTTCGCATTGCAACCTAGTGAAGCGGTTCTTTGCTCCCCGTGAGGGAGATTATGAGGTTGACGCAACATATGTCGAAGAGGAATTGCGACTTTCAGAGGGCTCACAACAGCCCCCCGAATCTCCTGGAAACGGCGGTCCTCGAACCAACCTGAATGAAAATAGCTATCCAGGACCCTCCGCTGCTTCTCGACAATTGAGTAACTCGCAACAGGGTACGGGCCCTCAGCCACAAGGTCAACAAAAGCCACCTTCCGTGATGAAAGTCAAGATGTATTACCAGGGCGAATATAAGAATCTCCTCGTACCACCCGAAGTTGACTACCAACAGCTGTGTGGCCGGGTACGGGATCGATTCAACCTCAGCGCGGATAATCAATTGCAACTATTCTATAAAGACGACTCATCGGGGAAAAAGCTCAGTTTAACGAACAACAATGATCTCGACTTCGCGCTTCAGCGGCGCGAGAAGCTCGTCCTCTTTGTCGAAGTTCTATGAGAGATTTCGTCACGAATTTGCCGACGTCCTGGTTTTTTTTTTCTCAAGCCTCACACCGAGAAAACAAACCAGATCGATGAGCTCATAGCATGCTCGCATCTGTTTTCCACCTGTTTTTGGGTACATGATTCGTAGCTGAAGGGCGGTTCCATTTGCGACGCAATGTGTTTTTATGCGGCTCCCGTCTATCCCTCTTGGAGGCGGCTGCATTCGAGTCTTTCTGTCCTCGTCAACAATTTTCTTTACTAGGATGCAAGCCTTCATGTGGTCAGTAAGGTCACGGGAAGACTGCATGTTTCGACTTCTTGTACAGGGGTCTTGCGTGGGCGCTATCTGATATTTGTGGGGGAAAACAGCATTTTGACTTGTCCAATTCTATTTAAATAGGGAGGCTCTGGCCTGGGGACGGCGTTCCGGAAGCTGATTTGACGAATTGCTTTTGCTGCTACGCATACGGCGACTTTATACCTTGACGAGGTTGAATGCCCGAGGAGCAGAATGGTGGGAGGAGACCACACTCGGATGGGGAAGATGACACGGGGGACGGTGATGACGAAGAAGTGGACCGAGTTGGTGGTTTTGAGATTATATGAGCATGAGAAACGAAGTAAATGGAAACGAAGCCAGTTGCGCGGCTTGAACTGCTAGGGGCGCCACTTTGATACACAACAAAACCAAGTCGCAGCTGGGAGAGCCTAATGACTGCATATACAAGCACTTGACACGGCCGTGACCATTGATACGTATCGAATGATTTTAGTCTTGAATGACGTGTTGCCCAGCAAGTGTGTCCCGAATCGAAAGCCATGATTTTTTTTTGTGCTTGGACATTTTCGCCTCTATAGTCATCTACCTGTACCCAAGGAGAGGAGGATATCACGGCAAACAGTCTAAGCAGACAGAAGGACGCAAAAAGCCCCGACGCCTCACAATGCAGAAAGGAACCATGGACAGAAGGCCAAGACTTGCGGAGACGAGCAACTCAACGAGTGGCAGACGGTGAGGAGCCAGAGCGAGCGTCAGTCCAGGCTTGCCATCAGGCTTTGCCGGACCTTGAAGTTGACCACTCCCCCGACGCCGAAAGCGGGAAGAATGCGGCAGACTCTGGCGGCGGAACTTATAAGCCAGTTGGACCGAACGAGCTCGAAGCGGTCGCGCCAAGAAACGGCCGCGGACCGAGCCGGGCGATTGTACAGATCCAAGCCGAGGAGGTGCAGGGGCGTGGAGAGGAGCTGCACCGCGGCGGGGGCGACGAACTGCGCGGCGGTCTGGCCCGACGCCCACCTCCTCAGCGGCGCGGACAGGCGGGGGTCGATGAGCGGCGCCAGCAGGGGCGGGATGTTGAAGGAGGCGAAGACGGTCAGGCAGTCGCGCAGGGTGAAGAGGGCGTACGAGGGCAGCGGGACGGCGCGGGGCGCGGCGCCGACGGGGCCGAACATGCGGACGAACGAGCGGTCCTTGTACATGCACAGGCCGACGTTGGCGGCGGACGAGGCGGCGAACTTGGCCGCGCCGGAGGACGTGGTCGCCGCGGGCGTGTCGTTGACGGTCGAGGCGGCCGTGTCGAGCGCGTTGGCCGTCAGGTACGTGCCGCCGTAGAGCGCGAAGACGAGGGCGCAGGGGCGCGAGAGGAGCGCGGCGGCAGGTCGCAGCGTCAGGGCCCGGGCGGAGGCGCGGATCGAGTCGACGAGGGAGCTGCGCCCCGAGGCGTGTTCCATGATGGACCTGCTTCGTGAGCCGGGGCACGGGAAGACGTCGATGGACGGCACGCTACGTACCGGTCAATCATGGAGATGAGCGGCGCGACCAGGACACCGGCGCAGGCGGCGCCGGCGGCGTCGGCGGCCAGTCTCCACGCCAGGTCTTTCGTGTTCCAGCGTGGTGCGGCGGCCTCGTCGGGGACCTTCATGGCGAGAGGAGGGCGAGACCGTGGGAGCTGCGAGACGGCCGGGGCGGGACGGGACGGCGGCCAACGAGCCTGGCCTGGTGAACGAGCGAGGTCCTCTTCGACCGTGGCGGCTTCTTCCTCCAGAGTTGGGGTCGGTGGACGACTGCTGCGGACGCACTGCGCCCTTGCTGGACCCTGTTGTCGCGCAAGGGGCGCCGAGGCCGGCTCTGGCGGAGACGGAGCGACAAAATGCTGCATCTAGACTGGTGCTGGGGAGCCCCGTCCTCGGGCGCGGCTGCGCAGACAAGACGAGAAAACGGCGCCAGAGTCCAAGGCCTGGCTCCCGGAACATGTCTGAAGATGGGATCGAGATGCGAGGGCAAAACACCCCGAGTGTACGCGCCCACGTCCCACGTCGGGCAACCAGCATTCGAGCGCTGGCCGGGCCGGGCGGCCAGTCAGCCAGTCGGCTGGAGCCGGCTTTCCCGAGATCGGAGACGGGAGGTGCCTGCCGTCGGTCGCAACGAACGGATACGAGTGGCCAGCCAGTCCTTTCTGGGGAATGCGGATAGCCGCGGCTTGAGGCTTGAGGGCTGGCAGGCTTCAATCGAACTGAAGCGGTCTCGAGCACGTGCCGTACCTAAGTTACTTGGTACCGAGCTGGTGGTGGGCATTTCCTCGCACAAGCATTCGACTAGTACTCGTTCGCGGCTTCTATTTTACGCGACTTCCACCCCCGTTTCACAAGCAACTATGGCCATCGAAAAGTCCGGACTCTCCTCAGATAAAGCATGCTCACACAAGTTCTGTAGCAAGGGGGCGGACGATTGATGCCTTTGCTATGCTCCTGCGACCCAAAAGTTTCCACGGTAATACACACATCTGTGACTATCAATGTCACGCCCAGTTCCGGTGGCTTCCTCCCCGGCGTCGAGAGGCCGAGTCTCATTCTCAAAGTTTGGCTTCACCCGCACTAAAATTCAAGGCAGAACATAAAAGCCAACCCGAGTTGGTGGGTCCGGCAGCACGTGTCAAACTGCCAACGGCGAGTTACGTCACAACTCCTGAGACATGGCTGCCGAAATCAGGAACATGACCAATGTCTTTTCATAGCACTTGGAGACTGACTTCTAAAGAGGAGGAGGCGAAGGCTTAATATTTACCCGGCCAAGTTACCTAACCTACCTCGAAGCGCCCATGTGATTACACGGCTACCGTGGCGGTGACCAAGAGCATTGCGGCAATGAGGGATCCGGCAGCCTGTGGGAGGATTGAATGATCAATCACCATCAGCGTCCTTCTATCAAAATGAGCAACAATCGTCGGGCTCGCTAAACATACAGCATGGGGCAAACATCTACTCCGCAAGAATACAGATACGTATGTATGCAGGACACTAAAGCACCTCCTCCCAACAAACTCTCAGAGGTGAGCATAGGCTCATGAAGCCGCATTTGGTGTGCCGTCAACAGAGGAATTTTGCTCCCGCATGGCTATAATTAGGGACGTAAGCTGGTCAATCTTCTGATGCAGTTCGGCGATTTGACCCTCCACGCCCCTGGGTTCCTCCACATCATCCCCATCCCGTCTCTTTCCGTCAGCTTTCAAAAGAGTCGACTCTTGCGACAGTGGAACGTGTCGCCTACTATAACCAGACAACGATCTTTTGTGCATTGAAGGCCGACTGCTCTTGTTCGACTCGCGTGGTCCCCTGAAACTGGTGTACTCGCCATCTTGCGAGTTTGGTCGGATGTACTCGTACAGCTTGATTGCTCCAACAATCGGCAAATGCGTGGCACGGAGAAGGATGATTCGTCCCGCACGGAATTTGCCGACTCTAGGAAGGATATATCGTAGTGGCCGAAAGATCACCATTGCAATCAGATTGAATGGCGGGTAGAAATGAGTCAGGCGGTTACTAGTTGATGCCTCCAGCACATACACGCTGTACACATAGAGGTACTCTTCTCTTGCCTGCGTAATGACACGAGAAAAGCTATTTGAGAGCATACCAGTAAGTGACCCCTGCAAGAGGATGGCCGTTAGCGTTATGAAAATAATCATAAGAGGCGGCCCAAAAATGGGGTCAATCTGATCCATGATGTCGAATCCGACGTAGCTCGATCCGAAGAAGATTTTCGTCAAAATTCCTGTCATTCGGCCAAAGGTGAAGGCATCACGGCCAATAAGAGAAAAGGTGGTCAGGAAGCCAAAGTAAACAATGACAACCAGTACCATGAATTTCACAAAGTCCTTTCCCATTTCTTTCAGGCAAGGTATCAAAGTTCCCCAGTATGGGCTCAAGCTCAAAATGGAGCAAATTCGCGGCATCATGAAAAGAGCCTCGAGAGACAGAACATTGAACGCCATCTCATTCATGGTGACATTATGTTTGGCGAGCCCGATTATTCCTAGGTTGATGGCCAGCAGGGACAATACCCACTCAAACATGGGCGCAAAACTTACTTAGACCAGCAAACAGAAATCCAATCAGGATCATGATCATGTCAAACACGTTCCATATGTCTGTGGCGTAGAAGATTGAGCCGGCATCAATCCATTCACTCAGTTCATCGTAGAAGAAGGCTGCTATCCAAATAAAAAGAAACACCTCTGTCACTGTAATTCGAGTGTCATCGCGGGTGATGAGAACCGAGTAATAAAGACATAGAAAGACGACGAAGAAGAGAACTTCCCAGGCCTTGAGGTATTTCGGCACACGAAGTCGTGAGAACGGATCTGAGGTGTGCGGGTTATAATAGCGTGGTTTTTTCACGGAGTTGACCGAGAGGGTGTCCCAGAATACCACATCGCCGTTCCAGATGCCAGTGATGATCTTTTGGACTACATGTTGACTGAGGAAACGTTTTGCGTTGGCAATTGCAGCGATCTCCAAGGCATTCAAACTCTTAAAAGCTGCTGTTGGGTCCGCCTCGTCGTCACTGTCGTCACCCAGATGCGTCAGGCGTGAAAGAGAGGTTAGCATCTTCGTTCGCTTCCTGGCACTTCCAACGACAATGGCTGGTAACTCCTCGTCACAAGAGGTCCTACGAATCAGAAGAGGGGAGGCCTCCCCAGCTTCTTGATCATGGCTCGCCTGTTGCGAATCGTGTTCATGCACCGGAGACACAGGTATCTCATGCAGGCAAAAGTCGACTGCCTGTCTTTCACTAAGTCTGGTGAGAAATCGCCATGCCGTGATCTCGCAAGCAAACGAGCGAGTCTCACTTATACTCAAGTGTTCGTTTGCGGCGGCATAATGCCATTTCAGGGCGCTTTTACGCCAGAAATTATTAGCCTCATGTGACCATCATCATTTAGGGGCACCGCCTGCGGTACGAATGCTTCATGAAGTGTAGATAAACAAGAAGCCAGTGAAAATACTTACAGCAGGGCGTTCACAATAGCGGGGTTGGTGCAGTTCAGGCTGAGGTGCTCAACTAAGACACGGACACAATTTCCTGCCTCCGTCGTCCTGAGCTGCTCAAATGTGCTTGGTAGCTCGATGACATCTGCAAAGTAGCTGGAAGTGCGAGCAGCGAATTAGCGCAAAGTTCAAAGGGGTTGCAGTGAGCACAAGCACCCACAGGGAAAGTTTCTTGACAACGTCGCGAAATGAGTCGTCTTCGGCAATTTCTGGCATATCAAAATCATATCTCGCAGACACGGGGCTGAGGTCCCTAACGGCCTGCGGCCGCATCCTTAGCCGGATGGGCATCCCAGCTGCTGTTACGTCACGAACCACGCGTGGGACTGGACTAGCAGGAATGCCGTGGAAACGGCGAGGCCCAAGGGGAAGGAAGCTGCAAGCCACAGTGGACTGAGAGACGGGTAATGGATGAGCAGTAGTTGGGAGATACGATAAGGTATGCACGAATGTTCCAAACGGGACGATGGAGAGGAATACGGATTAGCAACGATGAGAGTAGATGGATGTTCAGGTTGAATCAACGATGAGATGGTGGTCAAGCACGGGGTAGACGCCACTGCCTAACCACATGGCGCCAGTGCGTCGCTCCTGCCGATTTATCATTGCACGTGGAACCAATCCATGGGGCCAGCCTCCAGCGAGGGCAAGCAGGTGCCACCGAGCCCGGTTGGCATCAGGGGAACTGAGAGACGCCTTTGAGGATCCCATCATTTAAACGCATAAAATGGTCTTCTAAATGCTCGTATCACCCTCTTGCAACGCGGCACCTTTGCAGAACGCTCTCTGCAGAATGCAGCGGTGCACGCAAGCGCGCGAAGGAGGTCCTTGGTGAATAGTGGTGCGTATCGTGATATTTTTGGTCCCATGCACAGACCAACTTCCAGTGGTTTGGAGACAAAGGGCATCGACCGGCCAAGGGATGCAGAGGATGAGCCGAGACGAGCCAAGATATACATAACTACCCCGTACGTATACTGACACCGGGATGGAATCATGCTTCGAGCTCGCGTCTGGCAGCTCGGCATCACCACCACTGCAACATGACAACAAGTCAGCACTCGGTAGTCGTAAACTTGAGTGTCGATTACACGCCGAAGGGACCCGGAACAGAGAGCACGGAGAAGTTACATGTACATCTCGTCGTCTCTAACGCCGTGCCACATACGCTCACACACACACACACAGTGGTGACACATTGCACACCGACATGGGAAGCCAACCGACAGCAGCAGCGACGACTGACTGACCGACCGACCGCCTTGATTGGACCCATTGAAACGAAAGCACGAACATTGAACGTCGACCCGAGCGAGAGAGCGAGAACCTGAGAGGCAGGCAGGGAGCAGGGACAAAGGAGCAGAGACGACGCCCGGTGGGACGCGTCGTTGAAGCGCTGCTCTCTGCGCTGCTCTGCTTCGTGCCCATTCCGTAATAACTACTGATCGAGTCCCTTGGCAAGCCCGCCTGGCTTGGCTCGTGGCATCCCTGACTCCCAGACTCCCGGGCAACGGCAACGCGGCGGAGGGCAGGCGTTGGACAAGAGAAAGATCCTGCAGGCTTAATTATTATTATGCTACACATAGTACGATGCTGCCGGCCCTATGGGCCGTGCTGTTTGGTATGTTGGTGGCCCTTGCCAAGCGACGACATGGCTCAAGCCTCAAGGCGTCGACGTGACACGTCTCGAGCACCGAGTATTGCCTTTTTTATGCAACTCCCAGTCTTTATTATCTCGTGCACGCACCCCAGCCCATTGTTGCCTTGTTGTCATCTGCTGCTTTTTTTTTTTTTAAATCTCTCTGCTAATATCTATCACTCATCCCCAGATTGCAGCTTTGCGTCGACAATGAAGGCTTTGCTTCATCGCCATTTTCCTTGCATATTCCACTAGTAGTTCGTTGCGCCAACCTTCAGCATCGTCCGCATCCCATCCGATCCCATTCCATCACACGGCCTCGCACGACAGTCACGACAGTCTGGGGACGCTGCTGCGCAACAGAGGAGGAATCGACTAGCAGAATGGGCTCGAATCACTTCTTCACGCAGCGACTGCGGCTCCCGCCGCCCACGGCTGCATATTTCGTGTTGTCCACTCTGTTTACTTTGGTGGCTGCCAACGTCCTGCCACGAGAGACGAGAACCGTCGCGCGCGCATTGAACGCTGTGCCATGGCCACTGGAAACACCAGCCCCTGCGTCGTTATCCTCGGAGCTCTGGCGCCGGCAGTCGAGGAATACTATTTGTGGTTACATAGGAGGTGATCCCCTTCTGCCGGCTACATGCCTAGCAGGGTCTCACTGTGCCGTCGACGTCGAGAACAGAGCTATAGGCTGCTGTCCCAATGGAGGACCCTGTAATGCGGGAATCTTCACCGGATGCGTCGACCGGAACAGTGGCCCGCAGACGGTGGCTGACCCTTACGTATTTACATGCCGCGGCAAGAATGTATGCTACAAGAACATGTTTGAGGGAGGATATTTCCAGTATGGGTGCGGTTCGGCTTCCGGACTGGCCACAACTGTCGTTCGAGCTGCGTCGGGGAGGGAACCGTTGGACCTTGTCACCGTTTCGATAAAATTGACTGCGACGGTCACGCCTCTGTCAAGGCCTACCACGCTGGCCTCGGAGCCATCAAGGACGTCGGACTCTAGCACGGATTTGAAGTCGCAGGTGGCCAGTGGCGAACCGTCAAGTCCATCTGAAACGAACGGCGGTGCTGCACCAAGTAGCAAGGGAAGCAGTTCCAAGAACACAGGAGCCATCATAGGAGGCACGATTGGGGGAGTTGCTGCCTTCCTTGCTCTCGGCGCTCTAGTTTTGCTCTTGTGGAGACGAAAGTCGAGCAATGTCCGTCGTGGCCCAGGATATGAGAAGGATACCAGATACATCAGGTAAGGCTTCATCATTCGTGAGCAAAAGTCATCGCAGCAACTGACACGCGCGGTCAGCCCAATGGCAGCAGCAGCACATCCAGAGTTTGAGCCACTCCCATCCTCGCACGACGCTTCCGAGGCCAGACTCGACACTGCAAAGTCCCACACCACCCCGTCGCAAAGAATATCAGAGAGTGTTAGTCCCGAGAGCAGCCTTCGGAGTAATCCTCCGCTGCAACCATACAGTCACGATGCCGCGCCCGCGGCAGCCAGGAGAAGTGGTGACGCCACCTGTGATTCCGATCGCGTGCCATTAACCAGGGAACTCGAAGACTTTTCTCACGGATTTAACTCGGCGTTGGAAGGTATAGAGACCGACAGCGACGTCGAAGCAAACCAAAACACCATGGCGACATATCCCGGACCTCGCAGAGCCGGCGGCCGCGGCGGTGGCGGGGTGCTCTGGCAACAAAACCGGAGACGCAGCAGAAACCTAGCCTGGATGTAATATCCGGTGGATGCTCTGTTTTCTGTTTTGTTTTTTATTTTTGCGGGATTGACACGAAAAATGATTCTTGGCGTGGAGCAGGGGCGTTATAAGAGACGGAAGGGGACTGAACTAACGTTGCACGAAAAAAGAGTGATCCCCAATAAGAACATTATATCGGAGTAATCAATGGTTCCACTGATTAGTGTTGGAAAAGCCGGCTTGGTTGAAGCAGTCGGGGAGCCGACGAGAGCTTTTTGTTGAGGACCTCTTGGGATTCGTGGCTGTTGATTGTATATTGTAAAGTAGCGTATTCGCCATGGGCCTACAGCAGCAAATACCAATACCCGTTATTCACGTCTCTTTTTTTTTCGCGTTTCCTCTATCCGTTTCGATTTCTTTACTTTTTTCTGTCCTTGCACACATCCTATTTCCGAGTCGTATCTGTCGTGACGACACCCTTAAGAAAACCAACCCACATCACGGCGGTGCATCCCGGTCAGGATGGTTCTCCCACCTCATCGCGGTCTCCCCTCTCGCGACCAGGCTCACATTCCAAGGCTTCATCTCCAAGACGGTGACCCTATTGACGCGGCCGGGTTTGAGCAGCGCGCCGGGCAAGAACAACGACTGCTGCGGCCCGACAATCCAGTACCGACCCAAGTTGAAGCCGTTGATCCAGACGATGCCCCTTGTGCCGCCGCGAATGGTCAGGTACGTGTCCCTCAGGGAGAAGGGCTCGCCTTCGCCCAGGCCCGGCACCTTGAACCGGCCCGAGTAGTAGACGGGCATTATGCCCTTTTGGATGCTGCCCACGAGCGGGCTTTTCAGGAGCGGCGGCTCCTTGCACGGGACCTGGCGGATCTTCCAGCCGACGACGACGGAGTCGCCGACCGTCACGGTTCCGTTGATGCCCTTGAACGGGTCGTCGACGCGGCTGCTGCTCGCGCGGCCGGCGTTCTCGACGAGCAGCTGGAGGAGGTCGCCTTTGTTAAGGGAGAGGTCCACGGCGGCCGGGCGCGTGTAGAAGCTGTCGATGGTGCCTTTGCGCCGGTTGTTGACGTAGACAATGATTCTGTCGCGGGGGCGGTCGCCCGCTCGGAGGGTGCCGCGGGCTGGTTTCTGCACTCTGTGCTCGTAGAGGATGAGGCCTTGCGACTGCTTCAGGTTCTCCATGTATTCGGGTGTCTGGCGGGTCTTGGTGTGCGCGACGGTGTCTAGGATGGATCCGTATGGCTTCAGGTGGAAGGCCTCGGTTGCCATGAGCGGCTCGTTCTCGGGAGGGTCGGGGATGCCGCTCGCATCCGGGACGTGTTTGAGGATTTCGCTTCGGAGGAGGTGGTAGAGAGGTGTGGTTCGGCCTGCTTCGTCAAGGGGAGAGCCGGCGTAGTGGCTGTTTGTCCAGGGCATAGTCCTGTTGCCCGTGGAGAGGGAGCCAGCGCTGAGCCCGAAATTTGTGCCGCCGTGGAGCATGTATAGGTTGAGGGACTTGTTGGCCGACAGGGCCTTGTGGACGTTGCCGAGGTAGCTTTTCACGAGACCGGGTTCGTCTTGAGTCTCGTGGTGATGTGCTGCTGAGCCGTATTGGAGCGGTTTCGAGATATATGCGTCCCCGTCGAGAAGGGGCCCCGGAGACGGCGTGTCCGCGATGGCTTCGTCTCGCACGCGGGCTCCTTGCGGTCCGTCGTATGCCGCGGATAGGGCGTGGGGGATCTTGCCGTCCTCGGGCTGCAGGCTTTCTCCGCTGTCGGCTGTGTACAGGGGCACGTCGAAGAGGGAGGCGGTGATGTTGCGCAGGGCTTGTTTGTACTGCATGTCTCCCCTGTACGAACTGTCGCCGTTCTCAAGTTGCACCATGATGATGTTGCCCCCCCTTGTGACTTGGAAACGGGCAAGGTCCCTGGCGAGGCGGGCGAAGTACTTCTTGGTGGCGTGGAGGAATGGTTCGTTGTACCTTCGTACTTTGAGGCCGTGAATTCGTGAGAGCCAGTAAGGCAAACCACCCCAATCTCGCTCGGCGCCGACATATGGTCCCGGACGGAGAACCACATACATGCCTTCTTTCTTAGCAATGCTTACAAAGTCATTCACGTTGTTGGCTGGCTCCTTGCCCTTCCATTTGCCCTTCTCCGGCTCCATCTCGTTCCAGAAGACGTGGCTGAAGATGGTGTTGATGCCCATTGCCTTAGCGGCAACTATTCTCTGCGGCCAAAAGTCGTACGGTATCCTCTGGGGATCCATTTGTCCACCAATAATGACAAAAGGTTTGCCATGGAGGAAGAAGCCGGTGCGGTTGTAGCTGAACGCAGCCAGCGACGGTGATGTAGCCGGCGGTGATGTGGCCCCTGATAGTACAGCAGAGGCTGTCGCGGCGAGCACGGCCTGGAGGAGATGCATTCCGAGTGGTTTTTGTTGTTGAGGATGGAAGGAAGGACGGAAAAGAGCGGCGGCCGGTACATGCTCTTATGTTTGGAGCGTGATTACGGCATCGAGGCTTCTGTATGTCATGGTTCGACGAAAATATGTGTTAGTTGCAACGGCGGGAAAGGGCTAAACCTTAATGTCTAGTCGGAGTAAGTATAATCAGTACTTCCTCTGATACAATACGCTTGTGTTAGTTTGTCAAATGATTTGGCACGCCCCTAATTACGCCAAGCGGCTAACACGGCTCATGTCATCATGTTTGGCTACATGCATTGTGGTTGTGAGGTTTGATTGATACTGGCGTTCAAATCAGGAACTTGTACATGAGACTAGCTCATGACAACCCGGAAGGATGTCCCTGGGTATCCATCCCGTGAGGAGAGCCGCACGAAACAAGGCGTATTTTCGTGCTTGATGATGTTGCCATCTTGGGTTTAGTGGTGTAAGTGGCTGGATTCGGGCGAGAGCCGGCTGTGATACCTGGTGGTTTGATAGAGCCTTGGGCATGGGCCTTTTTTTTCTTTTTGCGATTCCGGAATGTAATCAGTGTAAGTCGCGCCTGTCTTCTCTCCAAACGTCACTTTGAAAGTTGTCCTGGGAATAAGTGAAGTTGCATAGTCTCGGACATCATCAACACAAGCAAGGCCTCCCATGTGTATTAGCCTGTGACAACTATTCCCAAGTGCTCCTAAGACGAAGAGGCCTTTGCATATTCCTTGAGGTTGTTGAGATTGTATACACCCAACAAACTGAGTCTAATATCGCCCTTTGCATAGTCCTACGACACCGTTAGCAGGGAAAACCCAGCCACACATAAGCAATGTGAACACACAGAGAAGCTGGAAATTATTTGCTTCTTTAACTGAGTTAGACTCACCCCTTTCTTCAACCCCTCTAATCAATCAAAACACAACACAGCTACATTGAAACTCGTGGAATGCTGGTCGATCGACGCTCGAGTAGCCTAACTCCAGTCGGAGGAATCTGATCAATGTAGCGTCGCCGCCTCGCATCCACAGGCGTTGGCCTATCATTGAGGAGACGAGCATCGTAAAGTATCACTGTCAGATCTGTTGTGGTTGACGTTGATTTCGAAGCCGAAATAACGGCAACGACGCGCATAAAACCCAACAAGTCAGTCAATACAACGACGACGGCGCCTGGCCGGCAGCCTAGTTGAACATGTATCTATCTTTAGCGTCCATCTACTTGGGATACAGGGTCCATGGAGGTCTCTAGGACGCCGGGTTGTCGTGCTTGCACCGATGCATGTACGGCTCGATGCTACATATGTATAGTGCCCAATTGTTGCGAGCCAGCTCACAGGCCGCCGTCTTGTCTGCACGTGAGGTCGTACGAAGTTTAGGCCGGCTGCATAAGCCACACTGCGACGTGACACATGGCAAATACAGAAGAGAGGTCAGTCAGAACGACTCCGGCCCGGATCAAGGTGGAAAGTATCATGAGTGATCCAGCATCCCCACGATCTCTAAAACCCTAGCCGAAGCAACGATCCAAATGTGGGATAAAGGCAGCCCAGACTTGTCCCTAAAGAGTCGTCCAGGCCGTAGATTTCAATGCCATGACTACAGCAACCTCTGGTTTCATGGATAGACTCTGGCTCGCGTCGTATGAAAAAAGCGTCTTAATTCTGTCACCTAGAGGTGCCGCCACAGCAAGCTGTTGATGGAACGCGCGTGTGGTTGTATCACGTTCAACACCGGCTGCAGTGCAGGTTGACATGACAAGCTTACCCACCACCACATGGTGACGGATTAAGACGACGTTCTGCGGATGTGATGCGGGATATGCAGTATTCCGCCCACCTTTCAAGGGAAAGTCTAGCTCTGGGCACTCGCCAGTAGCTGCACAAGGCGCAATCGTAATAGCGCTGGTAAAAAGATGCACCGGACCAAGGGCCAGTCCGACATGGCAGAAGACGGATTCCTGTGCGCGCGCAATGGTTTCATCCTCGACAGAGCCAACTATTTTCGGTCTTTTCATGGCCCTCCCGCTTGAAGAGCCGAGGAGATCGGTGAAAACAACTAGATAGATGGCTATCGATCGTGTACAAGACAGCCAAAGGGAATCGGGGCCATGTTTCTGTTGATGGTTGGGCAGGTGCTAAAGCCAATTGATACGTGTTCTTTGATGGAACGGAAGTCAAGTTTGCATAACTTCCGTCTTTTCTGATGAACTGCATGCAGCAGAGTGTTCTTTTGTCGGGAAATTATGTTACCGAATGGTGTCGAATGCTCAGGGTCTTCTTCTACACCATGCCTGGTAATCACCTCTTGGATCAATCACCAACTATGGACTTACTTTTCCGAGAGTCCCAGTAAGTACTAATGCGACTCTCTTTCCTTGGCTTGAGAACCAGTCGCCCAGTAATATTCGCGAGGACTCCACGTTTATTCTGCCGCAAGCTCGCCGAGTGACCAAATTTTGAGGCTCGATTCATCCAGGATCCTGCAGCTCGGTCCCTCTTCACCATATACATCGCCTCGATCATATGTGTCGTTGATGTTGGAATGTTCCCACCCCCCCGAACAAGTGGCAAGAACTGATCCGCTTTGGTGCAAAATTGTTGCACAAACCGGAGAATTATGAGGATTGAAACTCCGTGATGGCTGCGTTTCAGCTGCGGTTAGCCCGACTCGGTCCCAAACCACTACACAGCCGTCTTGAGAGCCTGCCCACACCTCAAAACCCCCATCGGCATGTTTGCTGCCTGGGAAGACGTCACAGTTCAGCCTCTGCTGCGACGAGGTCTTCCGGCCAGCCAAGATGCTGAGCAACCTTCCCGAGCCGCGAATATCATAAACCAGTAAGCCACTTGAATGTCGCTCGTTAATGACAAGGTAACGACCACATGGACTCCATAGCACTTGCATGATTCCCTGCCCAAGATATGCATCCGACGAACCTGGCAAATCGGATTCTGATATTCGCCAGTTCGCAACTACGCCGTCCGAGCGATGGAGATCATACAAGCCCATCCAACGTGTCCACGTGCCGGCAGCAACAAGACCAGTCCCATGAGCATCGGGAGGTGAAATATCCAGAGCAGAAACGGTTCCTTTCATACCCACCCCGTGCCCTTTGGAGATGTGCCTGTTGGATGGGATGGTGGGTACTGTTAACACAGGTCCATCCGATCCAGGACGTGACACGTCAAAATAGTCCAGGCGGTTCTGCGAACCGCATATGAAGTGAGTGCCGGGATACTGCCACGCCAGTGAGGTGGGCGTAATGTACTGCTCTGTCTGGAGCCTGATGAGCTTATAATGACCGACTGGGGCAGGGTGAGGTCGGTCTGGGAAGGCATGATAAAGATGCAGCGGATGATCTCGACACCCAACAAGGATTGTTTGCGAGGCCGGTTCAGGCAAGGAGAAGAATGGAGCAGGTGCTACCACTTGGGTCGGTTCAGGTAACTTGATTTTCGCCTGCGGTTCCAATTGGCGAGTATCGCTGTCGAAGTCTAACAGATCCGCGGGCAGGACAAAGGACGAAACAGAATTGTCAGAAGACGCCGTGATTATCGTCGTGCCATCGGCTGTCCATTGCGCAGAAGAGTAAAAGAGGCGACTGGCAGACGGCTTGGAGCATTCTGCTGTAGGGTTTGCCGAATGTTGCGCCAATAATTTTGTCTCGGGCGGATGTGTTGACGCACCATCACGTGGCAACGATGGTACTACTGGTTCGTGCTCCATTATACGCTCGTCATGTTGGACGCGTTGGATGCGATGTATTGACGGCAGGCCCCGGAGTTGTGTATTGATTCAGAAGGAGTAACCGAAAGCCAGCAAGCAAGTCTTGCCCCACGTTCCGACATAGCACAGTGTGATGACCGATGGATGACCCTCCGATCCCCGGTACTCAAAGGAAGCCCGGGAACCAATGCCAACTTTGGAGCACCGGGTACTTAAGTACCTAGGTAGTTACTCCGTCCTGGACTGGCCTGCTCTTGCCCAAGTTGACACGAAGAGATCCTTGACACCCAACACGGAAGTACTCTGAGGGAGTAAGGAGTGCCGCGCACTCACTCGGACCGCTCGAGCCGCTGCAGCAGTACCACCCACGGAGTACCATCAGGCCATCAGAGCAGCGCCAGCCATGCTGTCACAACGGAGCCACACAACGATGTCGGCGCGGTCAGGCATGTGGGTCCTGGCGCTTGCTCCGGGCGCCTGCGTCATCAACTGCATGTGCTGCTGGGCGGGCTCGATAGCCTTCAGATGTCCACGGCCACGGCTGCCTCTCCTCTTCCCTGGTACTTCGTATCCGCCCGTTTGGATGTCACCTCCTCAACCCGACCCATATCTCCGTATCGATCCTACTCTTCCCAACTTCAGAGTCGACAGCTTCAACAGCTTCCGTTTCAGCTGTTGTCGCTCGCCGCTTTGGCCGCTTCGGAATTGCTGCTACTTTTGGATCCGTTCAACAGCCTCACACTTATTCGCACCATTCTCTTCGATCTCGGTTCCCTTCTGCGCCAATCTCCCAGTTCGACATGTTTATTATGCTTGTTTTGACGCGCACCTTGCATTGATATACCCGACGCGAAGCAACACAACAATCCAATCCATCGCGAAACATCGCCTCTTCTGTGCCAACGCCGCCCAGTCAAAATGAATTCCCTATTTTCAGATCCGCATTCTGAATGCGAGGCGCTCAAGAATCCTTCTTATCTTGAACTCGTGATATCCATGTATGTTGCCCTACCATGTCCATCGGCCTGTCCTACGCCTAGGTTTCTGACGCGCAGCTCTACAAAGCCTGATTCTACTTGGACTCTTGATATCGTATCTTCCACAACATTATCGAATCGTTTCCCGAGGAACCGCGGAAGGCATTTCTCCATACTTTGTTCTTCTCGGAACCACATCCGCTACCTCGGGCTTTGCCAATATCTTGACTGTTTCACAGTCCAGGGCCGCCATAGGGTGCTGCAAAGAATTGGAGGCATTTCAGTGCGCTGCTGGATTACTGGGTGTTGCCCAGCTTGGCACGCAGTGGGTCTGTTTCACGCTCATGTATGTTGAAACCAATCGCGTCTGTTTTGGTGTTTGCTATGGTTCCTTGTCCGATTTTTTTTCTTTTTCTCTTTTTTCTGTGTGTGTGTGTGTGTGTGTGTGTGTGTTGTATTGACTCGACGGCTCTAGACTGGTTCTGTTTCTCATATTCTTTCGATACCGAGATGCAACGATACCGCCTGAGGAGCTTGCAGGAGAATCCCCAAAATGGCAAACCGCGGTCGGAGTCGGCCTTGTCTGCGTCGTGCACGGCTTGGTGGTAGTCATCATCACGGGTGTCTTCACTATTGCCTTGCCGGACCATCTGACGGCTTGGGCAAACTTCTTGGGCATCATGGCTGCAGTTCTGGCGGCAATCCAATACTTTCCACAGATTTGGACCACATACCACTTAAAACATGTTGGGAGTTTGAGCATTCCGATGATGTGCATCCAGACTCCCGGAGGCTTTTTATTTGCCGCAAGCCTCTATGCCAGACTTGGTCCAAACGGATGGAGTACATGGGCAATTTATCTTCTGACAGCCATAATGCAAGGCTGCGTCCTAGTCCTTGGTGTCTACTATGAGATGGCGGCGCGACAGCATGAACGCCAACAAACGAATCAAGATGGCGACAGTTCTTACCACTCTCTGGAAAACCCAGCGGTACTACGGCCTTCACTGGCGGGCAGAACTTACTCGGAGGGATGGGAACGAGGCTTGCCAGGCCCTTTTACGGGCCATCCAGAGCGATATGCTGAAACTGAGGATGACTTGGACGATATGCAGGAGCGGGAGCAAAGGGCCGTCGAACGGGAGAACCAGCCTTTGCTACGTCCCGGCGGTATTGGGAACCCCCGAAAGAATTATCAAAGTACCAGGAAGCACTAGGGGAAACTAGATACCGGCATGTGTGCAGTGGGAAATGCGCGGTTTGTTCTTTGGGCGTTCTCTTGTAATGATTGCTCCTGGTTGTGGACATGGGCATTCCCGCGAAAGAGATTTCAGAACAGAGAATGCATTGTGTTGTTGTTTCATCAGATCCGGGAGACCGCATCCTCTCCCTTTGCTACACCATTTGGAGATAAGCAGCGTCTGCTTCAGACAAGCTTCTGCCATGGGAAGAAAGGACGCTTTGTCTCACATCTGAGACTGGCCATGTAGAGACAGGAGCTCAGCCTACGATACGGAGTAAAACCAATTGCATCCTGACCGGCTAATGGCTGGGAAACGACAATTGACTGGTACTTTTGCAATGAAGTTTGCGACCTCGGAGCACCTTGAGTACTTAAGTACTTACTTAAGTGGGCACGTACCTAGGTTATTAGGTACTTAGACAGGTACCATGCAATGTCTTGGACGAAAGCATCAGATTGCTTGCTTTGGTGGGGCGCCCTTTTAAGTGCTTGCATCCCGTTCTTCCCCATGAATCATGATAGCATTGCAGGCTGGCCAGTTTGGAGGGCTCCTGGCGTGATCAGTCATTGATCAGATCAGAGAAGAACAGAGCGGAAACTATTGCAAGTCAGGTATTCGGAGCCATGTGGTCATGTGGTGACGTGACATGTTGGTGCATCTGCCAAAGTTCCGAAGACAGATCACAGATGTGTGCGTCGTGCCCCAGCCTATGGCAGGGCGCATTCGACCTCGTGGGCTCCACTGTCGAGTCTCGGCCAACCACATCGCATTAACCAGATTGATCGTTTGCGACCCTCGGGACGCACCATATATCTGTCTTATCACGAAGAGCGTCGGCGAGGACCGCGACGTTTCCGACTTGGTCGCAGCCCGGAGCCTGTGACGAATTACAATCATCCTATCCTTCAAGGCCAGGTGTGCCGTGTCCAGGCCCTCGACTGCTGTCGTGTCTCTGCTCTCTGCTCCATCCCCCTACCCCCTACCCGTGTCCATGGCCATCCACGGTGCGGTTCCTCCGCCAGAGGAACACATCAACGTTCCTGTTCATTTGCAGCCGCCGTCCACGCCGGTGAAAGATGGCGCCATCGACATTGATGCGTGGACCATGTCGGCACTGCAATCTCTGAGCATGTCCCCGGTTGCGCGGGGGACCGGCACTCCCTTGTCTATCCCGCTGGACAGTGAAGCGAGCCCAAAGACACGGACGCGTGCCGTTGCATTCAACGCGTCCGGGGGTGAGGATGCCCTTCCGCGTCGGCCGCCCTCGAGGCGGGATAGCATGAGGCGCCGAGATGACCTGCTCAAGGGCAAGGAGGGGAGCCGCCAGCGCAGGCGATGGGAAAATGGTAATGCTTGAGCCGCCCCCCCTTCCCGCGGGCCGCAGTAGCGGCTAGAGCTAGATCCGCTGCTTACCACGTTGTCCAGACCGACTTGTTGGTGTTCCCAACGTCCAGCCGCCGGCGGCAGCAGACTGGGAGGTTCGGCCGACACATCCCGTTCAGCGGGTGCCGTATCAAGTGGCGCAGTTCTGGGACCGCGGCGTGCGTCAAAGGGTTGAGGAGAAGTCGGCCGAGCTCCGGGCCGTGCGCAAGCAGAAGCAGCTCAAGGCTGGAAGTGCTACCGGCTTAGGCGCCGGCGAGGTTCCCCGGGACCTTCGGGGGATGGCGAAACGCACCCCGGCCATCCGGAGTTGGGTGCATGCCATAGAGGATCCTGTCCGGCGGTTCCTCTTTGAGGAGCAGGACCGACGCGCCGAGTCTGCACGACAGCAGCGTGGCGGAGATGACATGCCGGACGAATCTGAACTAGACTCGGACGATGAGGAGATTGTATTCGTGGGCAGAGACAGTGCAATGCGAGAGCTGTGCGAGAAGAAGGAGGCTCGAGATCGGAGGGCTAAAAGGGCGGTCTGCCAGGAGGCAGGTCGTGCCGGAGTTGTGTTCGACTCCTTTGGTGAGGGAGACAGTGCCGTTTTTAAGTAAGGCATCGTTCAGCCTGCGACGTCGCGTGGGGTGGTTGCTAATGATATCTAGGCGCTGGCTGGCTCACTCCATATCCGATTACTACGGCCTTGCGTCGACGTCTGTGACCCAGCACAACACATCATGCCGCGTCGTACACATTGGTCTGAAGCGAATCCACAAACTCGACGGGTCGTGGCTGAAGAAACTGCCCCGTCCCTTGTGGGAGTTGTGTTGAATACGGAGCACTGTGTATGTATTATCTGGTATCGCATAGAGAAGCACGACTTGGGCACATGTCACAGAAGCGCTTGTGGACTGACAGAGGTGTCGTTTGAACTGTGACATATTGTTGACGGGACTCTCCCTTGTATAGTAGGTGGCTGCTATCATGGAAGGTTTAGAAGCGTGACGTGAGGCTTCGATGAACCACTTGTCTACTGCCGAGCTAACTCCGTAAGGAGCGGTGACTTGTGTCTTTCACCTTTGTGTCAGCCACGCGGAAGTGAAGTCTCTCGAGGCTTCGAGGTTCGCTGAGCAGGGGCTGAACAGGTCAAAGTCTTTGCCCAGGTGCGCCATGTTTATCGAGCAGTCAGCAGCATCCTTTTACATTCATTTCGTTGCTCATGCTCCACGCCCGGAGCCCTAGCCTGCGTAGCACCCAACTGCTGGTTTGATTACGTACATGGTCGGGCGACGAACCGGCTTCCGTGCCGTTGATCCTCATATGCAAGCCACGATGCCATTTGGGATAATTTAATTTGCGGGTGCTTTTCGCATGTACATACATACTCCGTCCCTCTCAGCCGTTTTCAGACTCGTGCTACCGTTCATAAAGCCGGTTGCACACGCTTTGTGCGCATGCTGGAATGGGACTCTCGCGTATGCGTGAAACACGGTGTATGAGTTAACTACTCCATAGCGTTATTGGTGCGACAGGAATTGGTTCCCCGTGGACCTGTGGTCACCGACTAGAGACATTCTGTGGCTGGGAGGCCCATTTACCAAGACACTGCCTTTCTCCTGGAATAAATTGTGTGTGTCTGCTATTAAGAGGGCCCAGGAGACGTACGGAGTACATCATCATCTTCTGTCGCGGAAAGATTTGAGCCGAACGACGTGTTACCGCTTGAAGCTCCGGACCGCTATCCCAGCTGCCCACCATGCGCCTCTTTATTCTCGAGATTGTCACGATGTTCTCCGTTACGGTGAATTCTCTACTTGTAGACAAGGTAAGAACGGCTCAGGAAATTGGAATGGAAAACAGAGCCTTTGTCCTAACTCACACCAGGCAACCGTGTATTTGGAAGAGGCATGCAGGGGCAAAGCATATACGATCACAGCAAACGACAAGTGCACCCAGTTACCCGAAGACTGGTATGAATTTTCCAAAGCGACCCTCTTGACTGAATGGCAACTGATGAGAGATGCTTTTAGGAGACGCAAGATTAATGGTGCCAAGATCCCAGAAGGCGTCGTGTGCGATTTCTATATGTGAGTCGAACCCTTCTGTATCGTACGGCGGGCGAGCTAACACGAGAAATAGTGACGAGAAATGCCAGCAACCTCTCTGGATAGGTATGGAAGATCCTGGGACCTGTAGCTTCAGTGAACTGGAAATCGGGAATCAGGCAGTCAGTGTTCACTGCTATGATGATACCGAGCGAGGAGAAATATGAGCGTCACATGGCCGAAAGGGTCCGTTGAAGTGGGTGGTCACAGGGGCGCCAGTTTCAGAAGACTGTAATTTGGAATAACCCATCTTTGATCAGCCGCCGCTCAATGCTTCAGCCACTCTTTTGACTCGTCATCGTTATTCCATATTTTTCCGGCGCGTGCGATGTGTTCTTCTAGTCCCAACATTTCTCCATATTTTGACATTTGTTGCTCCATCGTCATTCCTAGAAAAGTTACCAGCCCGAGAGTCCCGAACTCTTCGAACAGCACATGAGACAATAGGAGGGAAGCTCGCACATTGAGCCCGGATCTTCGGAAGAACAGCTCCCACTTGGTATTGCAAAATGCCATGCTGTCGTCCAAAGGCTTCATTTGTGGACTATAGAGTGCCATGACCGACAAAATCCACCGAGAGAGTGACTTTTCGGCTCCCGGAACCAAGTAAACACGAACATCTGCCGAAAGATGAGAAACAAAACAAACAAAATCAGTATAGGCATCCAAATCCGATGTTGAAAATTCTGCCATATATTCCCCTGAGCTATTGGCCTCGGATACTAGTATTATGAGCGTTCGGTACTGTCGGCTAAGGTTCAGCATTCTTTGACGTAGTGATGTCAAAGCCTTTGATCCGGGCAATTGCTTTTGCTTGACTTGTAAGAGAGTCGTTACAACTATGCCGCCGTTCGGTGTCAGAGAAACATCGACTTCATAAGCAGAAGAAACCAAGGAGAGCGCGTTCCTGCCATTTCCACGTTGATCTGAGCAACGTAGATGGCTCCCATAATCCCTGTCAACCAACTTGTTGGCCGGCCAAGCCTCCTCTAGGTTCTTTATCATGGAATAGCCCATCTGTACTGATACTAAGCAACATCCAGGCTCTTTTGGAGTCACTACATCTGGTACAAGAGCGGATATTTGTTCCGAGACGTTTGCCATTTTTGGATTGGTTTGTATCTGAGCCGCTTCTTGGTCTGTGATGTGAGCTTTCCACGGACTTGATTTGGATGATATTCTGACGTCGGAGCAAATCGCTCGATTGTTCTCAATGCCTCGCATTTCCATAAACTGAGCTAACAAGTTGCTAGTATTGTAAGCATCGTCGCTGTTATGTTGTTCGTATTTTTTTGGTTCCCGAAAGTTGCGGCTGTCAACCTGTGCCTCGTTGGCAACAGCCCGCTCGTCTACCGTGCTTTTCTGTGAACAAACCAACTCCAGTCCTTTATCAACCAGCATTTCAACCTCGTTTGTAAGCCGAGCACCCAACTGTGGAATTTTGGGTGTGTCGTATGTAGTCCTAGAAACTGGCGTGCGTACAAAATATTTCGAGTCGTGTGGCTCGACAGAGTCTCCGTCGAGCGGCGCATTCTCTGCCGGTTCATCAGTAAATCTCGCTACTAGAGTTCCACCGCCAGTTTCCAAAATTTCTTGAGAGGAGCGTAAATCGGAAATGCCAGAAAATGCACCAGGCGGTAGCAAGATGGGGCTACTATGGTTCTGAGATGAACCTAATACTCCCGTATCCTGCCTATCAATGTCTTCAGGCGCCTCGCAGTGAACTCTAGACTCGTCCCTAGGAAGCCTTTGGGGTGGGGAGCGCGTCTGTGTGTTTGTGCAGGTGTGAGAGGCTGTTGTTGACACAGACGAGTCATCTTGCCGCAGTTTAATGTTATCCGACTCCGACGTAAGTTCAATGACCGAGACAAAAGATACTGCGTCCCACGAGGATTCCCTCTCCTGCTGAGATCGTACTGGCACAGTCACGAGTTCCACGAGGTTCTCGTCTAACTGAGTTCGTCAGCCACAGGTTACTGAGGGCGGGAAAACGAACCTACGCATTGCGGCACGGGGCTTAGCATATTACCAAAACTCTTCACAGCATCATTGGCCTCTTGCCTAATGCCATGTAGATATCTGTCATCGGCATCCGTTGCCACCGTCTCATTTTCGAGCTGGTGCCAAAGCAGTTCTGCAATTTTGTGAGCTCGTGGGGGGAATTGTAGACCTCCGTCTTTGGTTTCATCAACTGGCAGGACTGGCAACCAGATTTTGGTGAGATCGGGCTCTCTCTTTGTCCGCATCTGTTTCTCATGTTCTGCCAAGTCTAGTTCTGGACTGAAATCTATGTCAAGAAGCGTGGTCGGCAACGAAGGAGTTTGACATGCATCATTCCACGCTGGGAGCATTCGAGGGGGAGATTGTATGCCGGCGCAACGTTCTTCTAGATCCCTGAAGAATAGTTCATATCGGCCAGGAGGCTCTTCAAGCTCAATTGTACCAGGTACAGAGTCGGCACAAAGTTCATGTTCTGCTTTTGGAGAATTCAACTGGTGGCGGAAAGCAGTTTCTTGGAGAGAAGATAATTGATAGTTGATGTCGAAAGGATAGCCAACGTGGTCAATGAAGCAATCTTCATGCCTCGCATGTTGGTCTGCGGTTTCGACATGGTCCATCTAGGCAATTTCTCATATGCAGGCTAACCTGACCCGATTAAGGGTGTGGGAAGCGCACATAAAATGGGCTGCAGGCTTGATGCTTTGAGGGCTAAGGATGACATTTTCATCGTTTATACCAGGAGACGGACGCCGGGACTTTGAGTTGCTGGCTTAAAATGCGGATGTTTGAGGCAGGAGCGATCCGTAGGCTTTGGGAGGCGCCAGGCACTAGACAAGAAGTACATGTGCAGCGCAGAGGTCCACAGACACCTGACACCTGGGACTTGTCTGGGACTGTCTGGCCAGCGCCTCCACATGTCCGCCCTAATAACTCCGGTCACCAATGACCAGTCAACCAGACGACAGCTGGCGCAACTCAACACCATCATATTACATGGAGCTCTTCATGTGGCTCTCAAGGAGGGCCGTTTCCATTGTGCATTCTCGCATTGCCTTGCCTTGACATTGACCATGTCGTACATTGCGCCGGTGCACAAGCCGACGAGCATTCGACATGCTCTGCGCATTAGGTTCTTGTCCTCAGATGCGGAGGACTTGGTAGTCGCGTGAGTTGCCCAAGCTGTTCCAGCTCAAGACTGGTACCACACTCGTGTCCTTGGACTCGCGTACTGACTTTGGGTGTTGGCAGAAAAGCGAATCGTCTCGAGATATGGCGTCTTACTGATGAAGGCATGACTTGTCTGCACACAAAGCTAATTTACGGGACCATCTCCATGCTTCAACGCCTGCAACCCAAGGACTCGGAGACCGATTTGCTCTTCATAGGCACCGATCGATTGCAGTATTTCAACTTTGCTTGGAATCCCGAGACGAACCAGCTGGAAACGGTCGAGCAAACCATTGAGGATGCTGCCGAACAATACATGCGGCATTCGCAGAGCCAAAACAAGTGCTTGGTCGACCCTACAGGCAAATTTATGGCCATGCATCTTTGGGAAGGCGTCCTAAACGTATTTCGTCTACCCACGCGAAAGGGAGCAACAACAAAGCTGGTGGCTCTCGATCAAGTGCGATTAACTGAGCTCTGGATGAAAGCAAGCACTTTCCTACACAGCCGAACCGGCCATCCCAAAATTGCCTTTTTATACAAGACGCAGCTCGACCAAGAAGAGGCTCGGATAGCTGTATACCGGCTCACCAAGGACGACAAAGGCGGTGATGTGGCCAGGTTTGATCCACACAGGGAGAGAGAGCTGGATCAGGTCATCTCGGACCCTTATGCATCTATGCTTATCCCAGTCCCCTTCAACGAGGAGAAACGATATCATGTTCGCAATAATGAAGGGACAAAGGCGCACCTAGGTGGATTATTAGTCGTTGGAGAAACACTACTGACGTACTTCGACAGCCTCACCTACTCGAGCGTTTCATCAAGTCTGCAGGATCCGAAAATATATGTAGCATGGGCGGAATATGACGACATCCACTACTTGTTAGCCGATGACTATGGACGATTGGATATCTTGACCATAGAGACCACAGTTGAAGCGACCGGTATTGTGGTGACCGGCATGGCTGTTTCGTCTATGAGGTTCCCTGACTCATCAGCATATACCTCCCGAGCATCGTCCCTGGTTTATATGGGACACAACATGCTCTTCTTGGCATCTCACCACGGCGACTCGCAGTTGCTCCGTATTGACATTGAAGCGAAAGTCATGTTGCTGGTCAAGACTTTATCCAACAACGCCCCTATTCTAGATTTTGCAATCATGGACATGGGGAACAGAGAAGGTGATAGTCAGTTCGGGAACGCGTTCTCTTCGGGTCAGGCTAGGATTGTAGCTGGATGCGGTGCTTATCATGATGGCAGCCTGCGAAGCATTCGGAGCGGTGTTGGTCTTGAAGATGAGGGTATTCTTGATGAAATACAGCACACCAAAGGCCTCTTCACCTTGCGATCACACGGGTCGAGCCGCGTAGATACACTTGTGGTATCTTCAGTTGCAGACACAAGAGTGCTTAGGTTCGACTCAGCGGGCGGCATAGAAGAAGTTTACGACTTCCAAGGTCTGACTTTAAGCAAGGAGACCTTACTGGCTGTCAACACATCCGATGGGCGGCTCCTGCAAGTGACCCCTCAATCAGCTGTCTTACTACACTCGGAAAGTGGTGTGAGCCTGTGCTCATGGGATGCCCCCTGTGGAAAGGCAATCACAGCTGCGTCGGCAAATTCAGCATGGGTTTTGCTTTCAATTGATGGCTCATTGCTGGTTTCGTTGAACTTACACAACGATCTAGCGGCCGTTTCTCGTGACACCTTTAGGGATGAATCCTCAGGTCAGCTGGATCAGATCTCGTGTCTACATGCTGCTAGAGGTTCTCCTGACATAGGGGTGGTGGGATGGTGGACTTCAGGTACTATATCCATTGTCAATCTCGCCACACTACAGCCTCTGCATGGCGAAACTCTCAGACAGACTGAAGACAGTGCTTCTGTGCCACGAGATATTGCCCTGGTGCAACTTCATCCATCAAGTGTTTCTGGACCAACCCTCCTGGTTGCTTTGGAGGATGGAAACGTCGTTACGTTCAATGTGTCGACGCAAGGATACACAACATCAGGCCGGAAAAGCGTCACTTTAGGGAGTAGCCCTGCTCGGTTGCATATTCTTCCCCAGGAGGATGGAACTTGCAACGTTTTCGCAACAACTGAGCATGCCAGCTTGATTTATAGCGCGGAAGGAAGAATCATTTACTCGGCAACGACTGCAGACGACGCAACGTATGTCGCACCATTTGACTCGGAGGCATTTCCGAACTCTATCATTCTTTCGACGGACAATCATATTCGACTTAGTCATATTGATAAGGAACGTCTCACGCACGTAAAGACACTCTCAATGAAGGAAACCGTCCGACGGGTTGCATATTCGCCCACACTGAAGGTCTTTGGGCTCGGTTGTATCAAGAAGCAGCTTATCCACAACGAGGAGGTTATAACAAGCTCATTCAGATTAGTTGACGAAATTGTTTTCCAAGAACTCGGAAAACCATTCATCCTCAACGCCTCCACATCGTTGGAAATGGTCGAGGCCGTTATCCGGGCAGAGTTACCAGACAGCACGGGAAACATGGCAGAGCGGTTTATCATCGGTACAAGTTTCATAAGCGACGATGATGCCGTCGAGGACAATGATACCCGTGGGCGAATTCTGGTTCTTGGTGTTGACGAAAATCGTCACGTTTACCAAATTGTCTCTCACAATCTGAAGGGCGCATGTCGATGCCTCAGCACGCTGGGAGAGTATATTGTGGCCGGTCTGTCGAAGACCGTGGTGGTGTACAGTTATGTGGAAGAAACCGCTGTATTCGGCTCTCTGCACAAATTGGCAGCCTATCGCCCAGCATCATTTCCAGTGGACCTCGACGTCTCTGGCAACGTGATTGGAGTGGTCGACCTAATGCAATCTTTGACCCTGGTAGAGTTCATTCCACCCAAAGGTGGCTCCGGTGCGAGACTACAGCAGACGGCGCGACATTATCAGCCTGGTTGGGCGACATCTGTATCGCATCTCAACGGGGAGAGATGGTTGGAAGCAGACGCCCAGGGGAACATAATTGTTTTGCAGCGAGACCCAGAAGCTCCTACTGAGCAAGACCGTAACATGCTGGAAGTCACGAGTGAGATCAACATTGGGGAACAGATTAACCGAATCAGGAAATTACATGTCGCGCCAAACGAGAATGCTGTACTCTCTCCCAAGGCCTTCCTCGGATCAGTACGTTTGTCAGAAAGCATCATCACCTTTTGATCCCGAGAGCTAATACCAGTACAGGTTGAAGGGACGTTATATCTGTTCGGCGAGATTTCACGAAACTATCAGGATCTGCTTCTTACTTTCCAATCGAAGCTTCAAGACTACATCTATGCTCCCGGAAATATCAGTTTCGACCTTTGGCGCGCGTTCAGGAACCAGGCTCGTGAAGGCGATGGGCCCTTCCGCTTTGTGGATGGGGAAATGATAGAAAGATTTCTGGATTTAGACGAGGCAAAACAGGAACTTGTCTGCGAGGGCCTTGGACCAAGTGTTGAGGATATGAGAACTATGATTGAAGAACTGAGGAGGATGCACTGAGGGTATGAAACCCTATGGATCATCAAATCCTAAATAGACAAATACGTAATATACATGTATGGATTCATGTGAGAGGTGAAGTTATGTTGGCATGGCAATGTCGGCGTCATTTTGGAAATGCAGTCAGGGAATGGGCTATCGAGAAATCTATCTTGGCACATTGGCCGGCTTACCAACTCGGCTGAAGGGGAAATGGTATTGATCCGTCTTGAAAGCAACATACTTGGGATGAAAAAAATCAACTTCATATTCTGTATGGAATGCGTACTTTATGTTGTCAAGCTAAAAAATGGGCCGTCAAACCTGCTGCATGTGAGCAGCATAGCATGGTGATTAGCGTGGGAAGGAGGTACGTACCCGGGCGAGCCCGGGTAGCACGACTCTAGATAGACCGCGCCATCCAATCAGGAGCTACCAATTTCCGAGATATTCTTATAGCCTGAGGCAACAACCGCCTGAAAATCATCCGGCGGCTGTACCTCGAAATTCGCAATATAGAACCCATAACTTCTCTGGATACTCCCTCTACCCCGTCGCCGGCATCGAGCAACCCTCCTCACGATGGCGTCTCTTACTTCCGCATCTAGGCTATGCCTACGCTCCGCTGCTAAGCCTGCCATGCCGGCGCTGCGCGCTCTCAGCACCACGGCCGTGCGATCGGACAGCGCGGCTTCTTCCTACCAAAGCCCTTTCAAGATGGGATCTGACAAGGGCAGCTCGATTCCGGACTTTGGAAAGTACATGTCCAAGAAGGGCGAGGGCAGCAACAAGCTCTTTTCCTACTTCATGGTCGGCGCGATGGGCGCTCTGTCCGCTGCCGGAGCCAAGAGCACTGTACAGGGTATGCCACTCCCGACTGTTTTATTTTCCAACACCGAGGGGGTTTGGGGAGCCATTGAGCCTTTTGCAACCGCGACGAATGCGCAACCAGACAGAGGAGTGGTCCCACGGATGATGCTGATGTTTTTCGGGTGCAGAATTCCTCGTCAACATGTCCGCTTCCGCTGATGTCTTGGCCATGGCCAAGGTCGAGGTCGACTTGAACGCCATTCCCGAGGGCAAGAACGTGAGTCGGTCTCAAGAGACAACGACTTCAATTGACGGGGCACTTCGATCTTAACTTGATTCCCTTAGGTCATTATCAAGTGGCGTGGGAAGCCCGTCTTTATCCGACACCGAACCCAAGACGAAATCGACCAGGCCAACAAGGTCAACGTCGCGAGCTTGCGAGACCCCCAGACCGATGACGAGCGCGTCAAGCAGCCCGAATGGCTTGTGATGCTTGGTAAGAAGACTCCGACAGCGGCTAGGGCCTGGAGGCATTTCTGATAGTGGCTCCCGAGCCTACCGGTTATGCTGGAAACCGCATATGGGCACCCATACTAACCTCCACGTCAGGTGTTTGCACCCATCTGGGCTGTGTCCCCATCGGCGAGGCCGGCGATTACGGCGGCTGGTTCTGCCCCTGCCACGGCTCCCACTACGATATCTCTGGCCGGATAAGAAAGGGACCTGCGCCCCTTAACCTCGAAATTCCCGAATACGACTTCCCCGAGGAGGGCAAGCTGGTTGTTGGTTGAGTAGTTGAGTCTGGTGTACGAGTAAGGCTAGTATCGAGCGATCGACAAATAGAAATCCTTGTTAAATGCTGTGCGGGAATTGTAGAGGAGAAGACGGTGGCAAGTAGTAGTAGGGACAAGGAAAAGGACAGTTGGCGAGAAGAAGCTGCCATGTCCGAATGTGGCGCCACTCCCGTTTCTTAGACGTGAGCTACGGGCTGTGTATGAAAATAAAAACGTACTATGAAAACCGTTTCATTTGTTCTGCCAGATTTGCCGCATCACATGCGGGTATTACTGTTGCATCCCTTGAATTGGCAGTATGTAGGTGTCAGCTGCCGTCTGTCGAGACGAACACTAACGTTACTTACTGCAAGCCCTGCATGTGACTTTCCCAAGCTGCACAATGCATAACATATCACAGGAACTAGACCAACGAACAGTCCAACATGCGGGAAGTTTCGGAGCATTTCCTTCAGATTCAAGGCTAAGCCTACGTCATACCGAAACATCTAATTACAACCAGGGTAACCCAATTGCCTTTCCCAGTCTGCAACCCCCCTTTTTTTTCTCTTTAGTGACCGTGGCCATCATCCTCTGCCTGTTGCTCCGGATCTAACTTGATCAGGGTATCAATTCTCATGATGCTGATGCAAGCTTCTACGGCACTCTTCAGCTGTCGCACCTTGCTGATGCTGGGCTCCAAAACGCCTTGCTTTAGCTCATCCACAACCTTGCCACGCATCAGGTCCAGACCGTAGTTCTTGTAGCCCTTCTTTCTAGCGATTGTCTTTTCATCTTCGCTCCCGTCGCCTTCTTGGATGCGTTGTGACAGGGCGTGCCGTGATCGAAGCTGGGCAACGAGCTCGGCTCCATCCTTGGCAGCGTTAACAGCCAAGGTTTTGGGAATGATGAGCAGCGACTGGGCGAATTCGCCAATGGCGAGCTGCTCGCGAGATCCGACGGTGCCGGCAAACTCTTCCAGATAAATGTGCAGAGCGGTTTCGACGGCGCCGCCGCCAGGGACAATGCTTCCGCTTTCCAGGGTCCGCTTCACGGCGCACAAGGAATCATGCACTGACCGCTCCATCTCATCGAGGGAGTAGTCGTTGGGGCCACGCAGGACAATGGATGAAGATGAGTGGACCTTGGGTCCTTTGACAAGAATGCACTCGTCATCGGAGATGCGCTCCTGGCTAACTTCGTCAGCGTGGCCAAGGTACGAGGGCTCGAACTTCTCGTCGCCATTGAGGTCAGATAAGGTGCTCAAGAGAAGACCGCCGGTGGCCTTGGCAATCCGTCGCAGGTCCTCCTTCTTGCATCTTCTGACACCCATGGCGCCGCGCTCGACAAACATCTTGAGAACGAGATCGTCAATGCCCTTGGTAGTAAGAATGACGTTTGCTCCAGCCTTGAGAATAAGCTCAACCCGTTCCAGAATCATGCCAGACTCGCGGGCCCGGATCTGCTCTAATTGTTGAGGATCGTCAACAGTGATCTGCACTCCCATCTTCATCCTTTCCTTTTGCAGGTTCATGTCCAAAATGGCAATCCTAGCATCCTGGATTCGAGTGGGCATCGCCTGAGATGCAACGGTGCAGTTGAGGGCGTATCCTTTGATAAGCATCGATTCGCGGATGCCCTTTCCGTGAGCCTTCAGAATATTGACGGCTTTCACGGGATATTTTGTCTCGTTTCTATTGTTGGTGGTCTTGACTGCCTGAATGGCGTCAACTACCATATCGGCGAAGAAATCAGAGTCGGCGCCAATAATCTTGCTGGACATGGATGTCTTGGCAATGCTGATAAGAGAATCGCGTCCGAGATTTTCGACCTTGATACTGACATTCTCATTGAGATACTTTACAGCTTCTCGGAGAGCCAGTCTGTAGCCGGTGATGATGGTGGTGGGGTGTATACGGTTCTTCATCAGCTCGTTGCCTCTTCGCAGCAACTCAGCGGCAATGAGAACAACGGACGTGGTGCCATCTCCAACTTCCTTGTCTTGTTGTTGTGCCAAGTCGACGAGGATTTTACCGGCAGGATCCTCGACATCGAGAAGGCTAAGAATCGTGGCGCCGTCGTTGGTAACCGTAACGTCCTGAGCGTGTGTGAGGGGCATGTTCTTCAACGACGAGTATCACGGTCGAATGGGAAGGCTCTTACACCAATGTCGTCCACCATCATCTTATCCAAACCGCTGGGGCCGAAGGAGCTCTTGACGACATTTGCGATTGCTTGGGTAGCGAGGACTGGACCAACGATTAGCATAAAAACATGCTCGACTGCCAGCCACCCCACCGACAAGTCTAAAGGGCATACCGTTCTGATCACGAATGTCGGACCCTGAGATCTTCTGGCCGCCCAAAAAAAGGGTGCCATTCCGGGGTTGCTCGAACATAGACGCCATTTATGTGGCTGTCCAGTTTGTCGAGCAATATGTTGTCGTCTAGGAAGCTGGCAGTCGTGGTTTGTCCGGCAGCTCCAGCGCTTCTCTCCCCAGTCCGGCTGCTGCCCCTCAACTTTTTTGCCCGGAAGCAGAATTGTTCCAGTTCCGAAGCGGCGAGCGGGTCAGGACAGGAGCAACCAACGGCCACAAGGTATTTGCTACTCCGTACAGCGGTCAGGTTGTTAGAACTTAGTAGTTAGTGGCGCACGGCCCGGGGACCAGCCCTTGAATACTTGCCCCAACCATGACCAACTAACTAACGACAGAAGGGGCAAAGCTCAGGGCGCTGATTGGACAGCGCACGTTTGGAATGAAATTTTGAATGGTGCCCCAGGAATTGCCCCTCCTTCCAACGAAGGGGAAAGAAGGGCAAGGGTCGTGGGGCACGCTTGCCCAGCGACCCCAAGCTTGCTCCGACGACCACCAGAGTAAGAGTCACCGGATTCCTTATCTGCTCCTTCCTCGAACAACACTAGCCAAAAAACTCAGCCTTCTCGAGTCACACTTCCACTATTCCCTGGGAGAATCAAAGTGGTTGACTCATTGGAAAGTTTATATATCTATTGTTTTCGTTGTCGTTGTTATCACAGCAGTTGCCAATTTTCCCGCTGCCCTGTTCTCGAGACCGAATCGCAAGAAATGGACGCCGCCCCTGAGCTGTCGAAAAGTGCCTTGAAGAAGGCCGAGAAACAGGCCCATCTCGCTGCCGAAAAGGCTGCAAAGGCGGCGAAGAAGACCGCTCTTCCCGTTGTTGGAGGCAAGAAGATGGACGAGATTATTGGAATTACTAACCCCAAGGATGAGAATTTCTCAGCATGGTATCAAGAGGTAGTCCTCAAGGCCGAAATGGTCGAGTACTACCAAGAAATTTCAGGTTTCTTTGTTTTGCGTCCTTTGTCTATGCACATCTGGGGCACTATCCGCAAATGGTTCTCGGGTCATATTGAAGAACTTGGTGTGGAAGAGGCGAGCTTTCCCCTCTTTTTGTCCAAGACGTCGCTCGACAAGGAGAAAGACCACGTGGATGGCTTCGCGCCCGAACTGGCCTGGGTTGAGAGAGCGTACGTATTGACATGACCTTGCTACCAAGCAGGAACGCGTTGCGCAGATGCTAACAGACATGTAGTGGTGACAAGAAGCTCGACGTTCCTGTCGCCATTCGTCCAACCTCCGAGGCTGTCATGTACCCTTACTACGCGAAATGGATCCGTAGCCACAGAGACCTTCCCCTCCGACTGAACCAGTGGAACTCTGTCGTACGTTGGGAAGCTAAGCAGACCACTCCGTTCCTCCGAACTCGAGAATTCCTGTGGCAAGAAGGCCACACTGCCCATCTGACCGAAGAATTGGCAGGAAAAGAAGTCCTGGAAATTTTGGAACTGTACGCAGGTGTGTACGAGCAGCTTCTTGCCGTGCCTGTAGTTCGGGGCTGGAAGACTGAAAACGAGAAGTTTGCTGGAGGATACTATACTGCGACCGTCGAGGGATACATTCCTTCCAACGGTAGAGGTATTCAGGGGGCCACGTCTCACTGCTTGGGACAGAACTTCAGTAAAATGTTCCAAATCACAGTCGAGGACCCCCACAACAAGGGCCAGCATGTTCACGTGTGGCAAAACTCTTGGGGCCTGTCCACCCGAGTCATCGGCGTAATGGTTATGGTGCACGGTGATGACAAGGGTCTTGTTCTCCCTCCCCGTGTCGCCCAAACCCAAGCCATTTTTATTCCTGTCGGTATAAACAAGAACACCAAGCCCGAGGATAGACAGAAGCACGAAGAGCAGATTGAGGATATGCGTGCGACCCTCAAGAAGGCTGGTGTTCGCACACAGTCAGACTGGAGAGAGGGCTATACGCCAGCCTGGAAGTTCAACGACTGGGAGATGAAGGGTGTTCCAGTGCGACTTGAGTTCGGGCCCAAGGATGCAGCCAAGGAAGTTGTCTCTTATGCTCGACGTGACACTGGTGAGAAGGGAACCATCCCTATTGCTGACCTTGCGGCCAAGATCCCCGAGCTCTTGGAAAGTATTCAAGCGGACATGTATAAGAAAGCGGAAGCCGCCTTCAGAGAGCACCGCAAGAAGATCACCAAGTGGGAAGATGTTCTCCCCACGCTTGATGAAAAGAATGTTGTCCTCATTCCTTTCTGTCTGGATGGTAAATGTGAGGACCGCATCAAGGAATTGACCACCCGCGTGGACGACAACCGAGAAGTCCCGGAGAACCAAAAGGTGCCTTCCATGGGCATGAAGAGTCTCTGCATTCCCTTCGAGCAGCCCGACGGGGACGAGCTTGTTCCCGGTGAAACTGCATGCTTGAACCCTGAATGCTTTAGCAAAGCACAGAAATGGGTCATGTTTGGCAGAAGCTACTAGAGAGACAGACAAGAAGGAGAGGGAATATGATTTCGGCGCTTGGAGTAGCATGTAGCAATAGGAGTCCTGGCATTTAAGGGACAAGAGAAAAAGTGGTTGTGTGTCTGATTTTCAATGATTTACACCGAAGATATTCACCACGGGGTAGAATAGATAGAGATGAAATGACGATTATGAACCCGTGTTGTGACTACGTCCCTGTGGCCTTTGCCATGTCATGATGTCCAAGGCTATCAACACCACTCAAACTTTTCATTATCAACCCACTCGACGTCAGACACGGGACCGTGACCAAACCACCTGAGGGCCGGAATGTTTGTTTCCTCGCGAGTAACAAGCTCGCCCTCGAGATGAGGAATATTCCGCAGCAGTCTTTGCGTCCGCTCGTCAGGATTCCACATGTCTATCTTGGCACAAAGCCAGTCCCGGGCGTTGCTGCGCGCAAGACCCATAATGGCCTCCAGTGCCCTCGACATGTCCTCGTCCGAAATGGCGTCATTCTCGACGGCGTAGTGAAGGATATTCAAAACATTGTCCTCGGGCTTCTCCTGGCCCCCGTGGCAAACGTTGGACCAGAGCATCCAGACGCGCGAGCCCGAGGCGTCCGCGGGCGTGTAGATGGCCCCGTGGACGGCGGGCGCCCTGCCCAGCATGTAGTTGCAGATGAGTCTCTCCCTGGCCAGCTGCCAGTCGTACGTGGCGAAGTCCGGCACGATGGCTGCCCGCACTTTGAACCCCTTGCCGGGGGGCCCGGCCAGCTTGCGGCGCAGAGTCTGCTCGTCCAGCTGGGCGACGGCGGGCAAGTTGTCGCCGGTGACGGGCGTGAGCTGGTCGTCGGGGCGCGTGGCGGGCGGCGGCTTGGCGGGAAAGCTCATGTGAGTGCTTGGGAACGGCATCCACTGGTGGTTGGCGTAGAAGTCCTTGCCAATGTCGGAGAACATGACGGAGAACTCGGCGCTGCCGGGCTCCCGGGCTTGCTGTTTGGCGAGGGACTCGCCGACCAGGGCCAGCATTCGGCCGGCGTAGCCGCGGCGCCGGAACTCGTCGAAGGTGAAGACGCTGGCGAGGCCGTGGGCGGTGACGTCGCGGACGGTGCCGTCTGGGTCGCGGACGATGGCTCTCTTGCGGTAGGTCTCTACGGAGGAGAGGATGGGACGGCCTCCTGGGGCGCCGTGGGCGTCGGTGCTGGTGGGATCTGTGAGGATCCAGGAGGTGTGGCCGCCGTCTCGGGCGAGCTGCGAGGTGAGCAAGTACTCTTCTCTGTCGACATAGGCCTGCGGCGTGAGCCTTGGGGCCCAGACGTGTTGGTGGCGAGTCCAGATGTAGACTTTCTCGTCTTGGGTGGCTTCGGCGAGCGTCAGCGATGAGGAAGTGGCGCTCGGCAGAGACATGGCTGGGTGTGTGATGTTATGTAGCCTGATGAGATGCCGTCATGGGAAGAGAAGAGATGAACCAAGGTGAAGTCTGAACTTGTCCTTATACTCGAGCAGAACGGGGGGAGAAGGGAAATGTGGGGATGAGAAGTAGCAGTTAGGTCAACTACCAAGTATGCTATTGTTGCTGCGGTCTGAGTGTTGAGTACGCATACGGCATGGCAACTCCCTCTGGCCTCGATATATCGATCGATTTACATGACGGGGCGTGGTCTTTAGTTATGATTTAACAGCTGGTCTGAGACATCGTGGGTCAGTTTGCCTGTAGCTATGAAGTCCACGGTGTGTATGCCGCGGCGAGCGTCTGTTCCATACATACCTACAAGGGGGAGAGAGAGAGAAAGCATCCTTCGAGCAATATGATGGGATTGCTATATTAAAATCGAAACCGCATTGGTTGAGTCCATGGTGAGTAAGGAATACTTCCGTCATCCGTAGCCTTGCTGGTGGCAAGCAATTCAACTTCCAGTTTCTTGAGCTCGTTGTAGAAGCGCTCGCTAATGGGTCCGATTTCTTTATCATTCTTGTAGTTTCCACAATGCGCCATCCACTGGGACTGCGTAAATGTAATCAGACTACGATCACCAGGGGCTTTGAAACTAAGCAGCCACGGGACCTGAACTGAGAGCTACCGACCGATGGGCATCGCGTCGACGACATCTGCCTTCTTATATGCCCTGAGATAATGACAGAAGTCTTTTTACAGAGGCGGGGTAGTTTGGCAAGGACAAAGGCCTGGTGGAAACTTTGGAGGTAGTTTACAGCGGTGAGAACGGCGCTGCGATGCGAATGCCCACGGTGGTAGCATCGCACAGCTGGTCCAGGGTACCGATGAAGCCGTTTGTTTTCGTCTCCTTGGACCAATCCGTGATGTAATGATCTAGCTACACCATCTTGTTGTCCTTGTAGTAGGTTCGGAGCATTGTCGCGACGTATTCTCCAATGCAGGACCAATAGAGACCCTGTCCTTGGCATAGTAGTTCTTGTACTTGGTGTTGGACACGCCCTGTGCCGTGATGGGGAAGTCTCGTCACTTCAAGCCGTTAAGGATGTGGCGTTGGACAAAGTCAAAGTTCTGAAACTTATATCGAATAAACTTGTCAAGAGTCGGGCTTCAGGCCAACCAGGTCCTTGATGATTGGAGGAGGCACAAGGGTAGATCTGGCGGCCGCGTTCAGGGAGAGCGTCCTGTACCAGTGCGGCTCGAGGAGTTTATGCCCAATGTGATCCAATGGAGTAGTGCAGTGTCTGGCCACAATCAGATGCCTCAATCATGTACGCGCGGGTCAAGTGAACGCCGACTTCGTGACGAATCCAGTCCGAGACTTGAGCTCACGTCTTGGCACATCGCCATGGCCAGTCGCTCTCTTCCTTGTCAGTTCGGTCTGATGGGAGCTTCCTTTGGTTGAAAATGACAACAGAGCTTGCCATGTTGGCCTTGTAGTCGCAGACAATGGCGACGGGATGTAGCACGGCAGTCCTGGACAAAGAGCCAAGTGCGATCGGTCCCAGCAAGAGTTTTCGCCCATTGCTCATATCCGCCTCGGTTTGCCTCCTCGATAAATTCGGTTCAGAGGTCATCAGTCATCTTCTAAACGGTAGGGTTGATTCCTGTGACAAGTTGATCGGCAAAGCAGCGATCGTCATGTCAGTCCGGGAACAGACCCAAGTTGGCTCCCTGCTCGATATCTGTTCCAGACTTGCAGTGAACGTGCTGTTTGTTCCGTAGGCCTTGATGCTAGATGCCTAATTCGGTGGACAGCTTCGGTTTCACAAGCCTGGTGTTGAAGACACAAGGGTCTATGTCCACAAAGGGCACATGCTTGATGCCAACTTGGAGTGCCTTTTTGCGGACATCAAGCGATGTTTCAGGATTTCATCGGGCTCAGGGACCGGCGCCGCATTCGATGGCCGCAGCGGAAGGCTAAACCCGGGAATACGCATATTTATGGTTGACAGAGTTTTGCAATTCTCAAGCTCGCCACGATATCGAAGTGAGAGACAAGTGTCGATCACGAACCAGCAGTGGAGTGAATGCCCTCGGAGAGAATATGTAGTGAATTACCACCTGTATATTACGTTGAGTTTGTTGCAAGACGCATGAATCCTGCGTCCCAAAACCTGACGTATGCTGAAAAGATACTGAGCGTACACCAGCCACAGATATAAAACGGCATATGCCCGACGACAGCCAAGTTGAATTATAATCGCAAGAACACACGAGGACGAAACGATAGCAGTACGTAGTATAGCTATTGTCGTCGCCCTGTTGAAGTCTTGTCAATTCCGTGCTACCGGCGTTGTCATATTTCATCAACAGTTTACAACTTGCTGTGTTCGCTCATGCCATATAGAGTTGTTCACAAGTGGACAGCTCTGTTCAGCTTCGTTCAGCTCTCGGTCGCCAGCTGCTCGTTCCGTCCTTGAGTTTCAACGCCACAGGCAGCGGCGGGTTGAAACCACTCAGCTGCCACCCAGAAGCTGCGGGCTGGAAATTTCACAGCAAATAATTCCTGGCAGCTTATATGAGCAGCCGGCCAAAAGACGTTGGGACAAGGTGGCGCTCGAGAGGCAAGACGGCCGAATGCCCCATCTGGTCCAAAGAACGCTCCGCATTTGCACAACATTCTCCTGTAAAGGTAAACCAAGAGATGCTGGTTGTTTTGGTCCAAAAGAGCCAGAAAACACAATGCTTATCCCCCGTGATACTTTAGTCCCTAGAGGCAATGTAAATCACTCTCACCAGATATCCATAATGGCGTGATCAGCGTACGGAGTGATGGAAGCAGCCACACATACTTGCCGCGCCCTCGACATGAGGTTGGCAGCAGCACGACCCGACGCAGGGACAGGACTCCTTGGCCGTGAGTCAACGCCTTAAGAAAGGGTCTCGTGACAACGGGGCTATCGAGTCGGCATTTCCAGAAAGCTACCGCATGCCTTTAGAACGTAGCGTGCTCAGCTCCAAAGGCAGATGTGCGAATGTGACTGCTCGGGAGGGTTTGAGACGAGCCGCTGGCGTAGATGGCGGTTGACCCAACTTGCGGGCCGAAATGTTGTTTCTGGCTGACTAGTATTCCAATTTCCCATGAATGACAACCTGTAGTTCGTGCCCAAGAGTGCAAGAGAAGAAGAAAATGAACCGAAATGAACCGGGTATAATAGAAAGAAGAAAAAGCTGGCGAGGCAATTTGGGAGCCAAACGCAGGTCAACTAACTAAATAACTTGGCGAGTTAGGCAACAGGCAGTCAAGGGCGCCTGCCTCGGCATTGAACAGCACCGCAGGCGAGACGGGGGCGGGGGCCGTGCTCGGCTAACCCCATTCAAACTTGGAAGGCTGCGTGCAACCCGGCCTTTTACCCAGTCAAACTTCAAACTCCAACCCGAACCTCGCTGTATTAATTCTGCCGAGAATGAAGCAAAGCCACCACAGTGGACCGACCGATTGCTGGCCAAATTGTACAATTCGACCTCCATGGAATTCGTCCATGGAATTCGGCGTCTTGCCACGTGCCCGAGGATCCCTCACGCCGGAGCGCCAAGGCTCAAGCAAGACCCCAACGTCCTTGCGGAGGCGCAGCGCAGCAGCACAACACGCAAGAAGAGGATGGGTCAAGGTTTTGAGAAAATGATCTATTTGAGGCAATCGTCAAATGAGGGTATCGTATGAATGCCGCCAAGGACATCGGCTCATGCAGGGACTTTGCCAAGCAAGCAAGTCTGGTCGCAATGCTCGACTGACCACACACCCCATCCCATACTCGTTACCATTCACCGAGTACACATGAAGTGGGACAGGCCGGACGTGGAACTAACTATTGCCTCGTGGCCGCTACGAATAGTGGTACCGCAAGTTGCGAAGATATGCTGGCGCTGCCAAACCGCCAAACTCGTACTACCCCTGAGTCTACAGTCCCGATTTGGATACCTCGTATGCTTGCCCAAGGGCCAAAGGCTACTGTTGTATCTTGCGTATTTGTCGATTAAATATCCGTCGGGTGAAAGGCGTGTGCGAAAAGCATACAACAACTTTGCATCTTGAAGACAAGACATAAAGTGACTGACGCACTATGTGTTGAGAATCAGTTTGCCACACCACCGGTATCACTGTACAAGGGCAGTCTTGGCTGATTACATAGTGATATAGCTGGGTCTCTCACACACTAGCCCGAGTTCTTAAACCTCTTACATCGCTGCCGTTGACACCGACTTGAGTCTAAGAGTGCCAGGTTCTAAAACCTCATAGTTATAGACGTGTTGACTCAGGGCTTCAATTTTACCGTGGAAAGAAGTCGGCTGAAGCAACAGTTTCAAGCATGTTCTCATTACGTGCTAGGCTATCTCGAGGCTGGTCGACACCTCTGATTGAAAGCATAGCTGGGTTAGTGAGGTGCAAACACGCCTATGACTCCACGACTCCACGAAATACATAGTCGAGCATTGAACAGGGAACGACGACGCAAAATGGCGGTCCGATGCTCGCCGAGCTGTTGTCAGCGCTCAGCAATCTTTGTATAAAAGGTGGGCACAGTCATCCGCAAGTTGCCCTACATCATGCATGTGCATGCACAAAACCCGTCATACAGCTTTGATACGCAAATAGGTAGTTTTCTCGCGCTCCGGTGTCACGTTTTGAAAAAGTCGGGATTCTAATGTTACATCTAGAAGCAACTCGATTGATGCAACAAGCCCCCACTCCGCGTCGGCCGCATCATTTCCTTGGAGTGCCATGCTGATAACAACGACACCATGATCGTATAGATGGAGAGTTTTAGCATCATGCTACTTAGCTCTACATTCGTAACCCAATTCACTGTGGGTATCTTTGGAACAATTGCTTTCTGTGTCTTGGATGCAATGCAACTGCAAAAGCATGATCCAAGTCTTCTGCTGGAGGAGCATAGGGCGGTCTGTATAGAGTATACGAGGTTCTTGGCCTGGGTTGGTGAGGTGTTGAGATACTTGGTCTCAGAGTGAAAATGGACAAATACGGCTCTTGACGTTTGTTGCCCGGGTCAAGCCGTGAGGTGATACGCCACCTTGGTTTGGGCAAGTCTTACGCACCCGAGAGCCAAAGTCGTGTCTGTGTCTATTCGTGGGGACGGATGGCTTGCCGAGCCAGGACTCAAGAAAGTGTGTCTCGTACTCCGTAGCGTTAGCTCTCGTGCTAAGCTTTTTAGTCTACAGAAAAGGCCTGATTTTTTTGAAAATTTTTCCCGGTTGGTGAACGCCGGGTGACAAACCCAGAATCAAGGCCCGAGTCTGGACCACGCATCCCCGTTCATGATTTCATAGTAGCTATCCACGTTTCTGAGAGCCGGCGGGATTAATGCAGGTGAACCCCATGTGCAAATAAGGATGGAGTTGTATGCTAGCTAGATCGCTCAAGCCAGCTGGGAGTTGCCAATTGCACGGAGTAGGGGCCTGCCAGTGGCGGCTTATGCTGGTTTGATGTTGCTGCTTGAATGGCGTGTGCCTTGTGGGTCCCTTCAACGACGCTTTCGCTCGCAGGTCTAAATGGGGGGATGACAAGTACATGACAATCAATTGCTGCAATGATACCGGTCCACGTGGACCTCGAACCCAGGACTTGGGGACGCCCGCCTCCTAGCGCTGGTGTTGACGCGGGCACTGATGGCTTGCTTCTTGGTTGGGAGAGGTAGTCGGCCTGGCCGATCCGGTTGCCTTATCCTCTGATGACTCTGCGACTTCTCCATCGCCATGGGCGACCAGGGTGACCATGCGGCGGCCGTGTTGGCCCGTGGGATGCAGGCGGTGGTGTGAGGGGTACTAGCAGTACGGCAGTCAGTGATGGCGACGGATGCTGGAGGAGATGGGAGGCGTTAATAGCCGTTGCTCACTTGCTCGAATGGATTACCATGGGTTGATGCTTGGCGATGCTGTGGGCTTGTGGTCCGCTTTTGTGCACCTTTCAGGAACTCTTAGGCTAAACGTCGGCCTCTGCGACGGGGCCAAATTTGTCCTTGTCGCCCCGCTGGCCCTGAAGCTGCCTGGCTCTAGACCCAGGAAGGCCGCTGTCAAAGTTTCAATAGCTGGACCAGCAAGGAGCCAAGACACAAATTAGCCTCAATTCAACATGGAATCCAACGGTGGTGAGTGCTGCCGCTGGGTTTGTACAGCCTACGGCTTCATAACTGTTTCCAGGAAATCCGAAACAAAATACACTGGCAAGAAGCTGACGCTCACAGATTACCCAGAGGCTGTGACCGTTTGGCCGTACAAAGTCCAAGTTCTGCGCTCAACAATTCTGTGCGTCATGTAGGCTCGCACTGGTGGCAGCCACTGACCCTACCGGCATCTGCCATCGTCAGAAAGTCGTCAGCTCGCCGGCGCGGCTCGAACTGGGCCCCGTCGGCACATGTCGACGCCCTGTTGCGACAACCATAATATCGCTCTTTTTGGGAGGCCTTTCAGATCGAGCCGCCCCCATGGATGGCCGGTGGCATTGGCCATCAAGCATCCGCCGTCTGAAACCTTGGGGCGACCTTGGGACGGTTGAACTCCAGAGTACGGAGTACGGAGTGTCAGACAGGATATCAGGGACCTGGATACGCAGTACGCGTGTGTACGGAGAAATACTGCCGTGACAACCTGTCAGCACCCCCTTGATGCTGCTTGTCTGCTGGCTTTCCAGAGCTTCCAATTCCCCCCTTGTCAGAAATCTCCTGTCGGTGGAAGGATCCACCTTATAGGGCTGATGCGGACGGACTATGGCGTTTGTCAATCTCCAAGGGGGTGCGAATTGAGACATCTGGACTCCAATGTCGAGACTACGCCCAACGACCATGGCGCATGGGTGGCCCCCGACGTGGCATTTTTGTCACTTGTCACTGTCCCTCGTGGCCAATAGCTTCCTCCTTTGGTCGCTGAGGCTTCATCCCTTCTTGTCGGTCGACCTACCCAATGCGTCTATCGTGGAATACTGGCCCTCTCCCCTGTCGAAATGAGTGACGTACCAACATCACACCCAACGCGCACCCCCATCTTCAAGTGTCCCGACTGTAAGGTTACAGCGATTTCTCTCGTGGCTGGCTCAGCCCCCAAGATTCTGGGTAGCCAGCTGCCTGGATGCGAGGGGAATCGGGTTTCATGGCCGCGGTTCTCCAAAGATTTAATAAAAACATATCTCGGCATGGCGTCTTCTCCAAGCCTCCATGTTCTGGCATTCTATTCACCCAGTAATTCTTCCTTGTGTAAATAAAACCGTTGAGATTTCTTCACTTCCTGGCATTGAGGATTGGTCTATACTCGCGTTCACCATTAATCAGTTGGTACTGACACCATCGTCTGTCGGGATGCCTGACGATTCTCCAGCACAACAAATCGACCAGTGAGCCATATTCGAACCCGTCAATCTCCAGGACCTGTTCTAACCCCTGCCTCCTGCCAGGAGTCTGAATAAAGGACTCCTCATGACGAGCTTTCCTATCGCCAAGCGAAAGCGCGCGACGCGTGCCAAGTTCGCCAAAGTGCGGACCGGGTGCGTTACTTGTAAGTCCAGGTCTTGAATGTTGTTCTTCCATTTGTCCCATGTCTTCAATCTCCTTGTCCAACGATGACAAATAAAGGCTAACATGCGCCATAGGCAAGTAAGAACGATTTACCTCAAACGCCCATCCGCTTGTAAAGTTACTAATACATACAACAGGAGACGGCATGTGAAATGCGATGAAACAAAGCCGGCTTGCAAGAACTGTATCAAATGGGCTGGCTTTTGTGGCGGCTACGAGCCCATCCTCGCTCAGTCGAAGACTTCTGTCAAGCAGACTGTTTTGACGCCGCCAAGTCCCGAATTTGACAGCACGTCATCTCCCGAGGAACTAGAGCTCCCTCTGTATGATTCTGGCTGGCAATTTCAACTCCCCGAGAATCTCTCGCCTCCAGAATTAATAGATTCCCAACTGAGCTCATACGGATGGCCGAGCTGCCCAACACAGCCCACAGGACCCCATTTCAGCGTTCCGGCTGCTTGTCCTACCTTTGACGACACATTCTGGGCTTTGACTCTTCCTCAGCTTGTCCAAGAGAACCTCGCTATTCGGTATGCCAACGTGGCAGTCCATGTCCTTTTACTTGCCAAAGGCCCTACGGTGGTAGGCGCGGGAAACGTCATCGAGAGGGACCATTACGGAGAGGCTCTATCAAGCTATGGACGCGCCCTGCAAGAAGCCAGGCGGGCGACGACGGGGTATACCGATCTCCGCGAGACGGCCGTATGCTGCATGTTCTTTGTCATATTTGAGGCAATAAATGGAGATCGGGAGGCCGCACAGGCTCATCTGCACAGTGGACAAAAGATTTTGGAGGAGATCAGCCCCGAATACAATGGCGTCCAAGGATTTCGCAAGGAGCTTCGAAACGTTCTACGATATCTTGCCCAGCAAGCTCGTGGGTTCGCGCTCGATGGGGCTCACCAATACGGAGGCGACGAGGGCGGCAGCATCTTGGATACGCTAATGGTATAATGGGCATGTTTGCCCTGCTTTTCATGGGATGGGGGCTAATTCTCTCTACTCATTGACTTGTTGTCTCTTGCTAGCGTGGCGTGATTCAAGTGGTGATGAAACCCAAAATTTGTTTTTATCCTGGGGAATTTTAAAGGGAGACAAGGCGGAGCGGGGTTCAAACTCTTACGATTTAGATGAGCATTATGTATTGCTGGAGTGGCTGGGAAGATTTGGCGATGATAACCAGGGCTCCACGGCCATACATCCACCGGTCTATGAAGTTAAAAGCTGATGTTGCTCCGTTAGCCGCCCAGATTTGTACCACGACCAAGCATACCATGCCAGCCTGTAGGACTGCATTGGTGGAATCACCCGAAAATGGCCTCGGTCGGGTTTCCTCGGTTCATGCCGAATCGAATCCCAACGGTCCGGACCGGCAGAGAATTCTCACTGCGGCCTGCTGTGTGCAACGCAACGTCTTGCCTTTTACAACCACAACAGTGTGTTGCTGCACAGCCTTCACATTCTGACCGTCCCCGGTCTGTCTTGTGACTGTGCCGAGGCCGGGAATCTCAAGACATCCGGATGCACAACCTCTCCGGTGGTCGCGCATGACGTCAACCGTGACTCACGGTCTTGACTCTTGACCAGCCTTGGGCATGACTGAGGTGACAATGCACACGGCGATTGGACTGTGCAACTGCCGCACACTCTGGGATCATGGGGTTGCCTGCAGGCCGGAACAAGGGCTGACCGCGGTACTCCGAACGGATGAACTTGGATACACGCCCGTCGGGACGGGGCATCGGAGGGGAGCGGAGTCGAGAGGGCCGACAAGTGACGGATCGGCCGTGGTGGGTCAACGAAGTGTCTGGCGTGTCGTCTGGTTGTGCACGCGCATGAATGAACGGAGTACATTTTTAATGGTGGGGTCCTACCTGAACGACGCCCATCGACAGGTACTTCCCAGTACCGTGGTACTCCGTAAGCCCCCTGAAATCAGCAGCGGTACCGAGTATTTTCTACGCACTTCGTACTTGGTAAGTAAGTACTCAGGGCGAGGGGCGAGGGGCGTGCATCGACCCGAACCTGCCCCAAGAGAGGCACGTCTCAACTTTCAAGTGCTACGTCAATCCAAACGCCAGAATTCCCCAATGTCGCATCACTCTGCGCGCACAACGCGACCACACACGCCTGGCGGTGGCCGTCCCATCAATCATGGCCTTGCCTCTACCCCCGGGCCTGGTTCCCTCAGAGGTGGCCTTTCTATGTGAGATGGAGCTCGTGACCGTCGTCCCGAGACAGCGACTAGAGAGCATCCATCTCCTCTCCGTACGTATTGACAGCCTCAGCTTGTCGACGCGCGAAACGTCCCCCGCGCGCCAGTTTCCAACACTGCTCCATGGTCCAAGCTGATTCGGGATCGCAGGGCCAAACGCCTCAGCTGCGTCCCCCCCGAAGAAGCGATCTCCCCCTCTGGCTGGCGCTGCTGCTCAAAAAGCAACGCCGTGCCAACATCGTACCGCCGCCATGGATGCATCCCGACTCCCTTCGCGACGTTATCCACCACGAAACCACTGTCGACACCAAGGGATGGGCTCCTCCCCCTCCGCCGCGCTCGCGCGCCGACTCTTTCGGCAACGCCACGCGCATAAACGACCTCTCCGGCAAGGAGGCGATTCTGTCTCCTCCGTTTCTACCGTCATGCACGGCCGACGCTCCGTCGGGGGCGTTGCCTTACCACTGGTTCGAACTGGCAGAGATGCTGCTCGCCCACGCGGGTGACGATATTGTCTCGGCATCGGAGGTGCGATCGTTGTTGAGGGACCTGCAGGAGGTTCGCGCGGCCAAGATGAGAAGCAGTACGGCGCAGTTGGAAACCGGCGTCGACGGGGTGATGAGCTTGAGAGGTGTGGGCGCCATGGAGCTGGCGGAGAGTAGGGGGTTTGTCACGGGTGTGGTCGAGGGCGTGAGGAAGATTGGGGCGAGTGCTGAGGCTATGAGGCGAGAGGAGGAAGAGGATGAGCGGGGTGATGGTGACGATGAACCCAGTGATGATGGCATGGGCTTATGAGACAAACCGGCTCTAGGTTTGTTGGTCGATGGCTGCCAGTCGTTGCTGGCTTGCGGCCCTGGCCCGGCACTTTGCAGAACAGGCTGTAAGTCACGTCGAAAAAACGAAAATAAAAAAGAGGCTACAATGACGATGATGGAAAATCGGGCTCGTTCAAGACGACGCAAGCAATTGCCGCTACATGATGCGCTCCTCGACCGACGTCTGCTCCCCGAGTCCCAGTCTAGCTCCAAATCCTTGTCCCCCTTCTCGCCCGTCCGTATTCCCTCTCCAGAAACCAGACGTGGGCGGATGCCCATTTATTCGATCCGCACTTCTTATCCATGGACGCCCACGCCCGATCAATACCCCGGGCCGAGCAAATCGGGTCGCTGGCTATGTACGTGACGCCACGATCAGTGTAGGAGAAGGCAGCGTATACCGTCGCGTTGTTGACGACAGATATGACGATTGAGCTCGGAAAAGGGGTGTACCGCTCGCACCAGTTCATCAGACCCCTTTTCGCGAGGTCAAGGTCGCCTCGATCCAGGTCGTGATCGGAGCCATGGAAGCATTTCTTGTGTGTCAAAGCCGCCGGGAGCCGGGTTTCGTTCTTGGCATACGGCGGAGGCCGGTTGTGGTCGATTTTGTACTGGCTGATGTTGAGCAGATCCGGCCGGCTGCCGTGTCCTATTTCGTATGTGAACTGGAAGACTCCGTCTCCGTAGGCGGGATCCAGGACCCAGCAGGCGGCCACCTGGAGCATGAGGAGGCTGAGGAGGCCCCGGACGGTGGTTGTCAGGAGAGCCATGCCGTCTGCTGGCGAAGCGGCGAGCAGTTTATTATACGGAGCCGAGCTTCTGGCCGAAGGAGAGGGGGAGAGGATTCCCGGCTTTGAGTGTTGCTTTTAGACTGTGGTGTCCAGGTTTGAGAATCACCCGGGGTCTATTTATACGCAAGAGGGTGATGCGTCGATGTAGGCCGAGTGCGTACGTGCTGCCATCGCACGCGGGCTAAGGGTTAGATTTATATTTTTAAAGAAAAGAGAAAGAAAGAAAGAACAGAAAAGAAACAAAATTTCAAGCAACGAAGCTCCAGCTAGCGAGGCATGCTAACACGATACGGAGTAGCCAGAGTGTACTAAAAAAACATGCCGAGATGTGCACTTTGCAATTTGGAGACGGGGTTTTGCTTGGCGTAGTGGCCGAGGAAGGGACGGCGCACATGGACGCAGATAGACGGAGCTGGGCGCAACGCGGGACAGACAGACCAGACCGCCGGCTCAGCCTACGGAGTACAGCAGCGCGAGTTCCCGTCCGCCAGGCACGCCGCGTCAGACCCCGTGGGGCGGCGGGGAGGGGCTCCGCACGTCGCCATGGCCGCCTGACTGCTGCCTCTGCTTGTGCTTCCGTCTCATCACCCGGCACGCTGTGCAACCAGCCAACCTCAACCCGCATCCTGCCAACATCACCCACTCCTCACACGCGCTCGCAGACACTCCAGCTGCGACTCGCTGGGTTCATAGTCCAAACATGAGATTCTCCCGGCTTTCTGTACTGGCGGCATGCGTGCCTGCTGCCACTGCACGCTTCGTTGAGCCCAACGAGGCCGACAACGTTGTCCTCGACCCAAATGAGCCAACCTTCCTCATCGAGACCGCTCCAGGCAAGACGCAATGGGTGACGGAGGACCAGAAGTGGGAGCTTAGACGGGTAAGTACACCCGACGCCGCACGCGGCCGCTTAAAGCAAAGGCGGCGCCTTGGTGGAATGCTAACCGCCGCTGTGGTTGGCGCATGGCAGAATGGCCAGCGCTTCATGGACATCACCGCCTCCAGGGACTTGGGCGCCCAGACTCTGCGAAACGGGGCGTCTGTCGTATTCCCAAGCAAGTGCGTCAAGCGCGACGAGGTCAAGAGCCTGGCGACGAACCTCGACAAGGCGTCCATGAAGGCCAATCTCGAAAAGCTGTCTAGCTTTCACACGCGATACTACAACTCCGACTGGGGCCTGGAGTCTTCCAACTGGGTGCTGGAAAAGGTCAACCAGATCATCACGGAGGCCGGTGCCCGCGACACCGTCACCGCCAAGAGCTTTCCTCACACCTGGAAGCAGCACTCTGTAATTGCTACCATCCCCGGACAGACCAACAGCACCATCGTCGTTGGTGCCCATCAGGATTCCATCAACCTGTGGCTTCCTATCCTTGCTGCCCCCGGGGCTGACGACGACGGCAGCGGCACCGTCACCATAATGGAGGTCTTCCGAGCTTTGCTCAAGTCCAAGGACGTCGTGGACGGCAAGGCCGTCAACACCATCGAGTTCCACTGGTACAGTGCCGAGGAGGGCGGTCTGCTCGGTAGCCAGGCCATCTTCCGCGAGTACGAGAAGCAGCGGCGCGATGTCAAGGCCATGCTGCAGCAGGACATGACTGGCTACGTCAAAGGCACCCTAGACGCAGGTCTTCCCGAGAGCGTCGGCGTCGTCGTTGATTATGTTCACCCTGGCCTGACCAAGTTCATCAAGACGGTCATTGAGCAGGTATGCATACCGTCATCCGTGTCCGTCGTGGCCGACCTGAAACTGACAGCGCTGCAGTACTGCACTATCCCTTGGGTCGAGACAAAGTGCGGCTACGCGTGTTCCGATCACGCTTCAGCTTCCAAGGCTGGATATCCGTCAGCCTTTGTCATCGAATCGTCCTTCGACAAATCCGACCCTAACATTCACACGACGTCTGACCTCATAAAGTTTCTTTCATTCGACCACATGCTGCAACATGCTCGCATGACCCTTGGCCTTGTTTACGAGCTTGGTTTTCATAAATTTACAAAGGGGTACGAGGGGGACGACGAACTGTAGAGTACTCGCAGACACTTGACTGAAGACAAGAGATGGATACTTGAGAGCAAACTGTACAGAAACCGAGGGTATCATACACGTATAAACCTATGGAAATGGAACTTTTTTGTGCAAGTTCGTATTTGAAGATTGGATTTTGCGCGCCATCAAGTTTCCAAAACGCCGTTTCCATGAATGTCTGTTTCAGAAGGTGCCATGTGCCGAGAGGCAAGACTCCAACCTTGCCATATCCAAACGCCGATTTGTCATACCCAAGTCTTCTTTTTAATTTCTCGAACCCAAGTGAGCCGACAGCCCCTCAAGCCATCTATACAAACATCCTACCGACTCTGACCACCATTGGGCGGCGGTTGCTGTTGACTGCTCCAAGCTTGCTGCTCATTCTGCTGCTGCATCTGGCTCATCAGCGCCGCTACAAACGCAGGGTTGACAAATGCATTTGAAGCACCTGCCTGACCTAGACCCTGCGCCGGCCACCCCGGAGGAGGGGGCGGAGGCAGAACGGGATATTGTGCCTGAGCCGCCGGCGGCTGCGGCCAAGCAGGGAACTGAAAACCAAGACTGTGCACGGCGGGCGGAGCAGGCGCTTGCTGGGCAGGGGGCTGACTAGGATTCTGCGGAGAGTACTTCTGGCTGCCCTGTGGAGGGAGGGAATATCCATCCCTCGACGAGCTGCCGTGTCCGCCCCGGCCGCCTCCTCTTCCCGCCCCTCTGCCTCGACCGGCTCTGCCTCTGGCATCGGCGTCGCGGCCTCGTCCGGACCCAGACCGAGGAGCGGGCTCGTGCGACTCGCCAGACGCAGGACCGCTGCCAAAGCCGGGAGGCCGAGTCAGCGGCTTGTACGGGCCGTCGTCATCGTAGTTTAACCCACCGTCCGCTAACCCACCGTCCGCAGGGACCCGCCGACTCGAGGGGTGCGCTTCTCTGCCGCCGCCGCCGCCGGCCTTTGCCTCGTGCTTGCTCTTCCACTTGTCCTTCTTCTTCTGCTTCAACGACCTCTTGTACTCTGCCTCCCTCTCGTCGTCTGAAAACTCCATCTCGTCGTCGCCGACCTCTTCGTCGTGCAGATTGCTCGCGTCCGAGCCCTTGATGTTCTTCAGCGGCTGGGTGAAGACGTAGGATGCGTGGCCGACGGGGTAGAAGACCTTGTCGCCGACTTGCAGGGCTGAGTCTTTGATTTCCTGCTCAGAGGCGAAGTAGACCGTGTACATGGGCTGGAGGACCTTGCCCATGGTCTCGGCCACGGCGCCAATGACGACGCGCTCGGCGGTGCAGAGGACGGATCCTGCGTCGAGGACCTGGTATTCGCCTGGGGTGATTGCCTTTATGAGCATGATGTTGTCGATGATGTTTTCGATGGTGCCGAGCTCTTCGATCTTCATGTCGTCGGTGATGGTGATGTCTGGCTTGGGTATGATTTCCTCTGCGACTTCGTTCTTGGTGCGTAGTCGAGCCGCGCTTGAGCCTTTGCCACGATCGCCCTCGTCCTCGGACCCGCCTTCTGCTTCCATGAGCAGGCGGGCCGTCTCTTCAACGCCGAGGGGCTCGTAGCCTTCGTCGCCTGAGTCTTCGTCGGATGATGAGTCCGAGCTGCTCAACTCGGAGGATGACTCGTACGGGGAGGAGTCGATTTCCCATTCGGGGTGTTCGCCCTGATCGCTCTGGGGCGCGGCGCCGTCGGCCTGTGGCGGGAGTTGCTCTGGCGCATCGTCGGTGTTGCCCAGGCCTCCGAGGGCGGCTTCGAGAGCGCCGGTCAGGAATGGCGGGCTATCGGGCTGGTCGACGGCCATGGCGTCGGCTTCGTCGTCGGCTTGGGGCGTGGCGTCTGCGCGAAGAGTGCTGTGCTCGTCCGTCTTGTCCTGCGTGGGCTGAGAGGTTGCGTTTGGTCCTGATATGGCGGGAGGTGATGCTGTTGCGGCGACACTGGCTGCTGCGGTGGGTGTATCCGCAGGGAGAGGTGGTAATGTCTCGTTGGGCTTGGCTTGCCCCAGGCCAGGGATTTGAAAGCCGGACATGCTGGGGTGGCGATGCGCGGGAAGGCGAGCTTCCGGCTATGTTATTCGAATCCTTCCAAGAGCCGTAGCTGGTCGATGGGCGCGGGACGGATATTGATTGTGAGGGGGGTTTTGCGGCAGTCTGCGCAAAACTGCTCTGCGGAGATGGAGAAAGTGACGAAAGATGAAGCATGCGCCAGCTGGTATACAGGAAATAATTGGCTTGCCTACAAGGCTGTTGTAGTTATGGAGGACTGAAGAATTTTGACCACGTCATTCTTGGACTTGGATTTAGCAACGGGGAGAAAAAAAAAAAATCAAGGTCAATCGGTGGGTCCTCGGTGTGCATTTCCCGGCCTCACCTGAGCCTTACCGTTACGCCATTCTGGCAACTAGACTCCCGAGTCCCAACGGAACGAGTACACACGTGCACCTCCCAACATCCATCCGTCCATCCATCCATCCAGCAGCTTCATCGCTTGTTGCTGCTCGCCGTCATGGCGCCAAATCCGCCGCCAAGTCAGCGGCAGTTTGAGCATCCGGCCTCGAGCCATGCCAAGAAGAAGTCCGTCTGACTTGCTTTTTTCGCCTTTGCATGAGCATGAGAAATGCTGATTTGACTTGTTGTGATAGACGCAAGGGCCTTTATCCAATTGAGCCCATCACCGCATTTTACGTCTTCTTCGCCGCGGGTATGGTTGCAGCCCTGTTTGCTCCCATTCAAGATTGCGATGAGACGTTCAACTACTGGGAGCCAGCGCATTACCTCTCCCACGGCTATGGCTTGCAGACTTGGGAGTATTCACCAGACTACGCTATCCGGAGCTGGCTCTACGTCGGGCTCCATTCAGTACTTGGGAGTATTCGCAGATTGTTGCCTCAGTCGTCAAAGGCAAGCATGGCGTGTCACGCAGAACGGCTCCGATCTTGCATCTGACCATGTTAGGTATCCGAATTCTACTTTATCCGATACGGCCTTGCCTTCGTCTGTGCCATCTGCCAAACCGTCATGTTTAAAGCCATCAGCCTGACTATGAACGGCAGAATCGGCATGTTTTTTCTGATAGCGACTGTCATTAGTCCCGGGAACTTTCACGCCAGTGCGTCTTTTCTGCCGTCGAGCTTTGCCATGTACATGTGCATGCTTGGCGCGGCGTCATTTATGAACTGGCGCGGCGGAATTAAGACTGCGCATGGTATCTTCTGGTTTGCTCTGGCGGGGGTTCTCGGATGGCCGTTTGCTTCAGCGCTCTGCGCTCCCTACGTCTTGGAAGAGCTGGTTCTTGTGTGCTTCAGTGATAAGGACGCCTTCATTGAGGCCATTATCCGGTGCTTCCGTGGAGTGATTGCAGGCTTAATTGTTTTGGTGAGCTCTCTGTCCATGCCGTGTTCGCCAAGTGGCCGAGTCTAACAGGCTACAGTTTTTTGATTTCTTGATCAACCTCTTCTTCTATAAGAAGATTGCCGTCGTCAGCTGGAATATTGTCAAGTACAACATCTTCTCGTCGACGGGGGGCCCTGAGTTGTACGGAACCGAGCCCTGGACATTCTATTTCAAGAATCTGTTGCTCAACTTTAACATTTGGTTCATCCTGGCGCTGCTGGCCTTGCCATTATTCCTGCTTCAGAAAGTCATTTCACCATCTGGACAAGGTTTCCAGTCAGGCCTGCGTACAGTTGTGTTCGTTGCGCCCTTCTATATGTGGCTGGCCATCTTCACAGCACAGCCTCACAAGGAAGAGAGATTCATGTATCCCGTGTATCCATTCCTGGCACTGAATGCTGGTATTGCGCTTCACATCGTGTTGGCCGCTATTGGAAGTACCAACCCTAGCACAATTGCTGGAAAGATTCCGGCTCGACTAAAGTTCTTGGCCGTCAGTGCTGTGATGCTCTTGGCTTTCGATGTCAGTCTCGCTAGGCTCTACGGCATTTACTCTGCGTACTATGCTCCGTTGAGCATTTACTCGCGGCTTTGGCAGTCAAGTCACGGCCAGCCACCGCTGGGCAGGGAAGAAGATCTCGTGTGTTTCGGGAAGGAGTGGTATCGCTTTCCATCGTCTTACTTCCTGCCACGGGATATGCATGCCAAATTTATTCGGTCTGAATTCCGGGGTCTTTTGCCCGGTGAATTCTCCGAAGCCAAGATTGGATTTGGCTTCTGGAGTGGTACGTGGCTTCCAACCAGCGGCTTCAATGATCGAAATGAGGAGGATCCCGGCAAGTACGTCGACGTCAGGGCGTGCTCATTCCTGGTCGACACCCAGTTTCCTCTTCGGACAGAGCCCTTGCCCCCGAACGAGCCGGATTACATAGCAGACAAGGACACGTGGGAGGTGGTCCAATGTAGGCCATTCTTGGATGCTGCCAACACGCATGTCTTGGCGAGGACCTTATGGATCCCTGAATTGGAGGTCGTACCACAGAAGTTTAGAAGAAGGTGGGGGCAGCATTGCTTGCTACATCGTAAGGGGGCCTAAAAGAGGTTGCAGTTTGGTTCGAATGTGCACACCTCGTGGGTCCTCCTTGGATGGTAGGAATCGAAGAAGCTGGCTCGGCGCCGTATACGGAAAGGCAAGTATCTAGACCATGACAAGAAATAATGTATGCCATTTGTTTATTATTGGTGGCATCAGACTTGTCTGTTACACGGCCAGTATGGCCAGGCACAGTGCAGTATCGAAATGGGCCTCTGTACAAAACTTGCGACTTCTCAGAGATGTTGCCAAGAATTCCAGTTCATGGAGTCTGAGGCTGGGACCAAACATGGCAATCAGCGTCGAATTGCGTCGTCGGGGCCGGACGGAATGGCCAGACATGGACGTATGTAAAAGTGTCTTGAATTCTCCAAGGTCTTCAGCCCGCTGTCCAGCCCCGAGGCATTCCATTGTCATGACAGGAAAGGCTGGTAAAAGCACCAGTGAACTACGACTTTCGAGACGCAGGGTAGTGGGCATTTGCGAGTCAGACTTGGCGTTTTAGAGACAAAGTGACGTCTGATTTGAAGCGTGTCCTCCAAGACTGCATGTCGCCGATATACATAGGCTGAGCATGTGGCATTGCCAGAGGAAATCGCCAACAAAAAGCCCTGCCATAGACGGACCCCCTTGCCCAACGGCACACACTCCGTTCTCAAAATCGAGTATGCCAGGCACAAATGAAAGCAGATTTTCGACACCAACAACGCATCGGCCAATCTTCAGCAGGATATTTGCTGTCGGCATTTGCAGGTGGAGTCCGGCCGCCACTTCTAGGCGCTTGGGCTAAACTTTGACTACGCATAATGTCAGCGTCATATTGAAGCAACTCATGATGAAGGGATGTGCTGCCGGGTCGGCATGCCGCGGCCATGCGACCGACACCCGCAACACGATCCGCCACGGCACAGAGGGAGCTGCAGATGAACTTTCCAACGACTGCCGACGGCCGGCCCGCGGCCCACGGCTACACTGTCCGCACGGCCGCCCGACTCTGTCACTGCTGTTGGGCTGCAATTTATCGCCTTGGCATGGCGGAAACTGGTCGATTCCGCTACTCTGTACCCCGTACCGAGTTGCGAAAATTGTACCGTCGACTTGGGCTGCCGTTGCTCAGCAATTGGCTCGGCTGTCTCAGGGACCACACCGAGACAGCTGTCCTTGGCACCTGGTCATGACATTGGAATGCCTGCACGGAGCTTGGGAGCTTGGGACGAAGGGTTGTCTGTCACGAGACGAGGGTTGAAGTCTGATTGTCGCAGGCTGCAGGTTGCAGGTCGCATCAGTTGACGCTGCTGCTCCATGTTCAATACCCGTCTCGTGGCTTCCCTTTGAATCTGGTCGTTCGTCGGCTTGCTCCTTCCCCCCGACTGCCGCCTCTTGGCACCTCATAGTACATAAGTACGGTGACCAATTTTGAAGGTCCCTCTCGTCCGCACTATTTGTTCCTTCATCCAGCTTCTTTTGTTTCAATATGCGTTGTCCCTGATGGTCTATGGATGTGGATAACGCTTGTCCCAAAGACTTGCATGTCGCTCCTGAATGGCTTTCTTGGATATTTTAGGCACCGATCCTCCCATTGTGCACTACATTGTGTGTCGGACAGCCCTGCTGTAGTGATAACGTGCCATGGCCGGCTTTATCCCCATCGTCCGGGCGCTGCAACAGGTTCCTGATCTGTTCGTCCGCAAGGTCCTCGGCATCAATGCCAATGAGCCTTATGTTGCGATGCCAAGCGATATGGACAAGAGAGCGGGAAAAATTCTCGACCCCGCCGACGTCTACATAGAGGATGAACCATCGGTGGCAGAGTGGTTCAAGGAATTGGTCCCGTCAAGGTCAGGAGTCCTTCAATACGTTACTAGTCTATTTCCATCTGCGTCATGGATTCGACGATACAATGTTCGATGGTTGGCAGGAGACATGGTTGCTGGTATGAGGCGTCCTTGCGTTGGTATTGCTGGCAATCCTGAATTCTGTGTTAATCTGAACCCACAGGAATTACGATTGGCTTGGTTGTTGTCCCTCAAGCTTTGGCGTATGCCTCGCTGGCTGATCTGACGCCGTCGTATGGCCTATACACCTCTTTTACGGGAGCAGTCCTGTACAGGGTCTTCGGGACGTCCAAAGACATTGTCATCGGTGTAAGTTCAAGTTGCGTCTTTTCTTTTACCCCTTGTGCTAAACAATCGGAACCGAAGCGATACCCAGTCAAGCTTCTAACATTCGAGCCTCAGACTACTGCAGTTGGATCACTACTTGTTGGGCAAGTCATCAATAAAGTTACTCTGGAAACTGGAGACTATACCCACGAGCAGATTGCCCACTGTCTAAGTATGATGTCGGGCGCGATTCTTGTCTCCCTGGGTCTACTACGTCTGGGCTGGATAATAGAGTTTGTCCCCTATATTCCCATATCTGCATTCGTCACTGCGGCAAGCATCACCATCATGTCGACCCAAACGCCCACTCTGCTGGGTCTCCCTGGTGTTAACACGAGAGCGCCACCTTATCAAGTCATAATTCAAACGTTGAAACTCCTTCCCCAAATACAACTTGACGCAGCAGTTGGTCTCTCTTCCATTGTATTGCTCTTCGGTATTCGCGGGATATGTACCAAGATGGAGCAGCGCCAGCCAGCTAGGAGGCGAATGTGGTCCTCTATTTCATCTTTGAGGTTGACTTTCACTATGCTTCTCTTCACTCTAATCAGTTATTTAGCCAATCGAAGCACGGATGAGTTGAGCCCCAAATTCCGCATCGTGGGCCACATAGAGCGGGGTAAGGACCATCAGAACATTTCATTTTGTTGTTTCATTGTATAACATTGTGTCTGCAGGCTTTCAGCGGGCCGGCGTGCCGAAAATCGAAACAAAATTGCTTCAGCACGTAACATCAAAATTGCCTGCGGTGACCATTATCCTGGTGATTGAGCATATTGCCATAGCGAAAGCCATGGGTCGGCTATATGACTACACAATTAACCCGTCTCAGGAGGTCGTGGCCCTTGGCACCGCAAATCTCCTCAGCCCGTTTGTTGGTGGTTACGTCTGTACGGGATCATTTGGTGCTTCCGCTGTCCTCTCCAAATCAGGAGTCAGGACCCCCTTGGCCGGGCTTTTCAGCGCCGGGGTGCTTGTTCTTGCACTGTATGCCTTGACCGGGGTCTTCTACTTTATCCCCAAGGCGGCTCTCGCTGGTCTCATCATCCACGCTGTTTGCAACCTGCTAACGCCTCCTCGGACCCTATATAAATATTGGCAACTCTCACCCGTCGAATTTTTGATTTGGGTTGTTGGAGTCACTTTGGCTATATTAGTGTCACTCGAGGCATCTATCTATGCGGGCACGGCTCTCTCAATTTCACTAGTGTTGATTCGACTTGCCAGGACACGGGGGAAATTTCTGGGAGTTGTCAAGGTCAAGAGAGTTTTAGCAGCGAAGCAGAACGGATTTGGAGGAGACCATTCCGCCAGCGACAAAACATACCATGCTGCACCAGATGCATTTGTTCCTATGGACAGATCCGGGTCCGCAAATCCCGACATCAAAGCTGAATCTCCCTATCCCGGTGTCTTCATTTACCAACTCCATGAAGGATTCAATTACACCAATCAAGCGTACCACACCGACACTCTAGGGAAGTACATCAAGCAGAACACGCAAAGGGTATCCGGGCGGAGGCTGGAAATCCAGGCCTCCGAGATCGCCTCCGAGATCGCCGCCGGGCGGAGGCTGGAAACCTTGGCCTCCGAGATCGCCGCCGGGCGGAGGCTGGAAACCTTGGCCTCCGAAATCGCCGCCGGGCGGAGGCTGGAAACCTTGGCCTTCGAAATTGCCGCCGCGTTGAGACTGGGAAGCCGAACCCGAGGGGTTGCCCGAACGCCCGATCGGTCTGCATCCGTTCGCATTGTCTTTGGCAAAGTGCGCATAGCTATCAGCATTTTTTAGAGTAGCTTGCGGGCCAAGGCTTGTAATCGCAGATTTGTCAAATGCGACATCATCTGTCGCCAACGTCGAATGGGACATCTCATGCACCAACAAGTCGTCCATGCTTTCTAGTCTTTCTCCGCACCCGCCGCCTCCAAACTTGCGTCGATGCCGGCCGTTGCGCTTTTGCAGGCCATCAGATTTTCCCATGCTAAAGGCCGGTTTGCAGAGACGTATCGAGTCGGGAAGTGCCAAGGCGTAAGCCTCCCCCGACCCACCCGGATTGGCGCATGGCTCATTCGGTTGGCAGTTGATGGTGATCTCGTTCCCTGACTGCGGGTTGCAGCCTGCAGCAATCTTTCTAAAGTTCTCCGCCACCGTGCTTGGGTCGTTGCCGCTAAAGTACTGATCAAAGAGCTCCTTATTCCTGCCTGTCAGGCCTTCTGAGATGACGTCTGCGGCTTTAGTCGCTTTCGCGCCGCAAGACCTAAGGCTGCTGTTGACCTCTTGTTGGTGATTGGCACAGCTGTTTGACAGTGCTGCTCGTTTCTTGAGTGTGGCAGCTTTGTCGAGCAGGTTCCGCCCTGCTGCGTTAGGTGAAGAGGAGCCCTGGCTGCCTACAGATAGAGCTGTGATAGTGGCGTGGCTAAAAGCCATAAAAAGTGCAATGAATTTCATAGTTTCTCTCTAGTTGCTGTCGAATTTCTAGTGCGCTTGCAATAATGCCTATTATGTAGAGAGCTACATAGAGTTAGACACCTTTATAGGCAATTACATTAGGTGATTTCTTGCTGACTTAAGCTAGGCCATTAAGGAGCTTTATAATCAGCTAGAATTTAAGGGACATAGCAGGAGAGACAAGGACTAGGCAAGTTCTTGTTTATAGCTGGTGCAAAAGGGGAGAGAACAAGCATTATGTCACTAAAGAATAGCATAGACGCTCCCCTAACGTCTGCCTTAAGAAAATTCGTGGAAGCTCTAGCACGCAAGTTAATGCCGCGACTGCAGATCTTTGACATGACTTCTGCAGACCCTCCAAGCGTTATGCATAGAGCCCAGACCCCCTTAATTTTCAAGTTGAACCGTGAATAAGGCCGAGCTACTCTGTAGCCAGTTGCGTCCTGTTTGTACCCACGTGCCGTCGCACAGCATATAAAGGGTGGCGCAATTTTGTTGCGACAACTTCGTGTGTCAGGTACGTGAATATCTCTCTCTACATGCTACAACCCGGCAGAAAAAGGCCCCTCAGACACAAGCTCCATCAGGAATGGCAGCCACCATTCTACTTGATACTGCTACGACCCTCCACAAGCAACAGAGGCTGCCGGCCTGTGGCTCCGGCCTTGCTTGTTTAGAAATAACTTGCCGAGGGTCACTCTTGAGCACCGAGTCGTGGGACCAAACCGTTGCACTTGGCGCCTGAGATATATGCCTAGTGAGACACGACAGGCCTCCGGGGCAATCTTGCCAACTCGGCTGAATCCTCTCAAAGGCCAACGTCTCGTGAGAAATCAGGCCTTGTGCGGTCAAGGACCCTATCGACTCACCTCCATTCTATATTCAAAACACGCTATCTGCACTGAAACTCTGGGCGCGTGCCGCCAGCAGCACTACTACGAATCGAAAGCAAATCTGACGTCTCTTTGATACGAGCGCCATCTAGATGCTGGGATGTCTGTTGTCTATAAAACAGGACTTGTGTCAGTTGCCATCTTGCGTCTGTGCTGACGTGCTTTTGGCCACTGGAGCAGCTCTACTGGGATCGGCCGTGTTGTTGTTGTCAACTTGTTACGCATAGTATACTGCACTATCCCCTTCATTAAGCAACATTGGATCTAGCCCACGTCATTGTCAAGTTCAACGCCTAGGCTGTGCATGCTTTAGACGGATGTCTAGATATCTGAACAAGGCACCCCGACTTTTAATTGTTAGTCACAAGCAGTCTGAGGCTGGCATAGATTGGTACTAGGCCTCCCAATCCCACGGTCGTACGTGACATTTAAAACATGGAGATGGAGTTTAGCCAAATCCTCTGGAGAAATCGCCTCTTATTTCCACTGGGAATTGGAACCAAGGTGGCAGCGTTCCGCCATGTTTCCTGCCCTCAACCCCGTTAGTACCCGCTGACCTTATGCACAAAGCACTTGCCGATAAAAGATACGAGAAAGAGTCCGACCGTCTTTGGAATGACGCCAGCGGCAGTAGTCCCAGACCAAACGCTCACCATCTTCCATACTTGCGGGCTGTTGTCCTGGATTTTGGGGCAGTGAACCATGTCGACGTTACTTCGATACAAGGTCTCGTCAACTTAAGGAACCAACTAGACCACCACTCCGCACCGGATACTGTGGAGTGGCACTTTGCAAATGTTCATAATCGGTGGACGCGACGCGCACTGGGTGTAGCAGGCTTCGGTTATCCGACGGCGGAGAACCCTGAAGCTGTCAGAAATTGGAGGCCAGTCTACAGCATTGCAGCAACACTCTCGGAAAAGGAAGGACCGTTTGGGGACGAGCATCGGTGTGCTACGGATACTGACACTGATGAGGAGCGGACACAAGGAGCTGCCACCCCAGTCGCAGGCGGCTCGAAGAGACCTGGGATGTGGGATGGTTCGAGCAGAGCCGACAGCCCGCGGATGGCTGCGATCCATGGCGTCAACAGGCCGTTTTTTCATGGTGATCTTTTCTGTGCTGTGGAGTGCGCCGTTATTGACGCCCAGAACAAGAACTCATCGGTCATAGTGTGAAGACGATTGCATCTATACACCACGAAGAAACGACAGTGATGATGGGTTCATCAGTTTGATTGCATTAGGGCGGGTGTTTGGGGCATTGAGGATAACGTACACGAGTACACAGGATGAAACAAGAGCAAATATTTCTATTCATTATTGTAATTCTATACTTTGCCCGAGGACGTCCTTTTTTCCACCGTACTTCTCACATCAGGATCCTCTTGGGGGTAGTTGCCATTTATAGGTATGCGGGCCTCGGCGTGTTCCAGGAAGATTTTGCCAGGCCCATGATTACATGTTACTAAAAAAAACCACGTCGAGCAGCTCTGAAATCACGATTTGCAGACCGATCGCGGAGTTTAACAAGGCGGACCAGCCCCGGTGCCACGGGCAAATCTTCCTCTTTGGGGAGAAGTTGGGGCGTTGATTGGCTAGTTCTGGAATACAAGCTCCAGCGGGGGACCGGACCCAAAAAGGGTGAGATGCGGTCCCATGCTTTATGTTTGTGAGTTAACGTCCAACACAAAGCCCACCAGCATGGTGTAATGCCTTTGTAGAACAATGCATTATGCTCCGAAAGTTGTAGACCAAGTCGGCTGGCTCGCTTAACGTCGTCGGCCGCTCATCACGAAAAGGACAGTATCCCAAAAGCCGCCAAGAAATCCGTCGAACATTGGCCGCCCCGAAGAGATACGCATAGAAATGCTTTGCAGATGACCTGGGAAGAAATTGGGCAAAAAGCCGGAAACATGGCCGTATCGACCTCTCAGCATTGGTGTGTATTTCTTTCAAGCAAGATGTTGTTGCAGATACTGCCTAGGCATTACACTTCCACCTTCATGGCATGATCGAAGACGGGGCCTTGGCACAAGTAAACTGCTACTCCGCCCCATCTTCCAACCGAGCCGCAATTAACTAGAACTGACGGGCTCAACTGCGCTGCTGTTGCCCAGGATGTGACGCCGGAGACTGAACATCATTGGCCCAAAGCTTAGTAATAAGCAGACTCGAGGCCCATGTGGTTGGCAATGACAGGCAGCATGGCTAATGGTACGTAGCGTCAATCGGCGGCTCTCCGCATTTCAGCAACTGCCGCCGCCGTGGCCCGTCACCATCAATCATCCCTTCTTCATCGCCGCCCTGACAGCGCTGGTGGACATGTGGCGTCAACCACCCAAACATCATCACCCTTGGTGAGCGTCACCAGTCATCGAGTTCTCCGGAAATACGAGTCCTCCCAAGCCGGTCATGCAAAGAATCTGGCTTGAGTTCCATCACCCGTCATAACTTGAGCTTCAGCCAACCGCCGAGTCCGACCGACCCCGGGAGCCGTTGAGCCATGGCTTCGACCTGCCCAATCGAGACCCTGCCCAACGAGGTATGTAATTCTGTCTCGGATCCATCCAGCTGATTCCAGCCTTGTACTGAGACCTTGTAACCCAGGTGTTGGCTGCATCCTTGGCCCGTCTCTCGACGAGGGAACTCATCCAGATCGTCCCCGTTAGCCGCTGTTTCTACACGCTCGCCACCCGCATCCTCCATCGCCGTTTGATCGATGTGTCACCCCTCCCACATCATCAACTCGTCCTCGACTGCTACCACCCAAGCGAAAGACTGACAACACCCCCGTTGTCATGCAGATATCTCGGCCTCAAGCAAGCGGGCGAGCAACCCATCACAGATGCGTCGCTCAAGTTCAGCGACCTCGGCAAATTATATTCGTCCTATCGTCCGGTTTTGAGGGAAGAGAATCGTGGTGGACGGAATGCTTCCGCGCGGCCGGGGGGGAAGTCTGTGCAGTCCGATGAGACTGCCACTCAAGAAGTCTACCTCGATCACGATTTGCTGTTTTCGCAACTGTGCGCCGTCATGTACGTGGTGAAGGAGGCGTCGAGGCCGGGCTTCTTCATCAGCCAGGTGAACACCTGCGACGGCGTCATTCGCGTATGGAGGCAGTGGCTAGCGGAGAGGGCGAGCTTCAATGGCGCCGAAGAGGTGTCGGACTCGAAGACGGTCGACTTTGACCAGTTTCTATGGGTTGATGTGGGGAGGAACGTTGGGCTTAGGTTCCGAGTCGTGCTCGGCCCGGCCGAGAGGATGCCGCTGCTCAGCGGCCCTGGGGATGACTCGCCGGTGTCCTATACTTTGATCTACCAAGGTACGTGTCGTTGTCGTCGAAGAGTCGAAGAAGATTGGTGAGAGGCGCCGACTGACGTAACCGTGCCAAGAATTGATTGTGCGAACGACCACGCTGCTCATGGCTGTGGAAGCATCGGCGGTGCAACACTTTTCTGCTTCATCCAAGGCCGTCATAATTGCACAGGTCTAGTCCGGTGCCCTCTTCACATTGTTCATCAGGTGTCCAAACACTGAGGCAAGACACCATCGCCGTTATCAACCATCTAATGACGCATCTGAGGAATGTTCCCTCGGTGTGGACGGAGGCGATGAGTCCATGGCATTGCGAGATTTCAAGCAAAATATTTTACCCGTACGATGCCATGATCTTGTTTGTAGCAGCCTCGCTACCCCTCACACAAGCATGCCAGTGAAGGCGCTGGTGAATGCGGGCAAAAGAACGAGTCGCTCTGATCGCTTGGGTGTTGCTGCACATTGGACTTGAACCTGTCTAGCGGCGGCATGCAATCTTGGAGGCAGCAGAGTCTCTACTATGCGGCAGGAAGCAGGGCGGTCATTGAGAGGGCGTGCGTGCGCCACTTGCCAGAGACCCAGACATCAGGGCCAAATACGATGCGAGGTGCGACTAGACTGGAGGAATGAATGGATCAGTGAGTCCTACTGACGGCCCGGCAGAGTAAAATCATGACAAGCTAGCTCACTGCGATGAAATTGCCAGAACAGAGCGGCCTCATGTGTCATTTACAACGTGCTCGCCAGCAAGGGGAGACTAGGTTCGATGTTGGATCGAATGCCATGAAGCCGACAATGCATCAACTAACCTATGCCAAATCTGGGCAAGTACGTAATTTATCACCAGATCCCCTTCAGAGATTCGGGTCCTCGAAGTGCCGTGATGGGCTGGCACTAGCCGAGAGGGAAACAATGCCATAGTTCTCAATACATACCAAGACGTCGAGATCAGGGAGAGATGAGGGGATGATTGCACTTGGTGAAAAACTAACTCGTCGAGGGTGACAATGATTGCATACTGGTCATGAAACAATACCTGCGAACTCTTTTCCTCGCACAACTCGCGGTGCGTGCCCGTCGCGCTACCTGGTGAAGCCATTGATGCGCTTATTTCTGTCGTGAAGAGAAGTCTTGGTGCTCAGCACAGGCTTGGAACAGAATGAGGACTCTGTGGAGAGGCTAGACGCGGAACACGCGCCCCCAAAAAGAGGGTGGCGACGGGGCAATACCCTTCATTCGAGAATCAAATCCTTTCTTTCACTTCTTGAGACGCGAGCAGTGACCAAACGTGCAGAGTGGGATAAGGTTCTGTGATACTGGTACGCTGTGATGGCGGTGCGAGACGACGGGCGTCTGTGTGCAGTAGCCCTGCATCGAAACAGGCCAATAACCCAATCAAGGCCGTGTACACTGTCCTATTGCTTTTGCGTTCCGATTTGCTCGATGGCCGACATCATGTTGGTGGTTGGAGAAGACCTCATGATAAGTGCTTGCCGCCCTTGCATCAGAGGTGGGAAAGAGGCAAGTTGCCAAGGCGTGGCCGAGCAGGTTCGCGCCTTCCCTACTGCCGGTTCGGCGTGGGTATGCCCCCTTCCCGCCCTGCGTGCCAACTAAAAGCCCGCCACTTCCCCCACTCAAAGTCGCCATCTACCTAGGTAGTTTCTTTTTTTCTGCTCTCGCATCTTTTTCCGTAGCTTTGGATCGAAATCGAAAACCATCTGAACCCCTGCGGTCCCCATGTTCCGCCCTTGCTGTGGCCGCCGTCACCTCCCTGCCTCCAACGAAAGTCAAGGGACGATAATGCAGCCACTACAAACACGTCCCTGGGTGGATGCAGGTCCTGGTCTCTCGCGCGTCAATCCTGGCCCGTCCCGAGGACCCAAGCCTGGCCCGACGCCGTGGCAGGCGAGGCAAACAACGAGGTGACAACTGCTGCCGAGTAAAGCATGTCTCGACCACACCCCTGAGCCCTGAGGCCTGCTGTTCGAGGTTGATACATTGGCATGGCGTGGTCTGTCGTCGTCTGCTCCAGGAGTCCCCGCCGCCTACAAAGCTTCGACGTTGTGGGGGCAGGGCAATCACAGCTTTCTTGGCCACAACTTCGCTACCTTGCGGCCCTGTGTCTCTTGTTACTGTACTCGCAAATACGCACCATGTGACGTTTTCGCATTCGTTACACGTCTGCATGATGCTCAGTGGCCGCTATTCATGTTCTGGCGTGCAATTCAAAATCAGCGGCTATCCGGATCACAAGCTTTACCAATACACGGCGGTGCATACCATGCATAAACTGGACAGCAATTTAATGGTGTTGTGGCAAAGCAGCCCCATTCAAAGGGATGCCTTTTCATCCATGCGCCTGGCCATGTCGGTGCCAGGATCTCGCCGAAATTTGGAGAACGCCTGCTTCTTTTGTGAGCCCGTTTGGCAGAGTGTCGTCTCGTAGAACCCCGAAGTGGCTGTCTTTTTTTTCTTTTCCCTGTTCCTCTCCAGCTCCGGCGGTATACATATCATAGCTATCTGCAGTGAGGGTCTGTCCTTACACATACCTGGTCCAAAACGAGAGGCACGTAGCTTCTGCTAGTGTCAAGACCATTTTTCTTTTGACATCTGGCGATCCAGTCCTGAGCATGCATGTCTCTCACATTACGCAACACAACCGTCCGATTTTTCGCTTTGCGATACTGAGCACACAAGTTCAACAGGTGGCGCGAACAAGGTCGACCGCACCTTTCTTCTTCTCTGTCGCACTTCTTCTCCTGGCCAGGCACTGAATCCGTATCTACAGCCTGTCTCGTGTTTCTGAAGACGAAAAATTCTCTCTCACTGGTCGTGTTTCTCCCCGTTTCTCAGTGAAGCACTGTTAGGGGGAATTGGCATCTTCTTCCGCCTTCTATTCCGGGCCAGGCTGTCTTCTCGCATCTCCTTGCTCTTTTATATACCACACTCCCTGCTGTTCACTACCTCATCGAGTCATCCCCCTTAATTTGGATTGTTTTGTTCTAAAATTGCATGATTCGAAAATGAAAATGCCATGGGGCATCAAAAGGCCGGGAGATATCATCTCGAGGCCGCTCCCGCCTCGGGTGGCCAACTCTCCAGATCCGTTCGACACCAACAATGTTGAATATTGGGAGGAACCCGAAATTCCACCAAGGTCGATGACGAGCTCATCGTTGTCGACCAGCCACAGGCCGATTAAGCATGGGAGGGGGAAACACGCTCGTGTTGAGCTTGTGCCGCAACCCAGCGATGACCCAGACGATCCTTTGGTACGCACCTGCGTGTGGTTTTGCATCATGAACCTCAACTAATAATACTCGCTCAAACAGAATTGGCCAAGATGGCGGAAAGATCTGAACTTGGCTTCACTTCTCATCATGGTTGGCCTCATTGGGGGGATGAAGACGGTATTCATCACAACTGCCGGTTCTTTGTCGATTCACTATCGAGTCTCTCACATGGCAATCGGCGTCTTGACGGCTGGTCCCCTTTTGGTTTCGACTTTGACAAGCCTAGTTGGCTCCGTTGCTGCGAAGCTATATGGAAAACGGCCAGTATACTTGGGATCAACGTTGTTTCTATTTGTTGGAACCATTTGGAACATGACTGCCGGTGATGACTATGGTTCATGCCTCGGAGCTCGGCTTGTTCAAGGCATTGGATGGGGCGCATTTGAGACGCTGGTCATGGGTTCCATTCAGGACACTTACTTTGTAGGTCCCAATCGACAGACACGTTTCATTCGTCGAAAAGTAAGGCTAACATGAACACGGGGCTCCGACAGGAGCATGAACGAAATCTGCCAGTGACCATATACAACCTTTTAACCATTACTACAACATGGGGCTCGCCTCTGCTTGGCGGGCTGGCATCCAGGAATGCGAGCAGTTTTACAAGCCAGTTTCGCATCATCAATTGTTTCTACATCTTGGCTCTCCCACTTCTCGCCTTCGGAGCTCCGGAAACAGTGTTTGACCGCTCAAGGGCGGCTACAACCCCTCTCCCCATACCCGGTCTGATCGCATGGCGGCCCTGGCGGCTTCGCCATCGGCTGAACAAGGAGACTGCCCTGGAACACATGAAAAAGATGAAGCCGTTTTCATTCAAAGCTCCAGTGACAATGCCCACTCTTCTTCAGGTACCTCGCGCCATGATCGCCCCGACCACCTGTCTCCTGTCCGTCTTGACATGTATCCCCTACGGAGTGCTTTGGGGTCTGACGTCTTCCGTCTCTATCTTGACTACACCTGAACCTATCTCACTAGACGCTGCCCGCACAGGACTCATGATGGCTGGTCCATGGATCATTGCGTCACTTATCGTGGGGGGCTTCTGCTTCTACCGTGGTTTATATGAACGCTTCACAAAGAGCGTCAGCTACGTCATCATCAGCACTGGAGTCATCCTGAGCCTGACGGGTGTGCTCTCCTACGGCCTTGGAATCTACAATTTCATGGCGCCCGATCCCTCGTCCTACAGCCCGTTCTTCACTTCAAGCACTGCCGGTCAGATCAGCCTGCCCCTGTTATCGCTACAGCTAGGCATCCTTGCCGGCGGCACATACACCCTCGACACAATCACTAGACCCTTGCTCGCACGCTCCGCATCATTCACTTCATCCAGCATCGGCGTTGCTCAACGCAGCATCGGTGATATGCATTCCGGCGTCATTATACTGCGAAACCTCGCTGCCGGCATCTTTGTTCTCACGGTTCCCAGCGCATTCACCTTCTACGGTGGCCTCAAAGCGGCCGTAATCGGCCTGAGTATTACACAAGTAGTACTCACGGGATTCTCCATGGCGCTATGGTGGTTCTTTGACGAAACCATTTGGAGGGCTGACGGCATGGTTATGGGACTCGTTGACCTGAAGCTTCTGAAGCAATCATTAAGCTGCTTCGACATTGATTGAAAGCGCCAAGGTATCAGTACAACCAGGAATAGAAGATACAAGGTCAAAAACGACAAAAACATCCGCCACTGGTCCAAAGAGGGACAAGGCTGATCATGCGTTACGAGTAGGCAGCGTGGAGATACAAACGGGAGAACGGCTGGCGGGGTGGGGATCACTCCTACTGACGACACGACGACCTTGCCTTTCTTTTTTCTCTCTTTTGTTGGTTACGATGATTCACGCTGCATGACATGACTGTGCCTGAAGATGATGCTTATCAGCAATGCTAACTCGAATGTACATGATTCACGGATTAGAATACGATTGTAATGAACGAAAAATAAAGCAAATACTGGCTTTTTCATGAATGACTAGCTCAAGACGAAATGTACAAAGTCAAGTCTTTTCTGTGCAGTGACGAGCACCATTTGGCTCAGATCATTGTGCATCGTGCATCGACACTGGTCATGGGAAGCCAAGCCGCCTCGTATTGTTATTACGTTTTTTTTTTTTTTTTAAAATTTCCGGGCGTCAAGATGCTCTGGGCAGCAACACCAAACCAGGATACAAAAAAGCCCACACGGTGACACGGGCTATATATTCGTCACGCAGTACTAGAACGTGGTATCAAACCAACTCGTCCACCCCCTCTCAGGTCCATGTTGACCAAGGGCGGCAAACACTCGCATCCCATCATGGCACAGCAGTCCCCTTCCCAGCTTCGTGCTCGACCGTCCGCAACTCAACGTCACTCGGTGTATTCAGAGAGGCGGTTTCATAATCTGTCGAATCGCCGCCTCCTTCGTCTCTGTTGACGGTCCTCTCGAGCGTTCCCAGGCCGCTCCCGTCGTGGGAGCTGTGCTGGATCCCGCCAGACCTGTAGATGACGTCGTCCCTGACCACCCTCCAGCTCGTGACGAAGAATATGACGCAGTTCCAGAATCCTTGGAGGGGCAGCACCGCGGCACTGGCGACCTGGTACGTGTAAGGCGAGTCGCCCCGGATCCAGCTGTGGATGCGGTTCATGCTGCTGGGGATCCAGGTGACGAGGACGCTGAGGCCAAAGAGGAGACTTGTGCGCAGGTAGGCGCGCTTGATGGGGTCGTCGACGGAGAACTTGGCGGCGAGGGACTTGCAGGCGGCGAGGGCGCCGGCGAAGGGGTTGGGGAGACGGCTCCGGCGTCGAGGGGCGGCGGCAGACACGCTCGAGGTGAACTCGGCCACGGGCGTGGAGATTCGGTGCGCGGCCGTGTGCGCGCTCTTGGGGCGGACGAGGTTGCTTGCCGAGGAGCGCGTGACGAGGACCTCGGTGGTGACGGTCCCGTAGAAGCGGTCGCCTTGGGGGCCGCGGTCGATGCTGGAGACCTGTGTGGTTTTCCCGAGGCCGTCAGGGCCCGTGGCTTCCTGGGAGAAAAGGGGGAAGCTTACATGCACACTTTGGCCTGCCTCGCGGCTCTTGGACGCGGAGAAGCTGCGGAGTCGGTTTCGCGACCGGAATACGTGGTATCCGACGAGTACGTAGCTGATGATGGTCCCGGCGATGCATATCAGGATCAGCAGGTAGTACGTGTAGATGCGTACGCTGGTCCATTTGCCGCCTATCCAGCACCAAATCTGGCACGCCGGGTCAGTTGGCGTCATGGCCGGATGCAGGACGCGAGGGGGAACAGGGGCGGGTGCTTCTTACTACTGCGTCGCCGTACACGAGGCCCTTGGGCGAGCCTCGGACGAGCAGCAGCGACAGGGCGATGACGAAGGGCCCGCCGTAGCATATCAGGCAGTACAGCCACCACCAGCGCTGGAACGAGTCTGGGCTCGTGCGGAAGTAAAAGACGAGGAAGACGTTGATGGCCATGGCCAAGGACCACCAGGGGTCGGATTGCATAAACCTGGGACGGTCAGTGAAGCGAAGCGTCTGGCGTCGACGGCACCCGGCCGGTCACTTTGCAGCGCCGCGGCGAGGAGGCAACTCACATTTCGAACAGGAACGCCTGTGTCTGGCACAGCGCTCGTGCCTCGCCTAGAACCAGCCCATCCATCGCGATGATGCAGGCTATACTTGCGCCGACATTGGAGACGCTGGCAAACACGATAAAGGTATTCTGGACATTGCGGACGCGGCGCACCAGCGCATACGCGACGAAGATGAAGAAGACGGCCACGAGGCTTATAGACCCTCCTATCCTCTCCAGTGTGGTGATGGTTTCGATTTGGCCTCGGCCAAGGTGATCAGGGGATGCTGCGGTGGTGGTCCGTGGGGAAAGCGTCATAGTATTCGGCTTGTTTCCAGAGGGACCCCGAGAGGCCCTCTCCTCTCCCAGAGAGATGCAGATGCAAGAACTCGATGGCCGAGGTCAGATGTCGTTTTCGCGCCAAGGTTTGGAGACGGAAATGACGAACAGGACTGTCGAAGAGCGAGGGCGACAGGCAGACGGCTCTGACGGCGGGATGACAAGTGCTCGGGAGATATCTTGGAGCAGATGTTCCTTGTCGTCATTCACTTCACCCCGATGGGAGTTTGTGTTTCCAGCCTAAGCGCCTGACCACCTATCGTCATTGTCTGGCGTGCGCCAGGATAAATACGACAACCAGAGCTGTTCAACGCCAGTCGAATCGGCGGCCGGGCCTGTGACACACGACACTATGCGCCTGGCCGTGCTTGGCGAGAATACTGGCAATTCCCTAGTTCAGAATCCGCTGAGGTGGGAGATGCCATGCAGCCGATTTTGTGTAACAGGGACTGTGTGTAGGTCGGCGGGATGGGATGATGAACCAGAATCTGTAGAGGATTGATCCAGAGTGGTAGCACCGAGAGTTGGCGGCCGTTCTCCCAAGCTTCCCTCATCGATGACATGTTCTGCAAATGCAGAGATGTCGTCGCTTGTTTTAAAAACGCAGCGGCGAAATGCAATGGCCTGGCCGTGACAGTAACCGCCTGCTCGTGCCAGATGACGGCCCTTCCTTGGTTCGGTTTCCAAAAGCAGACATCTGAATTGAGTGGTTTATACTCCGTACCTTTGGCAGTAAGGAAGAATGGACCCGAGTGTCTTCACAGCATGGTGACTGTCGAGCGAGACGTCCAGCCACCACACGACATCTCTTATTCACCCGCTTTGACGGCTTCAAGTATGAATCCATCATCCACCTTGACCATCTCGTTGGTCACGACTCACTACCAACGGCCCCGTAACCCAGACCCTCTTAACCAGGGTCTCGTGAACCATTTTGGCGAGGCGTCCAATGTGACAGGGACGACTTTGTCTCGGCTGCCACATGGGCTTCCACATGAGACGCACGGCCTCGTTGTCCAACTAGACGATATCTCCGCTTGTTCTGTTCATTGTACAATACGTACTCGAGTACCGGCAGTGTGTTGCCTCTCAACGCTCTTGTCAGTCTGCGGCAACAAGCATTCGACCACCCTTTGTGCGCCGTTTCGGGGCTTGCCTACCCATGTAACCGAGTGACTTGAGGGTAGTCAAATATCCACGCCTCCCATTGTATAACTGATATCCGGCTCTGTATGCACGAGACCGCTGCTCATCTTCTCCCCTTTCGCTTAGACGAGATTGTCAAATGGCTCATTTTTGACTCGTCAATGAATATTCGACAAAGGCGGCCCCCCCGGCTTGACGTCGAACACGCAACGGGAAAACGCAGGCCTTGCCTGGAGCGGATCTGTGCTCATGAACACGCGAGTCGCGGCCCATCAACTCCCAGCGGCGTTTGGTGACGTGAGAGTCTGCGGCAGTCAAGGTGAAGACAATCCGAATCCAAATGCACGGCCAACTCCATCTTTTTACGCCACTCACTGCCTCATGGCTTACCCACGGTCCCAATAGTGTCCATAGTCCCTTGCTTCAGCATATCAGTTCGCTGCGGCATGCCAGGTGCGCGAATTTCAGGGGCCTCACAAAGGTCTGCGCTGAGAAAGCCGAGTCCGCCGCTCACCCTTGGTCGCAGAGAGCTCGAACCGAGCTCGATATCTTCTTGGCCAAGGCGAGAAGAAGACATTGCTCACTCAACGTCTTGTCTCTCTGGCCGTCTCAAGCATCGTGGCAAGTGTTGCCGGGGCGCAGCAAATTAGTATGCACGTCATCAGTCACAATGTCGAATTCTTATTGGCAAATCTGGTACTCTGTTCTTTCGCTTACACAAAAGGATCGATCCGAGTCAAGCATCTTATTGTCTACGTCGCGCCACAGCACCATGGCCACTGATGTCATATCAGGAAAGCAAAGTGGCCATGCGAGGTTCAAAGTATCAGTGCCACTACTCAACATGAGGGGGAGAGCTCAGCTTACTCTTTAAGAAGATCGTGGTGGGAGCATCTCGATTGCGAGTCATGCCCCTGGAAATGTGGCGTTCTCGACCATGTTGCACAGTTATGAGTTGTTTTTGAAAAACAATGGGAACCAGTTGACCTCTGCATGTGTGTGCCCTTCACAATAACTCCGTACCTGTGGCGTGGCGTCCAATCGATCCTTCTTCGTCCCGCCATCCAGGAGTCAGGCCGCTCATTTGTTGGTTACTTTTGACCTGACAAAGCCTTCTAGCATCGGCCCCCCTGCGACTACGCGGTACTCTGCAAGACTTGGCCAAGTAGCGTCTGCGGTGACGATAGCTGAGCCAAGCTTGGCCACTGATTCGACCGTCTTTCAACCACAATCATCCTCTTCTGCCGTCATGATTAACGGCCCTATGCGCTTGTTGTGCTGAAAGTCCGAAGCGTCTGCGTGAGTGTCGGCGAGAAGGACGAGAACTGGGCTCTGTCTGCACCATGAATGAATACATAGTCGTGACTCGTGCTACTTCAGCTGCAGAAGGGCCCTCGATTCATCCAAGTCCAATAGCCCAAATGATTATCCCTTGAAGCAAAGCACATAATAATGGTGGCGGTATCCAAAATTTCTCGACTCACTAATCAAAACCACCGTATCTGACTATATCCAAAATTAATAAACAATAGTATCCAACGTCTGTACTCCTTTTGTCCAAGCCGATGCAGAAACGGAAAGACGGCGAGATGTGTATCCGGGCGCCTCACTCAACGTCGTCTTGTACGACGAGTTCATCGACTCTGTTGTGGCTGCGCGTTTTGTATACTCGCCATTTGGCCTGGCGCACAAGCTCTCCGACATGCACGGCTAAAGGGTGTACAGGAAGTCGGGTCGCTTATCGCCCAAGGCATTGATCTCATCCTCGGTCTTGCCCTCTACCCAATGGTCGCGCTCGCCTTTGCGGCGTTTCCTATTCTCCATGTTGAGCATAGTAGCGAAGAGCAAACTGCCTCCAAACATGCACACGGCCAGGTACGCAATGATGGTTCCATGGCCCTGGAAGTAGCGAGGTGGCCACCGATAAATGACACTGCTGACCACGCCGTTGAGGTTACCCCAACCGATGACGAATCCGAGCACAATTCCGCGCTTATAGACACCTTCGACGTTGTTGGCTACCCACGCGATTGTTAGGGAGATGGGCGGGTAGATACCCATGGCACCAAAAAAGGTGCCTGCATACTGGACAGCCGGATCAGTCGTTGATATCAACATGATGAATCCAACAATTCCAACAAGGGCGCAGCCCATGATAAAAACGCCACGTTTCTGTACCCTATCGGACCAAAACCCAACAAGTACCGTCAGCACGGCGGCGACCGCATACGGCGGTACACTAAGAAGTTGGTTTCTGATGATCTGGTCGGCGGACGTGAAGCTCATGGACTGAATAATTGTCGGCAGAAAGACACTGAAAGAGTAAAGTGGCATCAGAGGGCCCATGTAGATTAGCATGCCATTGTAAGTCTTCCAGTCCTTAATAGCAGCCCACATGTAGTCCCACTTGAAGTCTTCGTGCCTAGCCGAGTGTTGTTTATCGTTCTCAAGTCGCAGTAACACACGCGCGCGGTCTTCAGGGGTCAAGAACTTGGCCTCGTCTGGGAAGTCGTGAACCATGAAAAAGGAGACGAAGCCGACAATGATGGTCAAGAGACCCTCAATGATAAAGATCCAAGCCCAACCCGGGATGCCTCGGAGACCATCCATTTTTTGAATCGCAGCCGCAAGAAGGCCACCAAAGGAGCCAGCCAAAGCCGCAGCCGAAAAGAAAATGGCAGCACGCACTCCGAATTCGTTTCTCTTGTACCAGCATGACAAATAGTAATTGACACCAGGGAACAAACCGGCTTCGGCCACGCCAAGGAACCATCGTGCAGCCATGAGACCAGACCAATTCTTGACAAAGCCCATGCCAAGCATACAGCAACCCCATACGATCCTACAAGGTTGATAATCAACACAAGATCAATCAATGTAGCAACGGTCTCGAGCTTGTTTAATAGACAGCATGGGTGTCAGCTTACATTATGCTTGGGATGAATCTGGAGGGCTTCCATTTCTTGAGAAGGAAGTTGGCGAGCGCCTCGAACAAAGCGTAGGAGACGAAGAAGACTATAAGTGTGGCCGCATATTTGAGTGATTTCGGGTCCATTCCCAAGTCTTTCTCCAGATGAGCAATCTTGGCATTGCCGATGTTGGTGCGATCGAGAAAGCAGATCAAGTACAAAAGACAGAGCTGTTTGTGTGTTAATGAAGAAATAAAGGCGCTATTGCCCACGCGTCGAGCAGTTTCCGGTAACGAGAGGGCACATACCCATGGGATGAGCATAAGATCCAGCTTGCGTAGTAGTTTGCGTTCCTTTTTACAGAGACACAAAAGATGAACAGGTCAGAATCAAATGAACCAGGAAGAGATTTGTGCAAGGAAGGAAACGCTCACCACTTCCTTCCTCTCAGCTACCGACAAGCCGGCATCAGGGTCGACCATGTTTCCGTGGTCAGAGTTGGACAAAGTGTCCGCCATGCCCTGGTCAATTGGGCTCGGTTTTTCAAGTTCGCTCATTTTTGCCCGGTCGCAAGGAGATGATCAGGATGCGATGGAATGGTGCTCAAGCGGAGCACGGCAGTCGACGTCGTGGCGGCGGCGGCGAGGACGGCGACAACGACGACGACGACAACAACGACAACGACGTGCCAGAAATAAGAAGTATTCGACGTTGCTGTCCACACAATTCGGCAAAAAGAGGCGAGGATCGGCACCTTCCAGCCTGGTCGACGGGTCCGGAGCCAAGGCCAAGTGGGAAGGAGCAAACCTCGACTTCGGGGCCAGGCAATGTCACAGCGTCAGAGCCTCGAGTGACCAAAGCATTGGACGTTGGAAAAGAGTTGTTTTGCCTCAAAAGACACGCACAGAGAGCGCGAGAGCGAGAGCGAGAGCGAGACACGGGCCGCGGGCGTCGAGCGACCGGGAGAACGACCCGGTCAATGGCCTGGCGGCTCGGGCATTCGACTCCTGTCAGCATTCAAAGACGAACAGGGGCGCGTCCCTTTGCACCAGGGCCGTCATATTCCATTGCTACGTGACCAGTTCCATAGGTGACAGCTAGGTCTCTCCTCTCGTCTCCTCACAGAGCACCCCCTCCTCGTCGGTTTTATTACTGAGCTACAAAGCAGCCATGCCTGGGGTGGAATTTGGACCCTTGGCCGTGGACCCGGCTGGTCTGTTGGTCGTCGTCGCACTGCAGCTGCAGATCGGCAATGGTCGAGGCAAGACCAAGGCCGGGTTGACCCATGACGCGAGCGCCGAGCATTGGTTATAACGAGGCCAAGTGAGCCTCCTTGCTGGTGAGCACGATTGCACAGAACGACGCCATCCAATTCGTAGCCTTGTGCTTACCAAGTTACCACGCACTCGCCGACAGAAACTCCAGAAACTCGTCGAGTTCTACTACTACTATAGTACGGTGTATGGGGTCTGGGGTCTGGGGTCTGGGGTACGGGGTACGGGGTACGGGGAACCGACGACGGATATGCTGATCACGCTGGATCAAGGTTGCAAGTCCTGTCCTCCATTCCATCTCCGGCCTGCTGGCTAACCCCATCGCCAAGCCACGCGTCTGCGTCATACGGTTGCCAGGAGCAGGTCCGTGTATCGATTAGGTTTTGAGATGACAGTGGACGATACTCTCCTGCCATGCGATGACGACAGCACAGCGAGCTTGCGGCGAGTGAAAGCAAACACCAGCTACAGGTCGCGGCAAATTACAGTGTTCCAGCTTGTCAGGCCCACCGCGCTGTTTCCACCGTCATGGCTACAACAGTCTGGTGAGACGACGCAACCGGTACTTGGACGTTGAAGTGCGAGCAGTATACTCCGGGCGCATAGTCCGGTTTCTCGGCTTGGATCTTGCAGAGTTTCAACAGTAGCAAAACGTATGCACGGCTCCATGGTTGTGACAATAAGGGATTGAAGAATCACTCGCAATGCTCTTCAACCTACCTCAATGCCCCAGCTGAGCACGGATTTTCGGTCGCCAAGTAGGTCTTGATGGAGGGAGACACGAGGGATTTTCCGTCGCTGTCTTGTCCGTCTGCTCAATCGTTGGATGCGTTTGATGCCGAGACAGCCACGCGAGAGTCAATTTTATCATGTGCAACACACCAGTCACGCACTCCGTATTTGCCGAGCGCATCGATCTCTTCATGGCACTCTTCGAAACCGCAAGCATCTGGCCAAGCATGATTTTTTGGCATGTCGGAATAAATTTTCACGCACAAATGACCATTTGTCGAGAACTGTGCTCCTTGCGCGACTCAATCATTTTCTTTTCTACCACTTCACCAAACTTGTCTCTCGTACTACACACAGTGGTCAACTTCAGCTGTGGCTTCGGCCATGACTGGTTCTGGATACTCTGATGGCACCAGTGCCACGAAATACGCCAACCTCGCAGCCCGACAGGGATATCACAAAGAATCAATAGTGTGGGTTGGTCATCATTTAGTCCAGGGACAATGCCAACGATGCTCAAAACACGACATGGAGAAATGGCCTGGAGCCCAGATCCATGTCATCCAGTGCAGAAGCGAACGTGTCCAAAAGATTGGGTTTATGATTTCTAATGGTAAACGCCTTGCAGGTTTCATGATAAATACGGAGTCGACATGGCAACCACCACCGCAGCCGCCCAAACGACATGTGCCAGTATAGCACAGAGTTATAAGCGCACGAGAACAAGAGGCACTTGACCATGGTTGTAAGTCGCTAGATCGGTCTTGGCATCGGAGAATGGCATGCTGCAATAATGAGACAAACATATGTCCCAGGGTCCCGCATTTCCCCAGCTACTTAAGTACCGACAAGAGAGGTTGGAAGTATGAGCTTGACGCTCTATCCAACCAGGTTTGCGATGAAATCGGCATGTGGTCATGTATGTGAAGCTTCTTGGAGGACCGATTCCTGCATGAATGCAATGAATGGGGCGGCTCCCCGAGGTCACCGACAACATACTCAGGGTTCCTGTCCAAGTTGACCCATCTTCTCTTGTAGCTGAACCCGTCATTGACACACGGCCGGTCCATGCAATAGTTCACCCCCTTCGAGGGACCAAGCATGGCGACTTGTAGCGTACGCATGGCAAGGCCTCCATCCATCCCTCCACGTCTTGAACACGGTTCTGATTTGCCAGGAGTGGCTGTTGTTCGAAGAGCGCCCGACACACCGGCTGACCTGGCGCCCCGTTGCGAGCTTATTCTCCAAGGCACTCCGTAGCTCAGAAGGGATGGGCGTTGCAAGCGACAAAGGGACTTCCAATGATGCCCAGCATTGCCGCGGCCTGCATCCGTGGTCAAGGGCCGAGCAGCCGCCCGAGAGTCGACGTGCGTCTTCTGCCTCGGGCGCGGGCGTGCGAGTCCCAGGCCAGCAGAGGAAGGACATTGGGGGCTGCGCAGCGCACGCCCCAGCACATACTGGTGCAGATGTCGGGCACGAGCTCGCAGTCAAATAGGATGTCGGGCGCCCCGTCCTTTGCTGAGATGATCCACGGCCAAGAAGACGACGGCGTATACGAGTCCGCACCGGCGCCGAGCAGCAGCAGCCACAGTTTGAGGGACTGAAATCAGATGTAGATGTACTGTGCCTCTGGTAACGAAAAAAAATTAAAAAAAATTAATAGAGTCAAGCGAAAAAGAAAAAAAATAGACGTGTCAGACAGACCATCGGCCAAACCCTAATCCTACCTCGTGCGATCCACAAACCTCTTGACACCGCCCACCAAAGTTGCCCTCGGATCCCTACGCCTCACATCAAAAGACAAACCGGCCTCGACATGCGCGCACACGTCAACTCCAAAGATGGTCCCTCCATCAAGAAACAACCTCCATCAATACCATCACAGTATCTACCCTCTGGCGGGTCAACCAGCGGGACGACCCGCGCGCTGCCGGGCATCACGTCGTGCCAAATCACGGATCCACGACAGCTGCCAAACACCCGGCGGACACCGGCAACGTCGGCCTCGCTGGCTCGGCTCCCAAATGGGCACTCCCAATGGCCATGACTGACCGAACTAACCAGCAACAAGATTCCCGTGCCGCGGCTCTCCAAAACAAAAACGTACGTCGCCTCCGTCCATCATCCCGTCGCAACCGTCAATATCCTGATGAGACACGGCTCCTTCCATGGCTATGAACACACCATGATTCCACATACCCGTCCCTGTTACACGCTTCTCTGACTCGCTCCACGTCATCTCTTCTCTCGCCGACAGCCCAGAGCCCTGCCGAACCAAACCAAGCGAAACTGACCTTGCCAGTGCGCTGTCCAGCTCCAGATTCCGTATACTTTTATCCTCACAAAACAACCTCGCACCACGGCATAGCCCCAGTGAGCAGAGCAGAACCCAGGCGACTCCCACCCCGACCGCCCCGACCGCCCTATATGCCGTGTCGCCGGAAGGCTGGAACGGGGCCTCCCTGCCCGCCGTGCAGGACGGAGAAATCAAAGAGCGCCAGGGTAGTAAGTAATGTGCGCCGCAGTCCCGGTACACATTGCGGCTAGGTGCAGACGCCAGTGTTTACAGACGAATCCGGCATCCTCGTCAGATGCTCTCGACTTGTCGTGCGTGTACGTACACCGTCAATGCCAAGGGTAGAAGACGCCGCTACTGCTTCCTCACGAGTCACGAGCACGGTTCTGTCGCTGAGACGCTTTTCCGCAACCATGGCAAAGCCACAAATGGGTCGGAAACATTCGTACACTGTCCACTTGATAGCAGACGTTATACATAGTCGCCATGAATAGTCATTTCGTTATCAACGCCGCCCATGCACCAGGTTTCAAGGTTGAGAGGAGAAAAAAAGAAAAGACCCCATCCAAGCTCTTGTACTTCGTTACCCGTCCAGAAATTATCCAACACAGTTCCCGCCTCCTTTATTCTACTGACAGGCCTTCCAAAACATTCATTGCCCTTGTACCCTCTCTCTCAAATTGTGTGACCATAGACTCGCATTCATGTTTGAGTTTCCTCTCTGCTTCTCCGGCATTGAAGTAAATCCATTCTTCTACAGTCATGCGCTTCTCTGGGCTGGTGAGTTCCTTGCCTTGCTTCAACAGCCGGCTAACCGCATTCTCCTTGTCATCCCCGCGGTGCGGTGTACCCAGCACAGCATCGATATCCACCGCGGTCCATTGAGTTTGACTCTGCAGGCCGGCCGCAAGCATATTGCGCTTTGACGGTGAGTTGCGTGCGGGCGTCGCGGTTACGGGTGCAAGGACTACGCGCTTCGCCTTGGCGCTGGCTGGGGGCGCAGATGACGGGGGCAGGTTTTCGGCATCGGATGGCTGCGGCGACGGTGACGGCGACAATGCTGGTTGGCGCGCCGACGTTGCTGGTGACGTCAACTTGGGAGGTGTCGATGGCGGCTCAACCGCCAGTCTCGACCTGGATGCAGCCGGCGAAGAAGCTTCGTGGGGAGGCGACGCAGCCCCGTCAAGGGGTGGCGTCCCGGCAGATTCGTGTTGTATTGATTTCCCGTCTACTTGGGACACCCTGTCATCAGCATTGGCTCCGTTTCGCCGAGTAGATTCCGACAGTTGTATCGGCTCAGCCGTTGCCTCGCTCGGTCTACAAACACGCTTCGCTGGTGCCTCTGCGGGTTTTGATTCAGCTTTCGAAGATGGGGACGATTTGACAGCTCGTCGAGGAGCCTTGATGGACCGAGGTGAAGCCATGGTGTCTGTATTCTCCACCACCACGGCATTTGTGCTTCCGATGCTGACCTCAGGCTCCCCAGCCTCTGAAGGTGGATCAATTGCCTCCGGTTCAGGTTCCGGTGATGGCGAAGGAGCTTTAGCCTTCTTTGCTCTTGTCTGCTTGGAGGCTTTGCGCGCTCCGGTTCCAGGCTTGCGACCTTTTTTATCAACGTGAATCTTTTGCGTTGGCTCGTCCACCTCCATTTCGGCTTGAAGATTTCGAAGTTCATCGTCCAACGCGTCTTCGTCGTGCTGGATTTCAGCGGGATTGAACATGGCGTAGTCATGCAACTGGTCACTGGTCAAGTCGCCCTTCGATTCCTTGGCCATTGCTTTGGATCGCTCTGACTCCGAGTCATGTGCAATTTCGTCGTCATCCGTCAATGGCCGTTCCAGGTCTGCCTCAAGCTGGCGTTCAATCTCCTCATCGTCGGGGAGGTCGCCAAGGGGTGCCCGGAGCGAGGCCATGGATGCCCCCAGGGCAGATGGCTTGCGACTTGACTTTGCGCCGGAACTTCTGGCGCGGCTGGTCGGTTTCGATGCTTGCACATCAGCCAATGCAACATCTTCGGGTGTAATGGTAGAGCCGTCTATTTGGCTGCTTTCTCGATTTGTAGTGTCTCGTTTCTTGGGAGCTGGCGCCTCGGACAAGATGACAACGGAATCATCCATGTCTTCACTGGACCGCTTCTTGCCACGTGTCGATTTTGTGGTCTTCGGTGGTGACACGGGATTTTCCTCGACAGCACCGAGCTCTTCTTGCTCAACTTCTTGCACCTTCTTGGTTCTAGTCCTTCCTTTGGTGGTTGCTGCCTTCTTTTTCTTGCTTGCAGTCCTCCTGGTCCCTTGTGTCATCGTCGACGTAGTGGTGAGTACGCTGTCATCCGGTTCTACCGTGATGTCGGCAACAGACGCGATGTCAGAGGCGGTCGTAGCCACCGACTGCATAGATAGTCGAGAAGCCTTCGATCCACCCGCCGCCCTGCCTCGAGCAGTCCTCTTCTTGGGTCCTCCGAATTCGTTGAGCAGGGCAAAGAATGCGCAATTGGGTGATCGATGGTAATGCTCGTCGCTTGCCGTGTGGTCAGTTTCAGCACCGGGATCATGTCTGGCAGGACTGCTCACAAAGGTTTGTCACTTGGCTCCCATCCATCCAGAGCCAAGTGGCAGTACGCACAAGTCGCCATGTCATCAGACTCATCCGTAGGGGTATAATTCCAGCCAGCTTCAACAAGCTAGGGTGAGCAAGTAAGCAGATGCTACAGCTTCACGTAACATTCACAGCATACCTGCTTTGTTTTGCACTTCCATCCTTTCCTTGCCTCATGGGGCCATTTCCCAGCGAATGTCGCCTTTCGAGCCTCTACCATATGAGGCAGGCCGGGGTCCTGCCTCGAATATTCGGCGATTTCGGCCTCAATCGCAGACACTATGGCCCATCCACATTGGGGGGCATGCTTCAGATGCTCCTCGAGAGGGTCATCGCCAGCTTCCCACCCATCGAGGCCCTTTCCGCAAAGGAAGCAGACACAATTGTCGGGGTTTTCGGGATACGGTTCAAAGTAGAATCCAGCTCTTGCTAGCTGTGAAGGAAACGTCAGCAAGGTTTGCGAAGGGAGCATCGGGTTCAATGGCGCGTACACTCGCGGGGGCAATCTGTCTATGCGGCCAGTTCAAAGCCCTGCTCCGTCCACTAGCTGTTGATGCTCTTTTCTTGGAGCTCTTTTGAAAAGAGGCGAGTCGTGCCTCATATGTGAAGTATTGGTCCATCGTAGAGCGCGGCAATGTAGATGATGTTTCCTTGATAGCCGCTCGATCGTCTTGCGTCCTCGCGAAACGTTAGTCGGGGCGGACTGCATCCACAGACAGTGGGCGCGCGTCGCGGTAAATACCGAAAGGGTCAGAGAGGCGCGCAGTACATGTCCGTATTCATGCCGACTAGTAGTTCAAGACTAGGTGGTTTAGCCTCAAACCACGGTGTGAAATCCAACAGAAGAAGGCACTGGATGTTACAAAGAAAAGGGAGCTCAGGTGTGGCCATGGTTGTAACTTGTGGTTGGTTGGCCAAGAACGCGTTTGTTTACTTTTCCAGCCAAGTGGGGCCGCCTCCAACGCTCGCAACTCCAACACCTCGAGATCTCGTCACGACCGGGCGCATCTCGACCTAGTCTCTATGAAATTGACACGAGGCTTTTTATCAAGGATGGCCGCTCGTGGCGGCTCTGCTCGAATAGTTTTGAATGCCATCTCTTCCACCCAAGTGATTGTTTACCAGTACATCCTAGCCTATGATGGTCATGGTGAACAAGAGTTCGAAATCATGAGCATCAATGTCTGTGGTCGATTTGGCCGCTGTGGCATCTCAACGCGTTTTCTGGATATTTCCAGCGACCGCGATTTGATCGCTGTATCCTGACTACGCCTCGAGAATGCCGGACTGGCATGGACATGTTTCAATGCACTGGAACCGAGCAGCCCAATTAATTACGACTTGAATCATTAGTACTCGCGTGCGTACATTAATCACAGCTTACCAGCATCCTTCATTGCCCTCTCGCCATCAACGAGAACGCACCAACCATCGTGTCCCCGTCCACCATCACCATATACGACATACTCAAAGGCACCCTGCTCAAGGGCCAGCTTCAGAACGGCATCGTCAAAAGTGCCCGGCTGTAGCCAGACGCCCGGAATGCCAATCTTCTTGGCTTCTTCAAGCACCTTGACGGTGACTGGGGGGGCAGTGATGATAGATACAGACGTCTGCTTGGGATTTGGCAACCCAGACAGGTCTGGGACCGTGGCGTAATCGTGGCCACCCACGGTCACGGAAGAAGAGCCCGGATTGACGGGTGTGACGTTCAAACCATGATCGAGGTACCAAGCATGGACTATTCCGTGGCAGAAGTCAGTGTGAAGCGCTGGAGTGCGGACGTGTCTAGGAAATACGAACCCTTGTGGCCGAACTTGGCGGGGTTAGAACTGGCGCCGACGACGGCAAAGAAAGGCAACGTGAAGAACTTGCGGGCAGCGGTTTCGGTGGCCATTGTACCGGGGGTGGTCGTGGCTATCAATGCTTGATGATGTTGGTATGTCAACTATTATCTGACTTTGGGGATTTCCGGTGATGGCAGCAGTGGCCTCGGCCGACGTCCTCGGAGACTCAGAGGACGGCGACGGCGAGAGCCCACAGAACGCCTACGCCACATCCATCTGTCTGGTTCCGGTTGGTGTAAGCCCGAGGTCGGCCGAATCGGCAACGACATCAAGGTGGCGTCGAGCCGTACGCAGATACTACGGAGTATGGGATAGGATTCCCATTCATAAACGCCCTTCCAGGGCTGCCGTTGTGCAACTACCATGCTATTGTCGAAATGTCTCGGTTTGCGTAAGAATTTTCCCTCTGTTGGCTTGACTGTTGCGATCTCTAGACGCTCTAACTACCAAGCATTGGACTTGCAGCAAAGCAACCTTCTCCGCTACAGGGTACGCCGCGGCACGGCCAACATACCCGGCAAGTTTGTTTAGAACGGTGCTGGGGTACCACGGTGCCAATTCCTCGTCAGGCGCCTCATCCGGGTCCTTGTTGGACATTGGATGTGGCCATGGGGCCATTGCAAGAGAACTGAGCCCTCACTTCAGTAGAGTGATTGGTGTCGACACGAGCCCCGGCATGGTGAAGCAGGCCACGTCCATGACAAAGGATGAGAAAGTAATCTTCCTCCAAGGCGGCGCCGAAGACCTGTCCTTCCTCCCTGATGGATCTATCGACATGGTGGTGGCTGGACAGTCTGCACACTGGTTCGACTACAACAAGGCGTGGCCCGAAGTATCTCGCGTGGTGAAGGCTGGCGGTTCTCTTGCTTTCTGGGGATACAAGGACAACGTGCTCATTGGGCACACGAGAGCCAACGAAATCTTTGCCAAGTACTGCTACGCAGAAGGAGAGGTCGAGCCAGGTATTGAGGGAATGAATGCCTACTGGGAACAGCCTGGCCGCAATAGAGTCCGCAACTTGCTGCGAGAGGTCGTACCGCCTGCCAAAGACTGGAGGGCCATCCGTCGAGATCTGTACGACATAAAGGCCGACTGTGCAAAGACCCCGGGCCCTGAAACGGCCTGGATGCAAAAGAGGATGAATCTAGGGCAACTGGAGGCGTACGTTCGGACATTCAGTGCATTCCAGGGCTGGCGTGATGCTCATCCAGAGGTCGGGAGCCGGGCGGAAGGTGGCCAGGGGGATTTGGCTGATATTCTCATGTGTCGCATTGTGGAATCAGAGCCGCAATGGAGGGGACTTGGCGATGGATGGAGAGACGCCGAGGTTGATACGGTCTGGGGTACGTACGTCCTCATGGCGAAGAGGCGATGAACAAGGGATGATGGCAACGTCTTCCGTGCATGCCTGCCTGGTAATTAGCTCCTCTGCACTCTGCATAGAGAATAGAGATATGTGTGAGCCGGCAGAGATGCAGAGCACGGCGTGTACTCCGTATAGTGGCTAGCTTTTGCAATACAATCTTTATGCACACCGCCATTGCAAATGCCTCAGATTGCATGAAAGCACACCGCAAGGTCCAGGGTGCCAATATATTGGGCACGGAGGCTTTCATGTTTCGAACTTGACCCCTTGGCCCCCCTTGCCCCGTGCCCCTGGCTCAACGAGCGGCGGGCTGTATGGCATGGCATGGCGGCCATCGTATCAACATGCGCTGGGTAAGATGAGGGAAAATGCACCATCGGGCATGAGTCCTGACCTGACCTGAACGGGGTGCAGCGCCCAGGGACAGGTTGTACTGGTTGCCCGGCCAAAGAAGCAGGAGCATGGGGATCAAACGATGCGACAGCTCTCGAGCCCACAGTACCCTAGGCAGTCAGGCCGGCCGTGCCAGGAGACCAGAAATTTCACTGTCGTCCTCTTCTTCTGCCCCTTTTTAAACTCCCTCACCAGTGCAAAATCCAATATTCGGAGTCCTCAGCAGCTTGCTTCGGTGTCTATTTCCAGAGCTGCGTCTCGGGGCCACTGTCTGGTAACAACAGCGTCTGGTCTGGTGCGCGAAACTCGACGAATTCCAGTCGGGAAGCTGCCTGGCCGCTAGTGCGGTTTATTTGTGCTCCCTCCAGCACCAGACTCTATTAGCCAGTGCCTCACGCGCTCCGACTGCTCTTCTCCTCTCTGTACGGAGCACGTACCGAGCTCGTACGGAGTTACTCCGTCCACAATGGTGAGTTGCCCCAGCACCCAACGACGCCCTTGGTAAACAAACAGCGTGAGGAGAGGCAGCCCCGCGACCGACGCACGAGCCTCGCCATGTGATTCGCCAGGTCAGCCCAAGTGTGATTAGTACAACCCCCTTCTGGTTGAATTGCGTCTTGCCTCTGGAAAGCGCCAAACATTTCTGTCAGCTTTCGCGACAAACGGCTCGTTCTATTTCGCAGACTGCAAACAACAAAAGCAGACAAAACGAAGCACTCTGCCGGCCGCAGCACACTTGAACAATCGCATCAGCACCGCCTTTGCTTGTCCGAGCTCAACCAAGCGTGCATCCGCGAGACGGGCCTCCCTGTTTCCCCACTGCAACCGCATCAACAGCAGCACAATTACAGACTTGACAATGTCTTCTAACCAGTACGATTCTCAGGCTTCTACCAACTACAAGGAGGCTTTTGCTCTCTTCGACAAGCGTGGCAATGGCCGGGTGGCTGCAGACAGCTTGGGCGATTTGCTCCGAGCCTGTGGGCAGAACCCTACTTTGTCTGAGATCAAGGATCTTGAGCAGAACGCTGGCAGCGAATGTGAGTAGATTCGAGATTGCGAAGAAAAAACGAATCAAATCAAAAGACCAGCACGTTGGAGCACATGAGCACGAGTTGCTGACAAGCGTTTGTTTCGCAGTCGATTTCGAGACCTTCCAGCGCATTTTGAACCGCCCTGGCGGGTTCCGCGACCCTGGCGAGCCCGAAGAATATTGCCGTGGCTTTCAGGTGTTTGATAAAGACATGACGGGATTTATTGGAGTTGGGCAGATCAAATATATCTTGACGAACCTGGGCGAGAAGATGTCCGAGGAGGAGGTGGATGAGCTGCTCAAGGCTGTGGACACGAGTTCTGGCCAAGTCAACTACACCGGTATGTTTTGCAACGCCCTCTGTGATGAGAACAGGGATACGTCGTGGCCTGCAGTCCTCCCAGACTTGAACCTTTACTGAAACGAAACCTTTCAAAGACCTTGTTCGAACCATCCTCGCCAACTAGACAGCCTCGTGTATTTCCGCTCTGGATCATACAGTGTTACACGAAATGAATGCCTCGGTCTTTTTGCATTTGCGGACGGGATGGCGTTGCTTTTTTTTTTCTTGCACAGTTTCAGAGCTTTTTTCTTTTACATGAAGGCTTGCTGTTTAGCGATGGAGAGGATTCATGCCACGAAACAAGGAAGTGAAGAATGCGTGGGATCAGAGTCTCGACTCGTTATTTGTATGGATATAAGCTTTGTGATGGTAGATGTGTTGTGCTACTCGCTCAAGCTAAACATTCGTGTCGATGGTGGGCTTGCATGTTGTTATTTGGGCACTGTGGCATGCGGCCCTTGGTTTGCTGTCGTGTGTTGTAAAGAGTCAAGACCAATGCATCATCGCGTCTAATGCTCGTGGGATCCACCATGACAGGCCATTGAATGCACGCACTGATGCCCCGCCGTTGTTGCCAGACAGTGCTTGGCCCCGTCCCGCGCTCCTGCCGGTCTGGGGTCTGGGGCATGAATGTTTGAGGATACTTTGTCGAGGTCCCTTTCGCCAATCTGTCCTGCAAGCGAAGCTCCCAGGTGCTGGTTGCTTGCTGCTGGTGCTCCGTACTGCTGACTCATTACTCCGTACCATTGCTTGCATGACTGGTGCAGAAGCTTGCGCTCTCACGCAATCAAAAGCCATTCCTTTGATGAATCTGGCATTGGCATTCCCCGAGCTCAGTTCGCAGAGTTGCAGCTGTCGGCGGTACACTTCCAACTTGCTCCACGTCCATCGAAGCAGCTTGCTGCACATCTACGAACCTTTCGACGACAGCTGTATGCTGCTCCATCCGACCAGCCGAAGACAGCCTCTCATTTCCGACTGAGATTTCAAAGTTCCTCTTGTACCTGCAGCCAAACTGGACAGGCGGAGTTCTTTGCCCCTGCCCCTCCCCCTCCTTTCTCTGTCCCTCGTCGCCGCTATCGTCGCCGCAATCGTGGCCTTCCCACGAACTTTCCCACGTGTCGAAACTCTTGTCAACCATCTTCGCCCAAGGCTAGTTGCTACGGTCCAAAGCACTGTTCATAATTCTCGTCCATTGACAACAAGCAGCATGGCCGGTGCTCAGTATCGGACCCCGCCCCAGGCACCACCGCTCTTCACCGGTACTATGGAGTCCGTGGTTGCCGATATCAACAGGAACAATCAGCTCACAAAGAGCATTTTGGACAAGGTAGTAGCTGCTGTGAAACCAGAAAATGCCAAGTTTGAAAATGTTCTTGAACCGGGCCTGGTCAACGAGAACGAGCTATCACGAAGCTACCGGGTTGCCCAATTCTACCAGTATGTCTCTGCCGACAAGGAGCTCAGAGAAGCTTCGACAAAAGCACAGGAGATTTCCGACGACTTCAATATCGAACTCAAGATGAGAGAGGATGTATTCAAGCTCGTTGATGCTGCGTTCCAAACTCGCGGCGCCCAAAAGCTCGATGCCGAGTCCCTTCATCTTTTGCAGAAGGAACGCCAAAAGTACATTCGTAATGGCCTTCTATTGCCAGCCGGCCCTCTGAGGGACCGTTTCAAGGAAATTCAGAAGCGGCTTAGTTTACTGTGCCTTCAGAGCCAGAAGAATCTCAACGACGAGATGGGTGGTGTTTGGTTCACCCCTGAGCAGCTTGAAGGTGTCCCCTCTGATGATATTGATATTAGCCAGCTCGAAAAGGGCACCGGAGAGAACGAGGGCAAGGTCAAGGTCACTTTCAAGTACAACCATTTCTTCCCCATGAGCAAGTACGCTATCCACGAGGACACTAGACGCACCTATGTCATTGCCGAAGCGAACAAGGTAAACAACAATGTCCCCTTGTTCCACGAAATCATCGCCCTTCGAGACGAAGCTGCTCGTATGCTTGGCTTCCCTGATCACGCCAGCCTGGTCATTTCCGAGAAGATGGCCAAGACTACCGGGAGAGTCATGGATTTTCTCGGCGACTTGCGCCAGCGACTCGCCCCAGGCGGTGTCAAGGAATCGGATCGCCTGCTCCAGTACAAGAAGGAGGATTGTGAGGCGCGCGGTGCACCATTTGACGGCAACTTGTACATGTGGGATATTCCATTCTACTCTAGAATTATGAAAGAGAAGGAATATAGCGTGGATGAGGCTGCAATCTCCCAATACTTCCCCGTTGAAAGTACATATCAAGGCATGCTCAAAATTTTTGAGCAGATTTTCGGGTTTGTCTTTGTCGAGCTTAGCAAGGAGGATCGCGCCAGACTGAGTCCTTCTGGCAAGGCGGAAGACATGGCTTGGCATGAGGATGTCATCGTCTATTCTGTTTGGGACGACGAGGCTGCTGGCAGTGGATTCTGCGGATACCTGTACCTGGATCTCCACCCCAGGGACAACAAATATGGTCACAATGCCAACTTCAACATTGAACCTGGCTTCCTTAACAAGGACGGAACTCGCAACTACCCTGCCACCGCTCTGGTGTGCAACTTTAGCAAGCCCAGCGCAAACAAGCCCGGTCTTCTCAAGCACCATGAGGTGGTCACTCTCTTTCACGAGCTCGGCCACGGTATCCACGACCTTGCCGCTCGCACCAAATACAGCTACTTCCATGGCACCAATGTTGCCGGCGACTTTGTGGAAGCTCCCAGCCAGATGCTGGAGAACTGGTGCTGGACACCCAGTGTCCTCAAGTTCCTTTCCCGACGATGGGACTCGAATGAGAAGATCCCCGACGACATGATTGAGAAGTTGGTCAAGACCAAGCACTTCAACTCGGCCACCTCCAATCTTACCCAATTGCTGTACGGGCTTTTCGACATGACTGTCCACACTCCCAAAACTCACGAAGAGGCCAAGAACATGCCAATCGCCAGGGTATGGAACGAGTTCCGACGTGACATTACTGGAATCAAGGGCCCTGAAGCCCAGGGGCAAGGACTGTATGTACCCGTGCCGACACACACACACATTGAACTGATACGAAGTTGCTGACGTCATTATACCTGTAGTGAATGGGGCAATCGGTTCGCTACTATCGGGCATTACACCGGCGGATACGATGCCGGATATTACGGCTACCTCTACTCCCAGGTCTTTTCCCTCGACATGTTCCACTCATTCTTCAAGAAGGACCCCATGGATGGCAAGGAAGGCCGTAGATACCGCCAGCTAGTTCTAGGCCGTGGCGGCAGCCAGGAAGAGCTACAGACGTTGAAGGATTTCCTGGGCAGAGAACCAAACACCGAGGCCTTTTACCAAGAACTGGGACTGGCGTGATGCTCGACGTCGAGTGGATACATTAGGCATAGTCACGGACGGGACCGTCAGCAAGTGCAAACATGTGTCTCATGCATGTTATACGCATGTGTATATATTCAGAGACTGCTTTTTGGTAATACAGTCTCTGTGAAACCAAACATTTCCAAGTTGTGCAGAAAGGTATCCTATGACTTCCGTCGGCGCCCGAGCTTACATGCTCTCCTGTCCAACCCCCACATTAAATACTTGCCATTACCAAAACATGCCAAACCTAAAACGACAATTCAAAAGGAGCGTAACAACTGGCTGCGTATCATGTTCACATTGTCGTTTAGTACATCATGACGAGTACGGAAGAAACGAGGATTGCTCCAGCGGAGAAGGTAAGACGAGAAGCGGCGGCTGAGACTTTGAAAGACGACGTTGGCGACGACGATGGCGAGTTGCCAGGCGCGCCGCCAGTCGTGGCGCCGACCTGACCGCTTCCGCTGTCGCCGGCGTCGTCACTGGTGCTTTCGCTAACACGTGGTCCTGTACCGCTGGCTTGACCGTTCCCCGAGGTGCGACTGGAGCCGAGACCGGAGCCCGAGCCCGAGCCCGAGCCTGAGATTGAGCCGGAGACGGAGCCGGTTGCTGTTCCGGAGCTAGTGCCACTTCCGACAGCGGTGTTGCCGGCGCCGCCGGAACGGCTACTGCCGCCGCCGGAGGTAGCAAGTGCAGTGGTATGGGTAGCCGTGGGCGAGGACGTCTCTTCGCTATTGGAAGTACCGGATTTCCGGGCGACGGAGCTCCCAGCACTTGTAGACCCCGGAAGAGCAGACGATGAAGACTCTCCGGAAGAGGGAGACGATTGCGTGGTCTCGCCGGAAGAGGTGGACGCGTACGTGGTCTGCGATGAGCGCGTGTCGCCGGGAGAGGTGGAGACCGCGGCGCCGGTGGGGCTCCGGGTCGACGGGGCAGACGGCGTGGTGCTCTGCGTGGACGAAATTGGCGTGAAGGTCGGGTGACTGACATCGACTTGGGTGCTGGTCCCGATGGTAGGCTGCTGGGTGACGAGCTGCTCGGGGGTGGTGGGCAGGGCGGTAGGGGGCTTTTCGGCCCTCGAGCCGCGACAGTACTCGAGATACTGCTCGAACCGCTGGCTTGGCTCGTTGACGGGGGTGGTGGAGTTGCGGCCGGAGTTGGCGTCGATACACTTGTAGCAGGCGGCGACGGCGTTGCGGAAGTCAGAGCCCTCTTTGCAGAGCCGGTCGCTTTTGCCGGTACTTTCGGCGATGATGTAGGCGTAGCTGCACTCGTCGAAGCAGATGGCGGGGGTTACGGCTCTCTTGGACTTGCGGCAGGCTTTGTGGCGCGTGGAACCGTGCGTGGGCTCGCGCGTTCGGCGGTACAAGGCCGGCGACGGGTTGGAAGGGGATGGCTTGGGCCAGGCGGTCAGCGAGGATTGGGAAGCCCAGTTTCCTGTTGTGACGAGTGAGGCGTGTCCGTTGGTGGTCGTGTTGATGACTTTGTATTCGAAGATGTCGTAGGAGAGACCGAACGCTTCGGGATTCAGGTTGAAGTAGCCGTATGAAGGGGGGTAGTAGCTGGTTTCGCATCCTTCCCATGCGACTTTTGCAAAGGGCGGCGAGGGAATACAGTCGTTTGGATCGCAGAGGAAGTCGTCGGCTGGGGGCTCGGGCCAGAGGTTGCATCCGTTTGGCTTGGGGGGGTTGCAGACAAAGCCGGGTTCGCAACCAAACGTTCGGTTTGATTTTGTGTCCAACGGCGCTGACGCTCCTGTGGGAGTTGGACAGAGGGTGACGTCGAACAAGGGCGTTACGGTGACGGTGGTGGCTGGCTTTTCGACCGATGTAGGGGGGATAGTAAGCGTGCTTGTCTCTATGACCGTGTATCCTGGCCGAGTGATTGTCTTTGTAGCTTGTTGGTCCGTGACGTGGATGGTGGACGGAGGCAGAGTCTTCATCTGCGTGGTGACGACTGTGCTTCCGGGCAGGGTCCTGGTTACGGCGGGAAGAGTAATTGTGCTTGTCCCGCCAGGGGCTGTTACGGTCTGGGTCTGGCCGGGAGCCGTCACGGTCTCTCCGGGGGCCGTCACGGTCTGACCTGGTAGCGTCATGGTGGTCACCACGGGGAAGCTCGTTGTCACCGTCGACACAAATGTCGTCACTACGGTGGTGGATTTCGTCGTGTACCTGGTATTGTCGACTGTCAGGGTGACCGGATGCTCGCTAACCACTGTCTTGGTCGCTGTGTAAGTTGTCGGCACCCAGATTGTAGTCGAGTCGACCAAGGTGTGGGTGTCGTGAATGGTTGTCTCCCGTGGCACCGTTTGCGTCGTCACAACAGACTCAATCTCAGTGACGGTCTTTGTAGCGGTGGTCGTTGCCCAGGAGGTTAGCGTTGTCGTCCTGCAGCCGTACGTGCGTCCCTTCAGTTTTGGAACTTGCGCAGTCACGTCGCTCTTGGTTGACGCATAAACGCTCTTGTAGGGAGGCTCACAACTGTGTCACTGAGTTGGCAATCTAGTTCCAGATAGCGAGTCACAGATGAAATCAATATACTGGATCTGCCGGTAGACTTACTCGATCGTGGTAGTTATCGTCACAGGATAAGACTTGGACCAGGTTAGCAAATATTCTCCCTTTTCCTTCATCATCTGATACCATACACACCATTGTGTACGTCGAGAGGGCTGTCGTAGTAACGTATTCAGTTGCGTACTGAACTTTGGTAGACACATCGTGCTCTGTTGCGGTAGTGTATATCTGCATTACATGTCAGAGCCAGTCGTCATCCCTCTCATCTGCCGGCATTTCCGCCTCACCGTTTTTTCGCTGTAAATTGTTGTACTGCGTGTCCGTCAGTACACATCATGCTTGCAATCACAGTAATCACGAATGTTACTCACTAGATTTTCGTCATGATTGTTCTAATTGTTGTCGGACAACATTCGTTACACTGGGCGGTAAGAACAGAATCCGGGAACAGGTTTAAATCAACCGTTAGCAATCCTTCAACGCCGGCCCCGACATCTACTCCAGGAACGGCGGCAACAAGGCTCGTGAAGAGCCCGATTGCGGTGGTAAGACGCATCTCGCAAACAGTCTAGTCTGTGCCCCCTCGGAGAATGTAGCCTTCTCCTCTCAACAGGATGCTTAAACGAGTGAAGGAGCAACGAGCGACGATCCTCCAACTCGTCAACCCCCCAACTGCAAGCACCAGAGCAGGGTACGATTGGATAAGACCGGAAGGGAATCAAGTTGATGAGAGAGAGCTTTATAGCGAATTTCGGTCTGGTGGTTCAAGTGTTTGCCCACAATTCCTGTCTTCGGCTGTTGCTCTGAATCAGTATCGAGAATTGATTGGGTCCAAGTAAATTCAACGGCTTAGAGCTTTGAGGCTAATCCAGTTGATCGTGACTCAAGCTGATGTGCGGTACGGAGTAGATGGCTGTTGGACTCCCGTAGTGATGGAGAGACCAAGAGCTCGAGACTAGGGGCAAGACCAGCGAATATGGGAGGGAAACATTGACCAAACAAACAGCTTGTCTGCCACGATCTAGTTAGTTTGTGCCCAAGAGCAGGTGTGCCGTAGTTAAGCCAGGTGCTCTTCTTGCCAAGACGACACGTCTAATGAACTGCGGTCGAAGCTGCTGTTGGGTGTTACGAACAGAATCTCCCCAAGACAACCCAATCACAAGGACATGTATGCATCTCTCCATTGGCAACGGTGACCAACGGATTCTCACCGTACGTCGTACGCCGTACTCCGTACACCAAGCTGTATTTTCTGCACGGGCCAGAATCTGGTCTTGGATACTCGCCAGTTGTCCGGGTTTACAGAGATGCATCCCCCGGATGACGGTGGCTGACTGGAAGAAGCTGGTGGCTCCATCGTCTTGCATGTCTTCGCACTGCGTACACTGCATAAGGCAAAGACTGACTCACAAGGTCTTCTTCTTACGGAGGGAGGCGGCTCTTTGGCCATGGGACTTGAGCTTGAGAGCTACAAAGAGAGGCTCTTCCCGGCTACCCCGTGTCATGGCGCAGCATCTGGTTGTAGGGGTCGTCTCCGGTGGAGGAAACCAGAGCACGCGTGCTGGAAGAGTCCACACGTCTAGGTGTGCAGATAAAGCCTCGTGGGACTTGGTACTATTTTTCCTATTTTTATTTTGATGTCTCTAGCGCCAGTCTCCAGAAAAAAATTGATGCTGCTCCAGCCGTACGGCAGCGACTGCCGCGAGCGTTTGCAAGATTTGTTGTGATGCTCCATTCCTCGGGGAGTTTTTTGGTCTTGCAGCCTTGTCTCCGGCAATCGTGATATTCCTCCGTAGAGAGGTAGATAGGTGCCCCTAGGCACTCCGTAAAGAGGACAGAAAAGGTAGAAGCCAAGTACAGAGCACCAGAGGTATCCATGTACGTTATGTACTGAGTTTATGTATGTACTGCTGCGGCCAGAATCGGGCCGCTGCGATTTTTGACACGTAAGTAGTCCGTACCATGTATTATAGTCATTATGCTCTGCAGACGGAGTACATGCAGAGTCGAAGCCTTTGGGTTGCGATGGCAGCCTTGTTGATTGTGTCTGTGCCAGTAGTTTCGTCTGTGCAGCACTTGGTCTTGTCAAAAATGACGACATGTATCCAAGTGCAGCCTTTGAAGCTGAGTGGTCTGGAGGTCTGGGTCAATGTCAGAACTGTTGTCTCGGCTGGCCGAAACTTATTCTTACCTCTCTCTTGTGCATCACGATTTCATCGCAGTTGTATTTTGTCGCTCCTCAAACCCAGAGGAAGATTTGGTTTCGTTAGCTCGCATCACTCAGGCAGTGACAAAGTCGTACTGTGTACATGTTGGGGTTGAGACAACGAGGCATACGGAGCGTGAAAAGACGCATCGCACCAAACAACGAATCCGTGGTGTCGTCCGCTCATGGAGATCGATAGAGCCACCTCCGAGGAGGCGATCGACGCGGCAGTTGTGAACACGGAAAGAACCAGTTAGGTGGTACGTACCTACTAACTACCTACTTCACAACCCACCCTACCCAGTACGTACCCCAGAGCCCATGCATCCATTATGACTCCGCACTGAGACATCCGATGTCGACCCAAGTACCTACGAGGCCACGACACCTTTAGGCATCACCCATCACCCATCACCCATCACCCGTCACCCGTCACCCATCACCCATACCCATCACCTGCGGAGTTCACCGCACTCTACTCCGTATACTCTGTACGGAGTACCTAGACGACATTTCACCATCTTTTTGTTCTTACACGTCCGCCCACCACCGCACAGCGAAGCCACTTTGGTATCCCGTGCATGATTATTATCCGACAGCATTGTCAATGTGGTCATCTCGCCGTCTTTTCATCCAGCTCGGGTCGGCTGCTGGTCTGGGTCCCCCCCCTCTTTCTTGACCCCGACCAGCCAGTTTGGCCTCTCCTATTCAGTAAACTGCTATGCGCACTATTGTGCGATTCTGGATCCTTGTCTTCTCTCCACAAAGCTCTGTCCGAAAACACTGACCACGACCTGGGAACTAGGGACTTCCACCTGGCCTTCTCACTACATTCTGGTCTTACCATGACCCCCACCGCATCTTTCTTTTCTCGAGAGGTTGGGACGAGACCTTGGTCCCGCCAACCAGCGTCCAACGTGCGAAGAAAGGGAGACCTGGCGGTGGGTAAGTCCCGGTCCGTGGTCGAGGGACTCTTGTACGACGTGGGCAATATATTCCGGTCTTTGCAAACATGGTCTCGTCAAGGCTGGTCATATGCCCATGTTGCACCAGCCCCCCATAACCGGTCCAAGCCGCTGTTGCACAGCCTTTGTGGGCGTCCCTCGGAGGGATGGGCAGACCGACTGGAAGAGCATTACAATTGGAAGGTGAGTACAGGCTGGGATCGCTGGTAAGCATCTTCTCACGCATAGTCTTTCTCATTGGTGGCAAAAGCTCGTGTGTGACGAGACCAGAATTCCCTGTAGCCGTGAAGTACGGAGTATCACAACCAACATCGTCTTCACCGGTATCAGCCTCACAGACCCAGCTCCACCTCTCATTTGACTCCGAGCAAATGCCCGTCTCTGAGGCATTTAGCTTGTCTGACTCCCTTTGGTCGTTATCCGAGATTGCAATTTTACACTCGACTTTTTGGGAGGACCCTTGGAGAATCAATGCCGGTCAGCTGCTTCTCATGAAGAAAATTCTCATGAAGAAAAAGAATGGGTCACTGTAACACGACGTAATAGATCCCTACGCGCTAACTTCCGGATTGAACTATTGTTGGAGAGAAATTACAATACTGAAATCACCCTGGATAGTGGCGGATCGGCCAGTAGTTTTCGGCAGTCTCTACTCCGTATCGACCATCGCCAATCCAACACTTCAACAAAATGAAGACCGGTCCGAAAGCCCAACTGGCGATATGCATAGGACTAGCTGCTTGGTCCAACGCTCAGTTGAGCAACTGGAAAAGCGACCAGGTGAACACTAGCATATGTACATGGTCCCAGCTCAGAGGTACTTCATTCTTGCCATATCTCCGTCTTACTAATGTCTTCGCTAACAATTCAATTCTACGGCATGCAGCTGCGCTAATTCGCGACACCATTTATCTTGATGGAGGGAGTATATGGTGGACTCCCGGACTTGCATCCGGAGAATCCGGCCTTCCTGTTTATGACAGCAAGTATATCCCAACCATGCCTTTGACCAGATCGTTTCAACTGACATACCAACAGTCAACCTTCAAGGATATGTCCTGTCATACAATCTGTCAGAATCCTTCTCCAAAGACTCAAACGTCACTGGGATTCTTTTAAAAGACCTCATGTCCAAGGCAATTGGCGGATTGCAAAGCGGCATCAGCTCAGAACCAAACTACGACGATGGTGCCATGTTGGCTAATGATGCCGAATTCTTCCTATATGGAGGGGCCCTGGTAAAAATTGAAGGCTTGTACGGCGCACCTGCCGCAGATGCAGTGCTTGCTTATCGCCGATACGCCTATGGCCCAGAAAGGCCGCTCTGGCAAAGAGGGTTCAACAGTGGACGTTTGGACGACGGTGTGACCAGGTATATTGCCTACGGTGGTGCAGTGAGTGCACCGTCAGAGAACAAGGCGTGGTATTTTTCTGGCCTCTCATCTCCAAGTAGAGGTCCGATCAATTTTTTGATTGCCAATGATAACTCAACAACCGCCTCGAATCCCTCCAACACACTTATCGAGCTGGATATGACGGACCAGCTTTTCGAGAAGTGGACCAACGTAACTCTTCCTGACAATATTAAGCCAAGAGCAAACCCTGAAGTTGTCTGGGTGCCAGTTGGGAAGGAGGGTATCCTAGTCGTCTTGGGTGGAGTTGTGTATCCAGACTGGGAATTTCCATCCCGCAAGTCTGCAAACGAAACGGAGAGTGTAAGTGGGCTTTTTCTCCTGATGTATTCTTTTTTCGCTACATACTCTTTGTATTGACATGACGAAAGAAGCTGAAGAGCCCAGAATTCATGCGTGTGATCGACATATACGATATTGCCAACAAGAAGTGGTACCAGCAACCAACAGAAAGTGGTCCAGGAGCAAGGGCGCGAGGTTGTGCCGTCGTGGCGCCCGCAGCAGACAAGTCTAGCTTCAACATATACTATTACGGCGGTTACGACGGAATACATCCGAAGGATGATTACTCCGACGAAGTTTGGGTTCTATCACTGCCGTCCTTCTCTTGGACCTTGGTAAACAAAGGGGCCCCCTTCCACGGCCGTTCGGGACACAAATGTTTTAAGCCGTATCCAGACCAAATGATGGTTTTTGGAGGATATACACCTAAAAAGACGTCATTGCCATGTCTAGATCAGGGTCCCGTCGTGGTTTTCAATTTGACTAGTGGGAATTGGCTGGACGGTTACTCACCAACAAAATATAGCGATTATGGTGTGCATGAGAAGATCATCGCGGCTGTAGGCGGAACCGCATCCGGAGGGGCAACTGTCAGGTCGCCTTCGCCTTCAGGTTGGGCTTCAAAAGAACTAGGCGACGTTTTCTCAGTGGCATATGACACGAAGAAGCTCAAGCAGTATTGGCCGTATGGCTCTGCGTCGCCGCCGTCGCCGCCGCCGCCGCCACCTGGTACTACGTCTCCTCCAAAGCAGCCTAATTCGCAACCTCGTGACCACTTACTCTCAATCATCCTCCCTGCCGTTATCATCCCCGTGCTCTGTTCTATTGGTGTCGGTATAGCGTTATGGTATTTCTGCTGCAGGAAAAAGAAAGCTGCCGCTGTGTCATCCACAGACTCAATAGCAGATGGGAGCGGTTTAAATATTATGACTTGGGTTAGAGGACCCGGAGCGACCAAGAGGTCAATGATGACCGAATCGCCCCAAAAACCCGAAACAGACACTTCTCCCGATATGAAAGAAACTTCCAATTTTGAGCCGATTGCTACGGACAAAGCAGAGACCATAGTATACGAGATGGAAGATACTCAAGTCTCTGAGCTCTGCGGTAAGTAGTGTCTCCATGGCACCCTATCGCGAGGAAGATGACAACTAACATTTGATAGATACGTCTTCTCCTGCGGAGCTACACGGCATAGGATTTACACCGATGAGTTCATTTCAAAAACAATTCGGTCCTTACAACTTCCAAAGGCCCTGTTCTCAGTACAACGTACAATCGGGACTGGGGAGTCCGAGTGCTGCATGTCAGCTGTCCGACGGTGCGACGGAATGGATTGAGTCGCCTTTACTAGGCACATGGTCTCAGTTCACAGGATTAGAGATAGCTAGCCATCCCAGCCCATCCGATCATTCGAAAAAACAAGACGCTTCAGCGGTGTCGCCCGAAGAGGGAGCTCGGCCAGACAGACCCCTGTCTCCGGCCTCAACAAGCGAGAGACTTGGTAGCGATTATTTTGCTGCGGCCGCCATAATGAGCCCCTTGGATCAGACTATGTCTGGAGAGACTGACGACGGACGCTTTGACAATCAGTACTAGGAAATAGTAGTTGTGCCTAACTTTCATTTGTGCTAGTCTTGAACGAAGTTGCAATGTGATACGATGATTAATATGACATATTTACCTCTATAATGCGCCGATGTCATTTAAATATTGGTATATAACAACTTTTAATTTGACCAAGTCTCTTTCCTGTCGGTGCAATCACGGCTGATTTTAACGCTTGTTACAAAAGCTCTGCATGAATGGGACACACCTTGACTACATTTCGACAACCTCATCATCCTCATCGATCTCATGTATCCTGCTACTCGCACCACCCTCTCTCCCGTCCTCGATGTCTTGTCCTTCCACGTCCTCATCTCTCATCAAGACCTGCACCAGCCGTTCGCAAGCTTCTCTGACACCTTCATCGTCCACTCGCAAATGTGTCTCCCTAATAATTGGATACACCCTCACTTTCCTCAGCAGGTCTCGGCCTTCCCTTGTCGTCGTCAACAGCGTCAAGGTCTCAACGTGCGTCTGGATATTATTCTTATCCGAGTCTCGCTGCTTATCCGGCGGCAACAGCTGCAGATCCGGCAGCATCTCCATCGTATCCTCCACCTCATACTCCTCGTTTCCGGTGATGGGGAGCAACACATAGGGCAGGATATTAATGCCCTCTTCGTCTAGAAACTTAGAATGAGAGTCGACATTGAAAGCGACGTTTTTGATAGTACTCGCTACGCCTTTCCTCCTGACGTCCGATTTATGCTCTGTGAAGACTCTGATCTTGGCGAGAGGAATAACCCCGTCGTATTCCTGCTCCGTGAGAAAATGCTTTCGTACCTGCTCATGCTTGGACAAATCGGCAAATACGTAGGCGAGGTAGTCAAAGTCTGCTTTCTTGTTGTATGCGCCGTCTTGGCCCTTGACGAAGAGGTCCATGAGCTGGTTCATGACGGAGTCGTCGGAGCCGAGGGCCTCGGGTGCGCTTTGTTTCCTTCCCAAGACGGACTTGAAACCATCTAGCTTTGATAGATTTGCCAGGAGCATGGCCAGTAAGTTGGCATTGGGCTCCTCTTGGCCCTGTAGACGGGAACGATTAGACGACTCCGAGGTCGTGGGAGGTGACGTGGACTTGGGTTGGACAAGACGTACGACTATGTGGTCCAGTATCACGCCGATGAATTTTTCATCATTGACCAAGTCTTCCGCGACTTCGGGGTCCCCTGATAGGTTAATGAGTATGGTCAAGACTTGTTCGGCAATTTTCTAGTGCAGAGGTTGCATTAGTTTTCCTGCTTCGCCTCTTACGCGAGGTCGTGCAGATGGACGACGGCAGCATACAGGGTAGTCCCGAATCAAGAGTTTCAAGTTTTTAATGGGTTTCATGTCTTGTGTCTTGAATATTGCCGGCTCTGCCGTTGAGTATGGCACTAGGTTCTCCGTGGCCGTCAGACGAATCTGAGGACTGGGATGGGCGATGAAGCCGACGAGCTATTACGAGAAGTCTAGTCAGTATTTTTCTTTTTTTTTAAAAAAAAAAGGTGGAAATAGAAATGAAAAGAAACAGCTTTCGGGAAATTAGGTGGTCAAGCAGCGGAAAGTAGCACACCTCTTCCAGTTCTGTGGGCATGTTTGCGATTGCACGTGTTCCAAGTTGCGTGAGATGGACGCCTTCTCAGTGACCAGACATTTATTTGACGTGAATTTCCAACATGAAGTTTTGGAGGGGCAGCTTTTGGGGGTGGGGATTTCTCGGACCTTGGGGCCCTGATCAGCCTCAAAGCTGGGGGGTCCCATCTCTCAACTGCAACGTCTTGTCGACACGGACGTAATCAACAAGGCCCATTGCCATTTAGCAAAGGTATCAATTGATTGAGAGGTAGTAAATGGCTATGGAAAAGCAAAAGTGCTCGGGTACTGCCGCTAGTTTTTCAGTTCGTATCCCATTACCCTGCGTGGTGTTTGAATTACAGTGCAGCGGCCTCATCACCACAACATACGGCAGCTTTGCAGGGGAAACTATGAAACAAATTGTGAATCTGAAAACGATCAATTGTTTCCTAGTGTTGCCCCAATACTGAATGAAGTCTAAACAACTTAAGACTTATCGTCTGAAATGAAGATCTTGTACGGAGGCGGTGAGCATCCTCTGGGGCAACCAATGCCCGTCTAAGATTACGCCAAACCAAACCGAATCCAGAATGATGAGGGGCGGCAGATCGATAAGGCACAAATTTTTGATTTTCCATCCCACCGCCCGCGCGCCACATTGGAGCGAGAGCGAGCCTGCGAAACATCCAAAAGTTGTCCTCTGTCTTGGGCATTCGCCGTTGTCAGTGCTTCCACTCACAAAGAAATTTCGCGCAGAATGCCCAAGGCAACTACTCCCAAGGCCGATCGGCCCGCCCGTCGCCATAACCCTCTCGAGAACGATATCCTCGCCACCGGTCTCTTGCGGAATAAGCCCGGCAAACAGAAGTCCAAGGACACTGAGGATGCCGAGGACAATTTTGTGGACTCCAAAGCCTCAAAGAACATCCTAAGGATAGGCCGTGAGCTGGCTGAGGAAGAAAATGCCGAGAGGGCCTCTTTCGCTGTCGAGCCAACCGTCGACTCTTTTGGGTACAACTCCCGCTTTGACGACAACCTCAATGCTGAGGAAGGCAGGACATTTGACGATAATGAGGCCTGGGGCGATGACGACGGGGATGTGGACGACATTGAAGTAGAACCCGAAGATCTTGAAATGTACAAGAAATTTATGCCTGACGAGGAGGATGATTTGCTCAAGCATGGTTGGGACCTCAAGCCCGAGGGCGACGCGGTTGAGGGCGAAAGCCGCAACTTGGCAGACATTATTCTGCAAAAGATTGCTGCGCACGAGGCGGCTGAAGCCAGAAAGGATGCCGACGTGCCAGTTGACGATTACGAACTACCTCCCAAAGTCGTCGAGGTTTACACCAAGTAAGTGCCTGTTGTCAACAACAAACCAGACTATGCTGACGGCAACTGCAGAGTCGGAGAGATCTTGTCGCGCTACAAGTCTGGCCCACTGCCGAAGCCGTTCAAAATTCTCCCAACTATTCCTCACTGGGAGGAAATTCTCGAAGTTACCCGACCAGATCGCTGGACACCAAACGCTTGCTTCCAGGCAACCAGAATCTTTGTTTCTCATAAACCCATAGTTGTGCAGCGTTTTCTCGAGATGGTGGTCTTGGAAAAAGTCCGCCAAGACATTTACGAGAACAAAAAGTTGAATGTTCATTTGTTCAACTCTCTCAAGAAGGCGCTGTACAAGCCGTCTGCTTTTTTCAAGGGCTTTCTCTTCCCGCTTATTGGCAGCGGTACCTGCACCCTGAGGGAAGCCCACATAATCTCTGCTGTACTCGCTAGAGTCTCCGTCCCTGTTTTGCACTCCGCCGCAGCTCTGAAGGGCCTTTGCGAGATCGCTGCCCAGGAAGCCTCCCAGGGAAGCGAGGGTGGCGGTGCCACCAACATCTTCATCAGGACGTTGTTGGAGAAGAAGTACGCCCTGCCATACCAAGTCATTGACGCTCTGGTTTTTCACTTTCTTAGATTCCGCAGCGACGACCCCGCTAGCGTACAGGAAGCCGATATCATGGCTGAGGTGGCCGGCGAGGGCGACGTCAAGAAGAAGCTGCCCGTTATCTGGCACCAAAGTCTATTAGCATTTGCCCAGAGATACAAGGGCGACATCACCGAAGACCAACGCGAAGCGCTTCTCGATTTGCTTCTAGGTCACGGCCATTCCGCCATTGGCCCGGAAGTGCGACGAGAACTGCTGGCTGGACGAGGACGTGGTGTTCCCTTGGAACCCCAGGGTGAAAGTCTGGATGGTGACGATACCATGGCAATCGACACTTGAAACGAATGCATGGTGGGAAGGGAAAAACGATAAAGGGCAAGATACGATCATGGCGTTCGGGTACTTGCACGGCGTTTGGAGCTAGTTTCGAGCATGAATGGGCGCGCTTTCGATGTTAGAGCATGTCAGCGGAAGCAGCTTTTGTGTCACAGTCTACGTCCCTGTTCATGCCAACATGCGAAAAGGAATATCATCCGTTACTTTTCTGCAGAGAGCGGTTCACTCGACAACCATTCGCTGCTCGTTCTTTCCTCAGGATCGTACCAACCCGTGGGGATGCCCGTGACCATCTCATACCCGTTGAATTTCGTTCCGCAGGTTGTCTTTCAAAATGTAATCGAGCATATTCCTAGGAACCTAAAGTACCCCTCTACATGTATTTCTACTCATCGACGAGATCGCAAAGGTCGCCGTTTCTTAATAATCTCCGTTTCGCATAACCAACGCAGCTTGACGGTTCGAACACTTGGAACCACCATACGTGACCTCGCCAAAGACAACTTCGGCCTCAGAACGGAAAGCAGCACGCGGGACATTTGGTAGAACTGATGCGCTACTCGAGAGGTCCCATGTCGGACTCTCTGGTTCCAAGGACAATGCTGCCTAGCCCGACGGGAGCAAGCGAGATCAAGTATGCATGAATCATTGCGTCTCGGTACAAGACGATGCTGTGCTAATGCTTGCTCGCCGCAGCTACTTTAACTTCCCTTTCTCAGGTTTCTCGACTCCGCCATTATTCTACCTTACGTTTCCAACAACACCCAATCCCGGCCCTGGAGATTGTCGACGAGGAGGATGGCGGAGTAACATGTTTGACGAAACAGCCAATACAGAATCGTCTTCCTCTGCCGCCACGCCCTTCATACCACCTCATTTAGTCAAGGGCCGCGACTCGCCCTCTGTCTTTAGTGTAGACCCGCCTCGCCCAGCTCGAGAGGGTTACGAATAGGTCTGGTTCCCCGAAGGATACTGGGCAGAGAGACGGCCTGCAGCTGCACCGCGGACAAAGAGTAATGCTAGCTCTCGGTTTTGGAGGTGGAAATCACGATCACGCAAGTCCGTGAGCGAGACGGATGGTAGAGATGCTTCCTACGCGTCGCCCACGGCGTCGGCGGCATCGCCATTGTCCAAGCTTAGCACCCGTGGCGCTCAGCAGGTTCCCAGTCCGTACCTGTCCGAATCTGCCCATGTCTTGTCTTTACAACAACCCGTTGGTCAAGTTGTAGATCACGTACTCGATGAATCCGGTGAAAGTATCGCATTGTCGCCAAACTCGGATGAGGCCAGGATGAACTTTCAGAGGAATGCAAATGCCTCTGGCTTGATCCTGGATGCTTTGTGTCCCGAGATAGCATCTCACACCCCGTCTATTCGGACTGAAATGTCTAGAAGATCCCGGCGATCCAAAAGAAGTGATTTGTTTCGGCATCAGGTCGAAATAGACTCCGAAAATGTACCCGTGGAACAGAATACGGTTTGTGATGATACACAACAAGTCTTTGTCTTGATGGCACCTCAACTTACTGAAACTACAGGTGAAAGATGGTCGTGATGGTAGCCACATACCGGAAGGCAGTAGCCGCCCATGCACTCGGCTCCCTTGGACGACTGTTTGGTCTCACAGTTTTGGCAAGACTGGTGCTTGGTTCAAAGACGAACTTGCGCACTCGAAGCTCAGTCACAAGATCTTTGGCCGGGCTCCCGCGCATGGGAAGCATCCTCGCCAGTCACTGCGTGCAACCTCAACCTCTTCGAGGCGAGAATCCAAGAACACCCAAAAATACGAATCAAGAATGTTCCTTAGCACCAACAGTAGGTTCAAATCGTTGTCTTCTCGCAAGTAGGCATGAACAAGACTAAACTCAATGTTTCAAAGATGGTTTTCGGTCCGGAAACAGCCAATTCCCCGGAGGAGTGAGTACACATACGCCATCTTGAGCCTCCAAACTCGCGGTAGTAGATTACACTTAACAAAGGATTCAGGAAGCCATTCGAGTTAGCACGCCGCCCTTGGACGAGGACACGGCAGACGGCAGGCCGAGAGGTTTCTTTACATCGATGACACCGCCAGACCACAACTCGACCAGCAGCCCATCGCCAACGCAGTCTTCCACTCATTCAAGCCCTCATCATGGCAACCAGCGCAGCAGTTTCTCCTCTCAACCTCGGGAATGGTGGGACCCAATGCCTCGGCGTAGTCAACGCCGAAAGCAGCAGCGTCAATTGCCCTCCGCCGAGGACTTTGAATTCGATTTCCCGGAGCACTTACCAAGCAGTCCCCTTTGCCCTGCCAACATTCGACATAAAAGCGGCGGGACGGGGCTGTGCGTCTACCACGGGCGAAGGAGAGCCAGATCTACCCTGAGGGATGCAAGCGGAAGAGGCACTAGCATAGTACTAACAGGAGGGCTTTATTAGGCTGGCAATGTTTGATTCCTTGGATGTTCTCGAGAGGCGCTCAAAAGCCGTGCTGCTGCTAATTCTCGCGCTCTAGTCCAAGTCGACTTCTTCCGGGGAAATCTTGTTCCTCTTCTTCGTTGAAACCATTCAAAGTCGCTCCAAATTTCGGTCACGTTCAGGGTCTGAGGGCAAGGCTAAGTCTTGAGAAAATGAGGTATTGATCAATGTCAGGGTCCGACGACGTAGCTAGTTCCCAAGAGTATTGAGGTTATCTCCTCCAAAGCGCGCTCCCCACGTAGCTAGATGAAATGGGCCATTTCAAGAGCCCATCACCTATAAAATGAAGCCAGAGAAAAATAAAGGTCGACAGTCCTCGGTATCGATAATTATTGAAATTACGAATGTCCCTGCCCAGGGTGGCCCATGTCGTTTTGTTTTGCCTTCACCTGGTGACATGGCGCGTTTCTGTTTCTGTGGCGGTGAGCAAATTAAAGCAACACGCGTCGCGTCCCCCCCTCCAACATCACGTCAGTCAAGTGACGTGCCACCAAAGCTCCACCTCTCAATTGACCGCATGCCAGAAAAGACGATTCAGCGACTGGAATATCGCCGAACCAACCATCGACTACGAGCTTTGCCTTCAAGCTCGTAGTTGGATTGGCCATGGACCAGGATGCCACCCCGGCTGCCCGAAAGCGATCAGTGGACGACATCGAAAATAACATGGGAACCGAGACGCCTCTCCCCGTCAAAAGAAGAAGATTGGATGGAGCAGCAACAAGCTCACCCTCAACCCCAAGAGCCCTCACGGCCGTTGCTGCAGCTATCTCGAGCGTCTTTGGATACGGACGTCAGTCGCAAAGAGATTCCGAGGGCAATGGATCGCCTTTGACGACTAATTCGACCGTCCCCAAGCCTCCCCTGAACTCCAACAAAAACAGCCTTCCGCCCAACCCAGCCGCTCCAGTTGCGTCGCCGGTGAAGCGTCCTGCCATCAAGCTAGCAGCACTGAAAGGGACGATATGGGACAATGGTGATCTCCCCGAAACTAAGAAAGGGACTGTCCCAAAGCGCCCATTCAAGCAGCCCGGGGCAGCAAGCAGGACGTCAGGTCCGCTACCCCCTGCGTCTGTCTACCAACCCAAGAAGGTGACAGCACCCGCGCGCAAGACCGGCCCTACCGATGGCAACAAAGTAAACCCACCAAAGGGTATTCTCACGCCAACCAAGAGACGAGGCCGACCCCGCAAAAACGTCACGTTTAACCGATCTGCGGATGGCGAAGTGTACTTTGAGGATCTACCCAAGACCCCGAAGGCAACAAAACCACGAACGACCAAGGCGCAAAAGACACAGCAAGAGGATGACGGCATTCTCTGTGAGATATGTTCCAAGCCGGACTCGGAAGCGCCAAACGAGATCATACTGTGCGACAATTGCGATTTCGCTGTGCATCAGCAATGCTACGACGTCACCGAGATTCCCGAAGGCGACTGGTTGTGCAAGTCTTGCTCTCAGGAAGATGTGCTAAAGACCCCAAGCGAGCCCGCCCGTGCGGAAGCCAAAACGAGCGAACCTTTGCATGCTGTTGAGGTGCCCGACATAGTCAACTTGGATCAGCATCTGCGAGGCTTTCAGCGTGTGCTCCTGGACCGGTGCTCAGGACGGCGGCGAATACGCATATTCGGACAAGAGGAGTCTCACGAGAAGGCGAGGCAACTTGTCGAGCAAACTATTGTAGCGGGAGAGGGTAACTCAATGTTGATCATTGGGCCACGTGGGTGTGGCAAGACGACGGTAAGAGATGAAAACGAAAGCGAACAAGGACGTCCATCAAGTTATACTAATGATGGCAATGCCAAGTTGGTGGAAAACATCATGGTTGACCTGTCAAAAGAGCACCGGCACGAGTTCCACGTAGTACGGCTCAATGGATTCATCCATACTGATGACAAGTTGGCCCTGAAGGAAATTTGGCGACAGCTCGGGAAGGAGATGGAGGTTGAAGACGACCTACTAAACAGAGTATGTCGGGACCACAGGCATAGTCAAGGGTCAGCTGCTGACACAAAGGGCAGACAAACTATGCAGATACGATGGCATCGCTTCTGGCTTTACTCTCACATCCCTCCGAAATCATGGGCACTGAGGAAAACCTCACGTCTCGGTCGGTGGTATTCATCATTGACGAGTTTGACATGTTTGCCGCCCATCCCAGACAGACGCTACTGTACAATCTCTTTGACATTGCGCAATCTCGCAAGGCCCCGATCGCTGTGCTGGGCTGCACCACTCGCCTTGACGTGGTGGACATGCTTGAGAAGCGAGTCAAGAGCCGATTTAGCCACCGCTATGTGTATCTTGCCCCCCCCAAGTCTCTGCCGGCATTCTGGCAGATCTGTCGTCAGGGCCTCATGATTGACAAAGCCGATGTCGAGAGCGAGGGTATCGACGTTGATGTGGAGGGTTTCATTGAGTTCCATAAGTACTGGACTCAAAAGATAGAGGTAGACCGTCATACCTGCGTCAGCGCGGCCATGACTTTGCAAGGTGCGGGCTAACAAGGAATTTGCAGGCGCTCTACAAGCAACGACAGTTCCAGCATCTACTACAGTATCACTACTTCACCACAAAGTCTGCCGCCGCGTTCTTTACGGAATGGATACTGCCCATATCGTCACTCTCATCGAAAGATCTTACAATGAACAGCCCGACCCCATCGTCTCCGACGACCTCGTTGGCGCCCCCAGACTCACGGCTGCACTTGTTGTCGACCCTGTCGGATCTTGACCTTGGCATACTGATCGCTGCAGCGAGACTAGACATTGTGGCACACACGGATACGGTCAACTTTGCCATGGCATACGACGAGTACAGTTCGATGGTGGGCAAACAACGGGTCCAGTCGTCGACTGCAGGAATGCTGGCCATGGGCGGCAGCGCTCGGGCATGGAGCCGCGGCGTCGCGGGAATCGCATGGGAGAGGTTGGCCGCGCTAGGACTCTTGGTGCCTGCTGGAGTCGGCGGCAGCAGGTCGTTGGGACACGGGGGGCTGGGCAGCAAAATGTGGAAGGTGGACGTTGCGCTTGAGGAGATTCCGACAGCAGCCAAGCTGAGCGCGTCCTTGTCAAGATGGTGCCGGGAGATATGAGGGGTCGAAACATATCTCGGCCGTTCTTTTGGGGGCTGCCTTGGCTGGTGGAGAGGACACGAGGGCAAGCAATGCGGAGTTGGCACTGGGATATCATGTATATTAGGCGTTTGACATTGTACAACACTGCGTGTAGTCGAAGCATAGGAGTGGGATACAGGGTAAAGAAGGGCGGGCGGTAGGTAGTCGTGTACCACGGGCCACGAGAAGTAGGAATTCAAAAGTGAGCCCACGGACGGATTGATCGCCAGGTTCTCGGAACCGGCATCGTTTCTAGTTAACCTACCATGTACGCAGCACCACGCACGTGCATACGCACGTGCACTTGCCCATTTGGCGTGTGCACGTGGCGCTCGGGTCCCCGCGATCCGCGCACGGAGGCTCCTGGAGATGTGCAAGCTGCAAGGCCAGCTGGAGGCTGGGCGGGGCGCGGCCGACGGAGAGAGGCTGACAGCTGACGCACGGAGAAGCGCAGATTGAAGCCAACCAGTCGACCAGTCATCGACCTGGTAAACACCATCATGCATCTCCCATCCCGTCCATCCTTGGCCCGACTGCTGACTACTAACTAGTTGCTTGCTAGCCTGCGACCCGGGGGCACCTCATTTCCCCATGCATGATTGCTGTGCTCCCCCGTCGCGCACCGGCCAGATGCTGTGCCTCTGATCGATCTGCCTGCTGGTGCTGGGCAATCACCGCTCCGGAATCACCTGGACGACGTTGACGGCGTCAGCGTCTGGCCTTTGTCTGTTTTTCCTGCGTCCGCCTCTCCTCCAGAGCTCGCGCTCACTCCTCGGGACAAACCACCAGGTTCCTCCTCGTCTCCTCTGCCCAGCACGCCCGGCAACATGTCGAAGCGAACAGTCTTCACGACCGTCACTCCCCTCCCCTACGGCCTCACTCGCGAGGCAGCAGTCGCCTTCCTGCACGACCACCTCCAGATGATCGACCTCAACCCCCTCGTCAGGGACCGCCACCGAATCCCTCCGCCTCCCCACGCACCCGACGAAGAACTCGGCTGCGTGTGGTACTCCCTCACCGACAGGGTGTCGTATCTGCCCGGCGGCCTCGCCTCCAGCGACGTCACCTACACGGCGGCATTCCACGACCTGTCGCGCGGCATCCAGACGCACTGCTACGCGCCCATGGGCGTCGAGACCCGCTCCAAGTGGTCCATCGGGGGGTCGATGCCCGGCGAGCCCCTGGAGCCCGTGGAGCTGGGACTCGGAGCCCCGACGACGGGCCTGTACCTGAGGGAGGACGTGGACCTGCGGTGCAACGTCTTCATGACGAGCTTCGTCAAGAAGACCATCAAGAGGAGCCACTCCGGCCTGGTGGACCGCCTACACGACCTCGCCAAGAGCCAGACCAGCAGCGGTGGCCCGGCGGCGGCGCTGCAGCAGCGGCGAGACGTGCAAATCGCAGCGCCCGGCGTCTCTTGGCAGCGCGGCCATCGCGTCCCGGGGCAGGGCACGAACGCGAGCAGTCCGACCCTGGCCATCGGTGCGAACCAGTTCGACGACCGGCCGTTGCCGCCCACCCCGCCTGCCGAGCCGTACGATGCGAAGCCGCCGCCCTCGTTTGATCCCCTCGGGCAACACGGAGCACAAGCTGCCGGGCTCGAGTAGTGGGCGCCACACGGAACTCTGCACACGTGCGCGTACGCATGTAGGACACGTACCTCCCGGAGCGGCGCGCGACGGCGACGGCGACACCGGACTCCGGGGCTCCTGCCATTCGTTCACGTCCCGAGGCGCGATTCTCCAGAGACGGGCGGGGGTTTCATGATATCCACGGATGCGGATACGGATGTAGGGGCACCAGAAACGCGGAAGCTGCCGCCGCCATGGCCGTCCACGTGGCCTCGCCTTCGCCCGGTGTAACTACATGCATCAGCAAGAAACCATCAAGAGACAAGAAACACAGTTTTTGTGCCGTTGTGACATGGGACAGTGGATGACCTTGACTGTCCAGCCCAGGCCAGCCCAGGCCAGGCCGTGCCGTGCCGCGCTCTTGACACACGAGGCTGAATTTCAGGCGTGACTCGTGCGTCGGGTTCGCCACGGTGCTCTGCTCGATGTCGATGTGCCGGGGAGCCCGCCCGGTTCCTCGTGAACGCCGTCGGTGCTCTGTCGGCGGTGGACTCCGCAAGACGCTCGTCGCCCGTGATGGGGTGGCTTCTGGCTGGCGAATATCTGCCTGCCACAGCTCGTCACGGCTCCTCACGGCTCCTCACGGCTCGTCTTGGTCTGGTCTGGGCGGACCTGCACACGCCGGCTGGATGCTGGATCCGAACGCCAGGGGACGGACGGGCAGCGCGACGAGTCCTACCCTGAACGCCCGTCGTGAGGCGGCAGACGGGCACGGGGACGGACGGGCGCTCGAGTGCCACGGCGGCGGATCTACAAAGTCCAGCGTACATGCACGCGGGACGTGCTTGACTTGGCGGCGTCTGTCCGGCAGCACGTCTTCAAGGGGCACGTCGTCAGTCACCAGTCCGCGCGTCTTTGTCTCCGTGTCTCCGGGACCCCTCACAAGCGACACGTGTGACGTTGCCAGAGAAAAAAAAAAGTTCACATTATATTCAAGGGGCACCGGCGCAAGGACAAGCCATCCCGCGGAGCGTCAAAGCTCGCAAAGCATCCCCTCCATGCGATGCCGAAAGAACACCAGCAAACCCAAACCCGATCATGGAAACAACGCCCTAGACCCAAAAAAATAAAAAAAAAGTCTAGTCAATGAGTCCCAGATCCCAGGTTACGGCCCGGGAAGTAAAGGGGGTGGGCACCATATTCCCGCCAAACTCGCCGCCGTATTAGATTATAGCTGTCCAAATTTTTTGGGTGATAACAAAAGGACTCCCCCACCACGAGCGAGACGTCACGCAGCTCGCGGGCCGTTTCCGCGGCGCAGGCTCACAGGGCAAAGGCGCCGACAACACCGGCGGCAGCCATGGCGAAGCCATAGGCGGCAGCGAGGCCGTCGGCACCGGCGACGACGGCGCCAGTGGTGACGGGGGGCTTGACGCCGCCGGTGGTGTGCACGGGAGGGTTGGGAGGGCTGGGAGGAGGCACCACCTTGGTATGGTGAGCAGGACGGGTCTGGCGATGGCACGGACAAGTCAGCCTTCCAGTCGGTTTCGAGGAAAGAGGCGAGGCACAAGACGACACGACGACGGAGACAGAGACAGACATACCTCGGTGATGGTGCAGGGGCACTCGCTAATGGTCAGAGTGGTGGCCGCGGTGACGGTATACGTCTTGGTGCCGACGGACAGGGTCGTAGGCCCCGGGCAGTAGGTGGTGAAGCGGCTGACGACCTTGGTCCGGGTCACGACAGTCTGGTTGGTGGCGTGGCTCCTCGTGCTCCACGAGGGCTTCTCCCAGGTGGACGGCGTGTGAGGCCAGTCGTGATGCTCAGAGGTCGGGGCCGGCGCGTACTCGGCCGCCTTGGACGTGACGCCCAGCTGGACCGTCGCGGGCTCCTGGCCGAGGACGGACGTGGCGAGGGCGGCGACGACGAAGAGGGCCTTGGTATGCATCGTGGCTGGGAGTCGGGAGACGAGACGAGAGAGAGACGAGACGGGAGAGACGAGCAGCAACGAAACAGCGAGCGAGCGTGGTTGGGAACGAGTGTGATATCTGGGCTGGACAGCAAGGGCGGCTCACGATGGGGGTTCGGTGAAGGCAGGGAGGCAGAGGCAACGTCCAGACCACGGCGAGACGCGCCGGCCTTTTATGTTGCAGGTTGGTCGTTTCTCGCGCCCTCGCGGCGTGCGAGGGCCCGCGTGAGCGACTGTGTTTTTGTTTTTTTTTTTTCCTTCTGTCTTTCCGTGTTTCGCCTTGTGCCAGACGTGGCAGCATGCCAACGAGCGTCTCGTCGATCTTGATTCTCGTTCACGCCGCCCACGCAAACGGGCCGGCTAGTCGTGGGCAGCGTGCCGGCGCCGGCCCAGGATGGGAAGGCGCAGGCGAGACACTGGGCAGCGAGACAGTGCGCCGCAGCGCCGCAGCCAGCCCAGCCAGCCCCCGAAGGCGTCCCCTCCCCGGTGCCCCGGTGCCCCAGGCCAAGGGCGGGCTTCCCCCTTGCCTCGGGCTTTTGAGAGACACGACGGGGAGATAGAAAATTAAAATACCAGACGGGTCGACCGGCCGCTTTTCCGCCTTTGTACGAGACACGCCGTAGACGTATGCGAGAAGAAAAAAATCACACTGCTCCGTACACCTCGTCGAGTCCGACGATGGACGCGGCCAGCCAAGGTCAAGGTGCGTGTGAAAAGGGAGACGGGCGGATGGAAGCATCTCCACCAGTCCCCCCCCCCCTTCTTTGGCTTCCTCCCCTTCTTGTTCCTCCCCTTCCTGTTCCTGGCCCGGCCCGGCGGTTGCGCCCTTCTGCGTCTGCGTCTGCGGCTGCGTCTGCGTCTGCGTCCTCGTCCCTCCCCTCTTGACTCTTCCTCTTCATTCCAGTTTCCAGACGCAGACGCAGCGCACTCGTGCCTCGTGCCTCGCGCCGCGTGCCAGAACCAGACACGCCCGCGGCAACGAGCCGGCTTCCATTCCTCCCCTCACCCGTCGCCGCCTGCTGCGGAATGACTCTGTCTCTCCTTTGTCAATCACCTTCTGGCCGTTTGCTGCCTCGACGCTGCCGCCGCTGGTGCTCGTCTGTGCCTCGACTCTCGAGTTGGGCCGTCGTCTCGTGTGTGCGCACCCATGCGTGACGCTTCCGCTTCCGCTTCCGCTTCCGCCTCGTCTTTGCTCGCCCTCCGCGACTCTCTGCGCTGTCCGTCAGTCGCAGCCCTGGGCTCTCTTTTCGTCTTTCCACTCCGCATCCTCTCCTCGTCGCTGTCCGCTGCGCTCGTACGAGTCCGAGACAGCCTCCATGCCGACCGAGGACGAGGACGTGCAGTCTCGTCAACAACGCCTTCGTCATCACAAACACGTCAAAGAACTTCCCGTCCCTTGGAGTCTCTCGTTTTTTTTTTAGTTTCCTAGTCTACATACCACTGCTGCCAGCCCCCCACATGCTGCTGTCTGATGTCTGCTCTCTGCTCTCTGCTGCCTGCCAAGCATGCCTGCAGACCCCGAGAGAGACCCTGCCCTGTACGGAGCAACGTCTTTGTGTTCTAGCCAACAAGCACCTGTGCACTTCCGTCCCAAGCCTGGCCTTGCTCAGCCGTGGGAAACCCTCAAGCGTATGCCCCGGTTGGCTTCGGCCCCGACGTGTAAGCCCCTCCTCCGCCACGTCGGCTTTCGTTCGGGGCCTCGCGGGGAGCGACGCCGTGCCACAGGGCAAGTCAACCCCGACAGTCTGGCTGGGTACGTCGTCTGCTTCTGATGGACCTTGGGGGCCTCGGGCCGCTTCGCCTTGTGCTGTCTCCTGCCAAAGACGCCACACCGTTGGTGCCAGCCTTGGTGCCATCCATGCCGCATGCCGAGGCGACCTCTCGACTACGCCCACCCAGAACCTCTAGTGGTCTCACTGTGGCCACACATGGCCTGCCCCCTGACAAAGGCGTAATATCAGCGCATGCCATGCTGTTTTGCGGTGCCCCGTCCGTCGTGGGAAAGCGTGAAAAACATGGAATTTGTCCCTCGGGGCTCATTTTCCTCCGACGCCCTCTTCATTTCCCATCGCCATAGAGACGCGGGGGGCGAGCTGACGTGCTGCATCACAACATGCTTGTCAAGGGAACAAGAGACACAAACAAAACCAGCACGCAAAAACGTAAGAATAGAGGCACCAGCGTTATCGGCCCCGACTGACTGCTCGTTCTGGATTCCCTGCCTGCTGACCCACGCCTGTGGTATTGCTCTTGTATATAATCAGGCAATAAAACGGGGGGCGGGCAAAGTATATAATTCCGAAAATATGACGCAAGAACACCGATTGATGCAGAGGTATAACGTCTCAAATCTAGAACATGTCGTGACAAAAGCAAAATGACCATGGAAAACCCGAAATCGACGGCTGCCTCGTCAATGGTGGAAATGCTGTTTTGCTGACGCAAACGTATAGACTTTAACCGACAGGGGGCATGACTCGCGACCGCTCAAGTCGATCAATGGAAGTTGGCCGGCTGCATCCGACTCCCAGCCCGGTAAGCAAATGCTTGTTATTTACGGTTAGAACGACTTTGGCTCCGCTCGGGTGCGCGGGCCGACATGTCGAGATCGTAGTTCCTGAGTTGCTGCTCGTACTTGGCGTTGCGAAGAAATTTTGGTACCGAATCCTGCTCGAGGGGGAAAAGAGTTTTTTCCCATCACGTTAGCACAGTCCGCCGGTGTTACACGCGATCCATGAGCGCACTACAGGCCCCAGGGGTGCAAGGGTAAAGGGCAAAGTATTCTAGAACACGGAAGGGGGACTCACGCTAGCCATCAGCTTGAAAACGGCATTTTGCGCGTCCTCAAACAGAGCTGTCACCTCTTGCAGCGTTTCAATCATCGTGTTGTCCTGGCCCACCGCCTTGGTCATGCGAGTGGCCAGGTTGTTGCGGAGTTGGTGATCGATATTCAGTTCGCAGGGTGATCCTGGGGCCAAGAAGGCATTGTAGATACCGTAGGCTTGAGCCATGATTTCCTTGATGGTGTCCATGGAGCTCGCGTTTGGTGCCTTTTGGGCTTGACGTATGGCGTGCTTGCAGCTGCGTACAAACTCGCCCACGTCCTTGTAAAATGATAGATTCTCCTCGCAATGAGTTTCTCGCAGGTTTTCCCTGAAAAGAAGACGCAGGGCAGCGTCATTCAGAATCTTTTCCAGTCTCTGAGTGTTGGAGTCTCTTGTGATGCCATTTCGCTGAGAGCTTGTGCCGTTTTCGCTCTCGGATGCGCGACCCCTAGAGCCACTTCCGTTGATCAGCTCTTTGCCGCGCATGGTGAGCTGATAGATGGCATGCTTCGTTGGCTGGAACAAGTTGTATCCGCTGTTTTGTGACATGAAGGTCCGATCCTGAACGATGGGCTCCATCAAATCGTGCTCGACAAAGAGGGATGCAATCTCAACGGTCTCGCGGCGGTCGACAATGGTGGAGCAGTCCATCAACCAGTCCGTGGTGGCTTTGCCAGTGAATGTGTCCTTGTAGACCTTGCCATTGACCTTGCGCTCTGCTGCCATCTTGACTCCAGTGAGACCATCCTTGTAGTCGTGTAGGGAGTCGGAGTCTGCGGCTGTGACGCTGGTCTTGACGTTGCGTCGGTCGGTACCAACAAAACGACGGAAGATGACCTCGATCGTGCCCCAGTCGTGAAGGAGCTTGTCCGTTTGCTGATCACGTTCCAGAATGACCAGCTGTGCTGAGCTCGTGTTGGACAATTCTGCAACCTGCTTCTGTTGGATGCCATTTCTGGAACAGAAACGATCCAACACTGTGATGCCCTTTGGGGTCAACTGCCAGACGGAACCCTTCATGTTGTAAACTTGCTGGTATTTACCGTCTGCAGATTCGATGAAACGGGCCTCCACGAAGCGTTGGCAGATGGACCTTGCCATGTCTTGAGCCATGGAAAAGGTTGTCGTTGTCGTCGTGGTAACAATCCTGGAAGGGTCCTTGGGATCGGGCATTCGGTTTGATTGTGAGAATTTCAGTGAGCCAAGGTTATTGATGGCATCTTCTGAGAGGAAGGTGTATTCGACTTTTGACAATCGTACACGGTGTGCAGAAAGAGGCAGCAAGCTGACAATGAGGGTTGCGAACAAATCTTTGAAATCCTTTTTTTTTCAATTAGTACAAGCCTTCTGATCAAATGATGCTGGAAAACAAAAATGAGGAGGCAGCGCCATATTGCGCTTCCATTATCTGTTGCAACGTGGGGGGACACTGCCTATCGGAGTGGAATAATCAAGTGCTTGGGCAGGCAATCACAATGTTGGTTGGTATATTGGTGAGTGGGTGGGTGGGCGAGTGATTGAGTCGAGCAGTCAGTTCCGCGTGGCATGGCCAGGCAGGCGACGTTTACAGACCTGCCTGCGTCGTCGTGGGTTGCAGACGCTTCTCAATCTGACGTGATGACCAAGTCGCTCATTGCTTTTCCGGCATGGAAATGCACATCTCTCCTCATCTTTTGGGTATCAAGGCAATCATGAATGTCGGTTGATAAAACACAGCATACATTCAAAGGGCGAAGGTGAGGAAAAGCAAGAGCATCAAATTTGCAGAAAACATACCCTTGTGAAAGGTCGGTCATCGTCAGTCATGCGCAGTAAGCGCGACGATGTTTGATGCATTTTTCTATCAGAAGGTGTTACCCTGATAGGTGCTGGCAGGCTTGGATTGGCCTCCGAGTATGGTTGTGACGGCGGGACGTTTGCCTGCCCTGCTCGAGACGCCACCTTGATTTGGGCTTTCGAGGCAGACGTGAAGGAGCTGTTGGCAGAATAGGCCTTGGCCCCTGCGGTTCTTCCTGGACTTGAGGGGTCTGGACTAGGCGCAGATATAGATTGCAAAGAGAAGCGAGCTAGTGCCGAGTGAGACTGTCGAGGCCGAATGACGGGTTCAGATATGCCGGCGAATGAGTTCTGGCTTCTGTCCAGAACGGCGGCGGCTCGGCTGAAAAAGCTGGTGGCAGAACGCTGAGATTTGGACAAGGAGTTCGTGGACGGTGTGCTAGAGTGTCGCTGGTGGTGGGAGGAAGCGGAAACGGTGGTGATGTCGGCAGGCAAGCGGTCTGACGTCGATGATCGAGGTGTAGAAGAGGCGTAGTGCTTCAATGGCGGGGTGTGGTGCGCGTGCTGGTTGTCGTGACAGTAGTGATGCGTCTTGGAAGCTTGGGAGGGAGTGTCTTCTTCGATCGGGGGCCGATGCGACAGGGCGGCCATCTGATGAAGCGAAAAAGAGGTTTGGATCAGATGGTGACGGCGATGGGAAAGTTGAAATAGAAGACAAAGCGGACGGCATGGGACGCGCGAAGAATTAGGACAGAGTTGGTCAGGGCCTAGGTCTAGCGTCTGGTCTCAAGTGCTCAAGTGTCTGGTCGTTCACCCCCCGAGAGGGGTGGAGAACAGAGGGGTGTGCAGAGTAAGTACGGACGCATACGGAGTAGAAGAGAGGGAACTTGAGGATGCGGAGCACCCATGTGCCATTAAAACGTGAGACGGCAGGAAAAGACGAAGCGGGCAGGCAGCCAGAGAGGGCACAGAGCCAGGTCCACTCCCCATGCTTCGTGCTCCAACGTCCTTGACCAGACCCCGTCCCCATGTACATGCCCATGCTCTCAGTGCCATGCCATGCCATGCCATGCCATGCCATGCCATGCCGTGCTACCTGGGCCATGAGCCATGCGGCGGCAGGAGATGAGAGTCCGTGCTGGAGTGTAGCCGCCGCAGGGGTCGGGAGTAAGAGGGTCGAGAGCACTTGCCGCCAAATCTTCAGGTGGTGCTGGGCCGGGAAGAGAGGGGGAGGGGGGGGGCGTGAGCGTGAGCGTGAGCGTGAGCGTCTGGTGAGTTTGTGGGTCATCACTGGCTCGAGGGGCTAAGCCAGCATCGAGGCCACCGATGATGGCGTGCGCGCAAGGGCCGGGGCTTCTAAAGTGGAAAGGCCACTCTGGCACTCGAAATGCTTCACCAGCTCGACGCCACGAAGCAGACAAACGTGAAGCAAGCTTCTGACCGTCATCACTTCACCACTTCACCACGCCAACATTGGATCCTGACGAGGACTGCCCCAGCTCGGATTTTTCCAACTGCGGTTTGCAGTGTTGGCTCCCATGTTGATGGCTCAATGTCGAGGCTGTGTTTGCTTGGCCACGGCTGGCCGAAGGTGAGCCCATTGAGGCAAAACAGACCTCTGCAGCAGTCGATGCGGGCGTCCTTGGGATCTGACATTGATGACGGGTTCTGCTTGGCTTCTTGGACAGCACGTGTATCGATGGCGCGTACGGTATGCTCGCTCGCAATGATTCCAGCGCTGGGCGGAATGACGCAGTGGCATCTTGTGTCCGCCGACGTCTGCGCACAGCACGCGCAAACTTGGGCCTGCGACATGCGACTGTTCGATGCCGTTGGGGTTCCCAGCACATACGTGGGCATGCCTCTTCGGGTGAATCAGTGCCCTTGCGCTCGACTGGTGCTTGAGCGGATCGTGAATGACTGACACGAGACCAGCTCGCATGTGCATGGCCACTACTCGCATTCCTCACTCAGTTAGGCCTTGCTATCCTAGGGCCAACAGATAGACACGCTGGGGACGAGGACAAAAGATCACGACAGGCACGAAGGATGGAGCATAGCAATGCGAGAGCCAGTTATCGAACAAATGCTGCAACGAGAATCCTGCCAAACGCCTATTATAGCCCAGCGTCGTCTTAACGAACCGCGTTGCCCTCGAGCTCGTCCACTGACTTGAATAAGGACCAAGTTAACACCTGCCATTGCCTGACACAGGGCGGACCAGGGGGTGCCTGAGCAGGAGTCGTGAAGAGGTGGGGTTTGCTCCGTCGTGAATCCGAAAGAAGAAAGAGGAGGACGGTCGTGAAACAAGCACTAGTAAGTAGTGTTGGTAGTCGTAGTGGTGATGGTCGTAGTAGTCGTCGTAGCAGTAGCAGTAGTAGTCCTAGTCCTACTGCTACTGCTGCTGCTTCTACTACTCTGCAAACCCCCTGGACGATGACGAGCGGAAAAGGAAGGAGATAGCAAACGAGGAGGAGGAGGAGGAACACGGGTTGAAAAGGAATAAAAAGGCAGGGGCAGCGATGATGGGGTTCGATCAGTCATGCAGGCTCCTTTAGCCGCCGCTGCATGACTCTTGACAACCCGAGCAGACTCTACCTTAAGTACGTACCTAGGTACCTGCTCAAGGTACTCCGTACCGACCTAGGGATCTAGGGATAGGGAGGTAGGCAATATTACAAAATTGACGGAGTATTCCGAACGAAGAACTATGTACCTCCCTGGCCTAGGTACTTGGTTAGATACTTCGCTAGGTACCGGGCCTACCAAGACGAAGTCGATAACTCGAGTAGCGACCCAAGCTCCAACTTAAAAAGAAGCACGTGTATCAAACATGTCGTTGGCTGGCAGGCTGCACGTCCATCGTCAATGTCTCAAACTCCCTGCCAAACCCCAAACCCTAGTGTGATTTGGGCCATGTGCAAGTGGATGCAACACAGGGCAGCCGGTATACTTCCAAGATTAGCAACTTACTCAAGTGCATAGGTAAGTGCCTACTTAGTAGGTAAGGACCTACCTGGGCGCGTATGCCGTGGTGGAAAGGGTGAGCTGGCCAACTGTTACTAGTTACTCAAGTAAGTAACGTACTTCAGTAAGTGAGTAGTTCAGAGGCTAGCCACCAACTCGCCAGGCACCTCGCAGCGCGTTAAAATATTGCGTACTTGTTGTAACGGAAGGGGGGAAAAGAGCAAAGGGAAAAAGAATGGAAGAATGGAAGAAGAACTAAAATTCGGCAGAAGTAAAAGCCTGAAAAGTCAATCACGATAGGCCTCTCGTCCTTCTGACGCAAGGTGTCTGGTACTTCGTGCGGCGTAACTGACAAGTTGCTAATCATAGTTACGTGATGATGCCGAAGCGAGCGAGCTCCGGATCAGGCTCAGATCCACCGGGCAAGGACGACATGCCGCGTCTTGGTTTTTCTCTTTCTTCATCGGTGATACTTGGCTAGTCCACTTGGTTATTGCGTCAGGCGTGACTTTTGCTTTTGCCCTCGGGAGCCGCGTGAGCGACGCAGTCCGTCAGACTGCTCAACTGGTGGGATTCATGCGCCAGCTCAACAAGTCACGATTACTAGGCACCGTTAGTAATACGCAACTAGGGACATATGCACTTGACTATTATGTATCCGTGGATTGTCCTGTCGTGTTACAAATAAGCTGCATGGCAGCCTCAGGCAAGCCCTGACAGCACGGAATTGATCGGTCGGAACCAGGCGGCTTCGAAGACTTGGATCCCCGCCTGCTAAGTAAGTAGGTAGGTACCTAAGTAAGTAGGAACGAAACATTGAATGCACAAACGAACTCCTTGTACCAAGGTGCTATTAATAAGGTGCCCAGTACGCAGTTGTTGTCATCAATCCACAACCGGCAAGACCAAGCGCCTTCTGCCTTCTTTCGGAACGAACGGCGTCCCCGGCGCGCGGCCGACTTCAATCTCCCTTTGTCAAAACGAGTCCCCGCACGCTAACCTGCCTGCATTGTGAGGCGTCGCTTCCCGGCTCAGACTGCAAGAAGAGTAACCGCACCGCTCGGCCGGAAGGTCTGGACAGACAGAAGAGGGCAGGAAGCAGGAGGTCGCCGAAGCGCCGGCCTTTCAGTAATGTGCTCCGCTAATGGAAAAAAAGTTGTTGCAGCAGGTGATAAGCATTGGTGGGGCCGCTTACAACGTGTGTTGGCGCAGAAATGCCACCAGATTTGCTCGGAGCAGGGCAAGGCTCGCCGCTGAAGGGCCCCAACGACCAATCAGCCGGGCCAGCCATGCGACTTGATGGGTCATGGCTCAGTTCCGAGTACGGAGCACCAACGAGTACCTACCTAGTAGGTAACTTACTTAAGTACGGAGTATGGAAAGCTACATGGGCCACACCGCCCATCGGCTCTGCCCGCTCAGGCGACGCCTGCCTGCCGTGTGGTGCTGGGGTGCTGTGTCGTGGCGACTTGCTTGCACAAAAGCCGGAAGCCGTATCTATCGTTGCTACCCAGTCGCTGGGCGTTTGGAACCATGCGCAGTCTTGTTGTATTCGGACGACAATACTCCGTCCGCGACGCCGTGACAGTGGACAGTGCGACTCAGGCGTGAGCCCCGAGGGAACAATGGCAGGGCATGTCAAAAAGTGGAACCCCCCTCGAGCACTCGCACGAGCTTCTCCCAGATCGGCGCGTGGCTCCAGGGATCAGTGTCCAACAGCCTAGGCCGCTTTAGGCAGCCCGGCGCTTGCTTGTTCGTGGCCGCCGTGGGGACGACGCAACGGGCGCGCACAAGTGCTGGCCCGGTGGCTTCAGGTGGCTTGTTGCCCGTCCGTCCCATGTTCGTCCATCTCGGGTTCCCATGTCAGGCCCGTCCATCAGCCTTGTCTAGACGCCATCGAGAGCGAGTAGAGGTTCGTTATGCCGCGTCATGATCCGCCAATTCTGAGATTCACTTCACAAGTCCCCCAGCAATATCAGCCACGTTATGGCATGCACTGAGCTGATGGTATCCACGAGGCGGCCCACAATTTCACGAAACGAGATGTACTCCGAAGTTTGATGGCTCGCATTGCCGAAAATTTTCCGATTCCTTGACTCCGCCTGTAACTTCGGCGCAGCAGAGCGCGTTCCGGAAAGTATCCGCTGTCGGCTGGACAAATTTGTCACCAGGGATGCGAGTTCCAACCCCTTTCATTATGAGTAGATGATTGGATCAAGGTAGCAAACAAAGGGTTGTGCTTACCTTTGTGAAGCTGAAGAGCTTTTCTTTTCAGCTGCCCGTGTTTCCGCCTGCGCCAGATCCTATCAAATAGCTAAGTATCTGAAAAAAGCATTCAACTGGTAATGGACAGACGACTCAGCGCAGCCTTGGATCTCCGGGACATTGGGCAACCGGTCATCGAGGAGAAGGAGTCTCACATCAGCCCCTAAGTGAACGGTTAGCAGGAATTCCGTAATGCCGTGGTACCGAGCATAAGCTATAAAATATTTCTTTAAAGCAGACAGGGATATCTATACATCAAGCCGTATGTTTCCTGCTGAACGGGCAAGGGGCGTGTCTCATGTCTACGGGGCACTGTCGCAACTGTCCTGGTCTTTGAAATCGATCGCTCACCGTTTCCCCACAAAATTTCTGTGGCAAGTGGTGATGTTTCGGACAAGCTTTTCGACAGAGAACAAAGC